GCCTTGATCCCGGTAAGAATGAAACTAGTTCATACTGACTAGTTCATACTGACATAAAACACAAGATAAGCTAATGACAGTTTTTTTTTTTCAAAAGGCCAGCAGGCTGGTAGGAACGTGTGTGTCAGAGTGTCTAGAGTCCACCTCGGGCACAAGCCCGATGAATATCAACACGGAACAACACCGCAGGATGCGTAGAAGTGACTTCATTCTTCTTCCATAAAATTAAACTCAAGCAAGGACACAGAAAGATGGTCAACTGCTATAAAAAGCACTCAGCTCTTCCATTCCACCCACACTGTGTGCAAAACCAATGTCCAAAAAGGACAGGGACATGGCGCTGCCTGCACAAAGCGTTCATCTTTGTCTCATTTACACAGACACACCGGAGGAGCATTAGCGGTGAAGTGTCATTCATCAACCGGGACGGGCTGTACCCCCGATGTCCCACGATTAACAGCTCAACAACAACAACATTTGCATCCTCTGATTTGTTTGATGGGTGCTGAGGCGGGAGGGTTGATTGGAGGAGAAGGACGTGGTCTGGAGATCAAGGCACAGTGAAAACACAATGTTCTATTTGGCACTTGGCCGGAGCCCAGATGCATGATGGGCGATCATCTGGAATACTGTCATGATCGATGTCCATTTGAGAGGAATTAAAAGAACAAGTAGACCGTAACATAACCAGCTAGCTGCCAGATACTAAGAGCACATACTAAACTGTAAAAGATGTTATGCAGGATTCCTACAACCGCCGTCATATGATGTAGGGCTGGGCGGTATACCGGTTCGGATTTCTCATGTAACGTTCATGCCGGTGTTACGAACTGACGTTGCTCTTTGGCAGGCGGCAGAATTTATTTAAACACGTCTTACGTGTGTTGAGATTGAGTCATGGGTATAACTTTATAACAATGAATAACCCACAACAAACACTCTTTAGCAGGCTAAAACACCACAACAGCTTGTGACACATAAACACTTGTACTAGTTTTACATTTAGAAAAATGCATGCTGGGTACAGCTCACAACAAGAAGTAACTCTCTCACATGAAAACACGGAAAAGAGCGATACAGGAGGAACAACCAGAGATGCACCAACACAACTGGTGCCCAAGAGAGGAGATGCGTCTGTTTGGAGGGTTTTTGTTTTGGAAAATCAGACTTTCTGAATACCGTAATATGGATTTTTGGCCATACCGCACAGCCCCAATATGATGCTACCATCAGGAGGACATTCTAGCCCAGCTAAAAGACGAGTCAAGTTCATGTCTTCAGTCGAAATATTTTTTAAAAAGAACCTAAGCAAATCACAGAAAACTGCATATGATCAATTCATCCGATCAAGTGAGATTGTGAGATACGAACTGGTCACATGAGTCTGGGCTGTTTATCATCTACACAGCTGCTCCGACTCTGCCACGATCCACTGCATCTTATCACTGCCGCCTCGCCTTGGCTGACGGCGTCAGCCTGTGTGGTGGGTGGGTGGGATGCAGGAGATCCACGTGCAATAGACCCGTCGAAGTAAAGAACCAAGACGGAGCGTCTCTGCTTAAAACAGCCGAACGGACGTTACGCAACAGTTCAACAGGAGATGGAGCAATATAAAGAACTAGTCAATTTGCCACTCACGCAGAAAAATAGAGTTATGATTAAATATTGTGCAGCATATACAGAGTACGTTACAGCAGTTGTCAGCTCGCCTCCAAAAGCCTCATACATCTCATGTTACGGTGTTTGTACCTGACATTTATCTGCTCTTCCTGTGACAGCAATCTCATCCGCAGCAGCTCAAATAAGTACAAATATGGAACTAAGATGTGGTGAGCAGCTGCATACGTGACTCAAAGTCGAACAGACAGGAAACGAGTCGCTCTGGTTTCCTTGACTAAAACGGCTGTACTTGTCGGCCACCTGTGTTCTAATAGCCACGGGATTGTCGACATACAATGTCAGAAAATCAAAAGAGAAACCGAGGGTTTTAGAATAGCAGAAGACCTGGAACGTGTATGAATTTAAAAAACGCTCCCTCAAAGATTCCACGCAGTGCTATGAATACTCAAACACATGCTCACGAGCTACAGGCTGCTCGGTCAGGAATTTTCCACTCCACGCAGTCACTTAGACACACAGCATATATTTATATATTCTCACAGCCGTTTCCTCCTGACCAGGAGGATGTTGTCAGGCACTCCTGGAACTGTGGAACTGTGTACTCCATTAGTGGAGTGATGGGTAATATTAGTCTTAGGGAGAGAGACCTGTGAGAAACAAATGAGCAAACATTAGCTCAGTATCTGAGGGCAGCTAGAAATGAGCTGAGCTGTCTGAAAAAAACAGCATTGCAAACTGCTTCAATCCACAGAAACAACTGGTGAAAATGGAACAAAAAAAATCAAAAATCAAAACCCACACCGTCTAAAATTGTACAGACAAGAGAGTGAGTCATAATTACTGGCACTCTTTCTCTCCCTGCGATACGGTGTTTGTTTGAAGGGTCAGATTCGAGAAAGACACACACCTGAGAGTTAAAACGTTATTACCATTCAACCTCTTAACTACAGTCTTCCTGTTTGATTTATTGGTTTACATCAGACGCGTCAATTCACGATAACAACTTTTTCCACTATATTGTGTTTCCTGAGCTAAGAAAAGCTCTGCCGCGGGATAATAAATCTACTGATTAATGATTAATTACCCGCCAACTTTCTATTAATAAAACATGTTAACTCATAACAATAATATAGGCAACATATTGCTGTCACCAACATGCAAATATGACAATATTATCCACGAGGGTAAAATCTGTGCGGGCTTGTAAGCGTTCTAAAAGACTTTTTGAGCCCTACGTGCACTTTTCTGCATTTCTGTAATACTGCAAATCACAATTATCTGGTCTAATGATTACAACGAACAATAATGGAATGGAAATAACGATGTCTTTAAACATGCCAGCAAGAAGTCCATCGATCTTTGTTTTGTGAATTCATATTTATTATTCAGTTTTAATTTGATACGTACAAATAGTATCAATATAAAAAGGCCAGCGGACCGAAATTGAGGAGGTAACACCTCATTTTATGAAACAAACAAACATAAGGCTGGCATTTCCTTGGCCACGTGTGATTTGACAAAAGTGTCTCGTACCTCAAACGTGTAATTAGGCTGGACATTGGCAATGAGCCTGAAGCCAACCGGTCACCGCCAAAACGAACTGCAAATACTGTGAAAGAAACCAGACTGAACAAATTGCCCAAATACATATTCCAATTTTCATACTGAACAAAGCCCTGCCCATGTGCCGTGTTGCCTGAGTGCATTCCGTTAGTTGGAGGGAGGGACAGCGTCAACCAGAAAACTGGTTATGCAGATAGTTTAAGGCCTCCACTATACGTTAAAGCTGAGAACAGGTACGACTGGAAGAGAGGGCCGTGTGCAGCCACGAGGAAGTCTTAAAACCGTTGATCATCAGTGACGCGGATATTAATAGATTTTTAAATACTCTTGTCCTTGATACTCAGACTATCACTTTCGGTGAATAGAGGAACAGACAAATTGCTTGTTGTGTTGTTCTGAGGAAAAATCCTGTTGGTCCCTGAGGGCTTCTGTGTTGAGTAATCGTTACAGTCAGCAACAAAAGCAGCAATGCGCGATTCTGGCCAAAAAGGGGAAAGATAAGTAATGAGTTAGTGGAAAAAGTCAAAAACCAAAAGTGACTCAGGATATAACCTCCTGTATAAAGCACATATTGCTGATAATTCAGCTCAGGAATGGGCACACAGCACTCTTCTTTTTTTAACAAACTGCACTCACCGTAACCATGATCAAAATGACAAAAACTATTTAATCTTAAAGATCACAGAGCAGCTGATGCAAAGTGTGTTACAAAACCCTCACACCTATTATGGTTTCAACAAGGCAGGTTTTAACATGTCAACACAGAAATTGCGCCCTGTGTGCATTTCAGTGCAATATTCTCCCTGCTCCATAACACCACATCTTGGATTTTTTTTTTATATCTTGCTCTTAAAAAGGCTGAAGATCAAATCTGCCCGAAACAAGCGTCTCCCAATTCAAAAACATACTGCATGCAATGTTTGCGTGTGGTACCAATGGAATAGCGTTACGGCAGCTCAACTCTATCCTAATCGGAGCCATCACCTGGAGAACAGACGCCACGGAGTCAGCACTGACACGGTGACTCACCCGGGCCTCGCTGAGTCAAGTTTGAGTGACTTTTAATGTTGAAACTCATTCGGTCCAAAACAACGATATAGAGAAACAAGCTTGTGGCAACTGAAAAGCTTGCGGGACTGCCACCTAATTATGTTTCCGCTTTCCTTTCTGTCAGTGGAGTGAAGTGGGCCTCCTTGCCTGAGGTCAAAAGTCAAACTCAAACCTACTGCAGCAGGGAACTGGGTCGTAAATACATTCTCACACTTTCTCATTCAGTCAATGAGAAAGTGCGTGCAAACGTTTGACTGGTACTGTATTATCAGATGTTGTCTTAGAAATCCTTCTCGTCACAACTGCGAGGGACAAGTGGGAGACGTTTTAACAAGCCGCATGACTGGGGAGCAGGACTTTGGCACAAGAGCACAAAAACACGCTTCACTTCTTCAGGCCCAATTAGGAACACAAAGAGAGTCCAATCAAATGTAATGGCCACGAATAACCATGTCAAATTAAAATAACATTTTAAAAAACGATTAAGAACCCGCCCTGCGATTGGCTGGCAACCAGTCCAGGGTGGACCCTGTCTCTCGCCCGAAGTTGGCTGGGACAGACTCCAGCGCCCGGGACCCTGTGTGCAGGATAAGCGGTTTGACGATGGATGGATGGATTAAGTACCCAACACGGCGTTGCATCTGTGGAAGTCATCTGTTGAATTTGAACTGGAGTAACCCCCCCCCCCCCCTGTCAGTTAGTTAGTTACCTAGCAACATGGCAGCACGGAAATGGCAAATTGACGGCTTGCAATGCTCATCACATACCTGGACCCGATGCACCTCCAGCTCCACCGCACTCAGCAAATCAAAGTTCACCTGCCCTTCTCTCCGTCCTCGAGGGGGGTACAAACACGGCCTCGCTGTCAGCAAGAAACAACCGGCGACTCAATGAAGTCAGGAAACGATGCCATCGTTGGGATGAACGCATCGAAACTCGGCAGCAGGGTTTCGTTCGCGTCGGCTCGAGTCTGGCCCTTCAGCTCGGGAGAGGCGTGCGGGTACGTGATGTATGGATGACACGCAGAGACACATCATCGGATCGGGATCGCTTCACATGGTCATCAACCGCCGCTTCGACTCTGTGTTTACAAAATCTGTCCATATCGTCGCGCCGGAAAGACCCCCACCTCCTCCTCCTCCTCCCTCCCCTCCCGTAAACACGCTGGATTCCCTTCAAACGACAGGTAAAAAAAGGGCCAAAAGTCGCTATGGTAACGTTGTAAAAATGTCCGTGGAGACTCCGAGCTACGCTTCGCAGGAGTTTCGCGGTTGACGGAGTTCAGTCCAGCTCCTGTCGCCACCGTCCACGGAACCGGGAAGAAGGAAGCGCGAACGGGCGGAGAGCTGCCGCCATCGTAAGTTGTCACTGGCCGAAGTCTGAGCCGCTGCGAGACTTCACAGCGCTCCTCTCCGGCACGACGCACGGTGCTGTCAAGGTAATCTGGTTCGACGATACTTCCGGTACAGTTTACAAAAATAAAAGCCGACAATTTAACGCAATGCATCTGGATTTCGGTCTGTCGATCGATCTAGCGATGTATAAAGTCGAATTCGAAACGTCAAAGTAATTTAGCAGATACAAATGTTTTTAAGGTCCTTATAAGGATCAGTAGCACCAACGCATTTAGTATTTTTTTCGGAGGGATTAGTCACACAGCTTCCGGTGTCGGTAATTTTTTCTGCAGATTTGATGAAGTTCAGATGATCACACATTCAGAAGAGCAGTTTCGATCGCGGAGCGCCCCCTGCTGGCACCGGATTGTGTGCTCGGAACTGCATCAAAAGTGGTTACGTATCTCTGCACTCAGGTATTGTAAGGTAAATTCACAGCATTAATTATCACTATTTATATATATAGATTACATTAAATAATGTTGTATGATCGTACTCTTTTATACGTTTGCATTCTCTAGTCTGAGTCACTTTTAACACAATCATTTTGTGGTAGACCAAATATTGTAAAAAAAAAAAAATGTATTTATAAAACGTGCTACAGGTTGCACGGTATTGGAAAGTCTTTGGAAAGATTCCCGAAAATGAACCGAGGTTCAGTTTAGATGTGAACACTTAAGATAACCTTCAATGATTCTAAATACATCTCCCCATCTGCTTAGAGCATATTAGAGCAAAGTCAGCACAGGTCATTCGAAAAACTGTCCTCTCCTGGAGACCTACATACATTCCTAATTAACTAATTATAGTCCTTGTCCATAGAGAACTAGTCATTTTCAAGAGAGAAATACAGAGCAGTAAGCATCAAACCACCATCTTTTTGTTCTGGACATTTTAAACAATTTTGTAACAAATCCATCCATAGAAATAAATGGGTGTCATTATTATATTATGTTATTACAATTCATTGGATCTTTTCAGGAAACCACCAATAACTACAAAATTGTTTTCCTTCCACATGTGTTTGGCATTGCTTGCTTAATCATTGTAGTAATTGATGTCAAATTATGTAAATAATAAAGCTAAAATTAAGCTTACAGCATTAAATTCACCGTCTTGTGCAGTGTAAACAATGCAAAAAGAAGGTTACGCATTGTCTGGAGTGTATGACAAATAAATTATAAACAGCTGTCAAGTAGAGTGAGAATTCATTACTCACAACTATTGCAATAGAAGAAAGCTATCTTCCACATCTTATTTTGGCTATTGTGAACATTAATCATATTCTTTTACATTCCCCTTTCTAGCCTTGGGAAAAAGTTGAGACGATAATCAAATAATATAAAAAAAATCAACAGCAGAAGTAACAATTATGTTATTTATTTTAAATGCAAAATAAGGGACATGCAAACAAAGGTTCTCTAACATATGGGAAACACTACAAAATGGCTTTACGCGTTATCTAGATAGAATATTCTAGGCCTACTCTTAGTAGTTTGTGTTTATGTGGGAGACTCCACATTTCCTCGTAGTGGGAAGTAGTGGCCGGGCAGTAGGTTTATGCACACATAACATACAGTAACACCCTGACATCATTGAAATAAATTAGCCTACAAAGCTGTAGTCGGTCCAGAGATTATACTAACCGCCTGAGATTGGGTTACCTTCGAGGTCATGTGAAATCCACAAGCTGTAGCATATCATCTTTGACACTGCCGATACAAATGTCTATCCCTCATCTGCATAAGGTTACAACCGATTAAATCACTTTGAGTACGCAAGTCATACATACTAAAGAACGAGAGCGAGCGTTACGTTTTCTTCACACCTGACGATAGTTTGTTAATTATCCTTCACGGCCAGCAGGCACAATTCAACAGGTGGCGTTGTTAACTTTGATATCTATTTTCCTCTATTCAAGCCCAGTCGTGCTTTTCAAACAGCTATCAGAAACAACTCAACCCTTATACGTCCACTGACTGCATTTAAAACCTATTCCCTACCTGCTGCAGGTCTCCCAGTGAGCCGACGCACGATGGCGCCCGAGGCTGCACGATTACCGCATGTCATGGCCGCAAAGAAGAACACGACTCCTTCCGATTGGCTCGCTGTTGACGGAAACGAAGAAAAAAGAAGACCCAACGATAACTCACGTAGACGTCTCCGCGGAACAGACCACAGTGACATGTAATACCCCCCCCCCCCACACACACACACACACACACACACGCAAGTCTCCACTCCTGCGTGAACCGCGAGGTCAGGTCAGATGGTCGTAACCCACGTGTCGTCTCTCACTTTGTAATCTTATCTAAGTAGATGTGGCGGCTGCCCCCCCCGTTCCTCAGCTGCATGTGCAGCACGGCCGGCCGGGTCGTGTGGGGAGCTCCTCGCCGGGTCCCCGCGCTGCTCAGGCCGCTTCCACCCGGACTGACGTGCGTTTTTGCATCCGGTAAAAAGGACGTGACTGACTTCCCCGTCCTAGACGAGGACGAGCTCGAAGAGCAGTTCGTCAGAGGATCTGGACCTGGAGGACAAGCCACCAACAAAACCAGCAACTGCGTGGTGCTCAAGCACATCCCCAGTGGCACCGTTGTTAAGGTCGAGGCTGTTTTTAAACCGTGATGTGGATATTTGGTGAATAAATAAGTGGGTGTTATGATGATGGATTGTAGTTTCATAGTTGACAAACTCCCCAGTTTCCTTAATTGTCATCAAAATGTAGTAGATGAAATGGAACTTCTAGGTTGGCTTAGAAGTTGAGATTCAAGGTGATCTTCTTTCAGTTTTGTTATATGTTAACCATGTTTATGTAATTTCTTGTACTGTTTCCCTTGCAGTGCCATCAAACCAGATCGGTGGATATAAATCGAAAACGTGCTCGAGAAATCATGCGAGAGAAACTGGATGTTGTTTATAAAGGGGAACTCAGTGAGGTTCTTGTGAAGAAGAAAGAGGCTGAGCTGAGGAAACAAGACAAGAGGAGGAAGGCAAATGATAATTTAGAGAGAAAAAGACTATTTAGAGAGGCTCTGGCTGCAGACCCCAAACCTGGAAGTGGTGCCGTTTAAATGCTTGAAGGGAATATAGAATAAACACATCAATACTTGAGAAGTTCTGGTTGTTTGTATGCCTATATGACTAGATAACTAAACAAGGAAGGGTTTATTATCAATTGTTATATATCCAATAATCCTTGTGTTGTATGGCATCGTTCGTGCAAAGTTAGAGTACAACGAGTTAAAGACAAGTGGAGAATAATAAGAAAATGTTAGCAATGTATGGTTCCTCTTCTCCAGAATAAAACTAGTTGCATGATCATTGTCATAATAATATGATAATATTCTACTTTTACATGTAGGTCTTACATGGCTTGTATATATATTTTTGGATACTGCTCATTCTGCTCCATGCACAAGTGTGGTTGAATTATGCTGTAAATATATTTAGTTAAGTTTAGTTAATCTTTAACACATGCTTGAATAACGGATGGTATTTAACATTATTCAGATAGTATCATTCTTTTTTCGCATCCCTATATATTATTAGAGCAGCGTTTTGTTTGGACAGTAGATCGTTTGGGACACATGAATGAAGTGAGACTTTGTTGCTCAGCGCTGTGACGATCAGAGCTACAGCCAATGGGAGAGCGACATTCAACCTAGCGCCACGCCCACTTGAATACATGAGCCAATGAGAGGCGGCGAGTGGTTTTTAAACATCAGCACACTCCACTCCACGGCGTACTGGTTTAGTCCCCATTGTTGCAGAAGTAGTGACTCAAGAAAGTGAGGAGCTCGCGGACTGCGTCCTAAATTTTTATTCTGTGAACTGACATGGCAAAAGGTAAACTCTCCCGAAGTGTTGTCGTTTCGGCACGTGTCGCACGAGCCACGGTAACCGTAGTTGATGTTTAACTGTTCGCTCTCAGCTTGCGTTAAAGTTCTGGTCTGAAAGTTCTAATAATGCCAGCCGGTCATGGCGGTCTTTAGTATAATTAGGCAGCAGTATGTGCTTTTATTTAATTCCGTGTATTTAAAAAGGGAAGAAAAGTGTGCTGAAAACCAACAAAAAGCCCGACGACACCGTTGCACCCAAAATTGCCTCAAATAAGGACACGAAGGAAAACAAACCAACAAAAAACACGGTATGTTTTGTGTTTATACCCTTTTGTCTTTGCAAAAATACACAAATAAACGTATTGTTGTTGCAACAGTCTGTGCGCCTGCCTCCCTCTGACGTCAGATATAACCGTAACCCAGAATGGAGCCTCTCAGGCTAAACGTGAATAACACTGTTGTACAATGTTGACTTTAATGAGCTGTAATGCCTCAGCCTTTTAAGTTGCATTTCATCACAATACTGCGCACGCCACCCATCCGACGTGGTGCTGTTAACCGTTGTAATGTTTACCACTTCCGGTGGTTGGAAGGCAGATCAGTGAAGTCTTCATGAGCGAGGAACCTGTTTACTTCGTTCTCTCACGTGCATGTAGAGTAAGTGGCGCAGGTAAAGATATTGCATACAATCTGCAGCAGCAACATGCTTCTACGCACAGTCCTGTGAGATATGACTCATCCGATTAGGTGAATGTGTAGAGTAGTCCTCAGGTTTACACATTTTAATTCTCCATGAGGATTAAACAAACTTCACCAGTGGAACAAATATGTTTGCAGGATTGCGTAGGTCCAGAGCAGTCAACTTTACAAAGTCTTTGGAGTCCAAGCAAACCTAGATCCCCCCTAAGCGACAATTCAAGCATGCTGATCCAGAAGGGAAATGAATCGGATCCAGCTAATGCAATCACTTCAAAGTTAAAAAAAGGTGAGTGCGTAATTGACATTTCAAACCAATTGAATCAACTGATTTGAAATGTGGTTAATTTCCTAGGTCATTTGATCTCCTTTTTGTTAAACAAATGTTAGTGTGGTCAGCAGATCCACATGAACCAGAGAAACATTTCTTGTTAATGGTAGCAATGTCCACTGAACCAATATCTTATGACGCAACTTGACAGATTTCTTTTTCAAAGGACCTTCACTATGGTGATTGAGGGCAGCTGTCGATTACAGTTTTTGTTTCTTACTGCAGATTCACCTAATGAAATACAATCTGGGAGTTGTGGGTCCAAGGAGCAGAAGCGTGACATGGCTTGCCCCAGTCAAGTGAGCAGAAAACAATCCACTGACCAGCTTGAGCAAAAAGAGCCCACCACGCACACAAGTGCAAAGTCTGCAGCAGACAAAGTTTCAGAGAAACCTCAGAGTAGAACCGGTCGCAAACGCCGAGCAAAAAAGTAAGCATGGAAAAAATTGCCAGTATTATTGCAAAAAAACAATAACACGTCATTGATGCAAAACGTCATTACTCTCATAATGTCTCTTTCAGGACAGAGAATCAAGCTCTCCAAAACAGAAAGGTCACCGACTATTATCCCATCAGGCGAAGTAACAGAAAAACCAAGGCAGAGTTAAAGGTCTGTATGAGAAACGTTTCCTTTGGGTTGTTGTTGTTGCTTTTTGTGATGTTTCGACTATGTAACTCTTGTGTTGCTGCCGAGTACGGTAGTTTGACTTTGAACCAGTTACTGAAATTGTCAACAGAGTGAAGAACACCAACACATTGATGACCTGATAAAGAACAACATTGAAGAAGGATTGCAGGTAACATTTAATGGTGTAAATGTACAGTGGCCCTTTCAGCCCAAATGTGTTTGCTACATTTCCTCATGAATTTGATATTGGTAACTTGCAGTGCTCTCATTAACTGAGAGCTGCATCAGGCTGTAAATAGTCAAAATAATCTGTTTATTAACCTCCAATATTTCACAACATCTCTGCAAATTTGCATTTGTAGTGTTATTCGTTGATTGGCCATGTTACATTTTTCTCCTTAACATATTATTTATTAAACCAGCCAGTGAATGATACTTTGTGCAACAAAAAAAATCCCTAACCACAATGTTAAAATGTTAATATTTTTTCAAAGTAGAAGTAGAGCGACCCCTGCGCCATCGCTCACTGTTTTATTTCACCCGTTGCTGCTTTTGAATGTCAACAGATCAAACACATAGAAGGAAAAGGAAGAGGGGTATTTGCTTCCAAAATGTTTAAAAGGGGAGAGTTTGTCGTGGAATACCACGGAGACCTGCTGGAACTAGCTGAGGCTAAGATAAGGGAGGCCCAGTACACGCAGGATCCCCAAAAAGGCTGTTACATGTACTACTTTCAGTATCAAGCCAAGACATACTGGTAAGTCCACACGGGATCGAGATGTGGTTCAACGCTTGACTCCTTTGTATTTTATTTCTTCAAATCATCCGCTTGTTTGTCCTCAGAATCAAAGGGATTTTGTTTTCTGTAAACATCCGTTTGCTTTCATTCTCTCTACGTGTTCCCTTCCTTCCTTTGCTGGCTTTAAAATAGAGCAGGTTTCCCAATCAGAAAAAGAATCTGCTTCAAATACCTGTATTTGTTAGTCAGGTTTGACTGACTATTTTTTTAGTTTTATTACTCTTTCATGTCTAAATAAATGTTTCAGAATAATGAGAAATCCTTGGAATCTACCTGTCTTTAAGTAAATTGGTTCTTTCAATTGGTAGTTTCCTAGTAAGAAAAGACATACCCCAAGTGTCTAAAGATTGCAAAAGACTTAAAAATAAAATAAACGGTTTCCTGACTTGTAGTTTGATACCTCTGCAAGTTTAATCTATAAATTGTTTGCTCTTTACAGTGTGGACGCTACAGAGGAAACCAGCAGACTTGGAAGACTGCTCAACCACAGTAAAACGGGAAACTGTCAAACTAGGCTTCACGCCATCGATGGAACCCCTCATCTCATCCTGGTGGCTTCCAGAGACATCGAGGCAGAGGAGGAGCTGCTGTACGACTACGGGGATCGGAGCAAAGCCTCAGTCCAGGCTCACCCGTGGCTCAAATACTGAATGCAGGAAATACTGTTTATATTTCAGATTAATCGGTGCTCCCTTCTGTCCTCTTCAGCTTAATGTATAGATGTACAGACATCCACAGGATTTGTTTTTATGAAATAAGAAAGTTATCATTTTAAATGAGGACGATCAACTTGTGTGTAATTTTTGAATTTTTTTTTTTCTTCCTCAATCTAATCGTAGCAGACTGACACAAACTTGAAAAGTATTTCTCTTGCATAAACGGGGTCTTTCACATTGTAATGAAAATAATTAACAATTGATTTTCACATTATAAATTATTACTTGTGCTGTAAATTAAGGAATAAAATGGTCTTCATTCCAGCTATCACAGGGTTAATGTCTAAGATGCTATGAGATGTATTTATGAAATCTGACATTGTAACTTTATTTGCTCCTCCACTTAATTTAAGGTATTTTACTGTAATTTCATACTTGGGTATGAATACAGGGGTACAGCCTGACACAAAGGTCCAGTATTGACCTTCACGCTAAATGTCATATTCACATCCATCGAACGGTGCAGTTTCAGATAAACATACACAGGAGTTGAGACTTTTTTTAAATCAATGTTTAAGCTTATAAATTACTTCATTTTGTATGCGTGCATTCAACATAATCTCTAACAGTAGTGAGATAATACTTTCCAGTTTCATTTCTTTCAAAACAATATATTTCTACTTCTGACTTTTAGGTAAAAATGATCAACACAAAATACAGTGCTTGTTAGTTTGACAAGCAGACATGGTAAAAAAATAAAATAAAAGTGGTTAACTGATAAGCAAACTAACAAATCCTGTTTGTCTTCTCTTAGTTCTTCTGTAAGATTCTTATTTTCGCCTGAATGAAAACCTAAAAACAGAAAAGATCCAGATTTAATTGAGGTCATTTGCTCCTCAGCCTGGTGCAAGAAAGCAACATTGACTCACGACAAAATGCAATTGAGTTTGGCAGACACACGGCCGATTTTCTCTCTGCACAACATTCTTAACATCAGCATGAACTCACTTGGTCACAAGTCTTTCATTAGGAGGCAAGCTCACTTATACGTCATGTGGTTGCTAAATACATTTCACTTTAAACTTTTCCATATAGGCGCTTCATTCTAATGAGATCTTTGTTTTCTGCCATTTAATATTCCTGTTTTGTGTGGTCTGTTTGTTCTACTCACAGTTTGCCTATGGTCGTCTTCTCCTCTTTTGCATTGTTTGTTAAGGCTGGACTGTGATCTGTGGGTGTCTCCAGATCCACCTCCACCATGGCCGGTTCAGTCTGTGGCAGAATCCCACTGCAGAAGAAAGTATATTTCTGGTCGACAGCATTCGAATTCAGAGGTGTTGAAAATCAAAAAGATCCGTAATACAAAATCCACGGTGCTGAATTTATTTTCAGGATTAAGTTTGTCAAATTAGCAACATGTACTAATAATATAAGTCTCTATGAAAACCTGATGATGACAAGTCTGTCAAGTTTGTATTCAAACCGTCTTATTAATGGCAGCTATTGATGGCATAACACAGGATAATAGTGTCCTTCTAAAGAAATCTCTATTACTAGTGTTTACTTGTGTTACATGTATTCATATTGTCTGTAGGCCAACAGATAGTCACATAAATACGGTCTCTGATTCCCATTTAAATCAATTCATCAGCCTGAAACAAGTATAAGTGGTACCATTCAGATATCCCATTCCAGTTTCCGCTTCATTGACCACACGTGACATATCTGATGTTTCAGCCCTGCCATAAATCCGCTCGTTCTAAAGCAAAAAGGCGGTGACATGGTCAAGGTTTACTATGTAAAACAACAATAACCACAGTTCAGATCCCACCTCTTGTACAGCTGCAGCTCCTCCTGAGCCACCATGAGCTGCGCTTTGAGCTGGTTCCTCTCCTGCAGAACCTCCTTCAGCTCCTGCATGGTGAAGCGCGGTCTGTTGGGGTCCGTGAGGTCCACCAGCAGCTGGTTTGGACCCGCTGTTTGCTTTTGTTTTTAAAGGCACACATGGAAAAGGCGTCTCCAAACGACCATTGACTTCCAATAACGCGCAGGCCCGTTCGCGGCGGACAGTAAACACTCACCGTGCCAGAGGAGCTCTCCTGCAGGATGCGGTCCAGTTCGCTCTTCAAGTTGTCCCGCTCCATTTTCAGCTCCTCCAGAGACAAGTTGTACTTATTGACCAGAGTCTCGAACATCTCCAGCACGCGGACTATTCTGAACTGCAGGTCCGAGACTTCTTCGCCCGTGCTGCTTATTTTCAACAAGTCTCGTCCGATCACATACGAGATGTCGTAGACGTCTTCGACCGTGAGCTCGAACGCGTCCTTCTCGAAAGCCAGAGCGGGCGACGGCTCCTCGCCGAACTCCATGACGGGACGATGCGACTCTCAAAAGAGTCCTTCCCCGGCTACTGCTCACACAGCCGTCTTCTCTTCGTCTTAAGTTCCGCACACTTAGTGGCACAAGGTAAAAACTTACAGAGAAGCTGCACTTCCTCCCCATCGGTCATCTACCAGTGACGTCACACTCAGACAGCAAAGGAGGGCAAAGTATCCTAGCGACAGGTACTAACAAAGATCGTACACGTGTCAAGAGGACTCACTCGACACGGTCTGTGGAAGTTGCCATGGAAGGTTTTCTTCGACCACTATTAGGTGGGATAGCACAGGATTTAATGTTTTTATTTGTTTTATTCACTCGCGCTGCTCTCCTTCTTCGTTTGTCTCTTTGGGAATGGTTTATATATGTATGTGTTGGCCTTCTTTGCCGTCGTATTATAGTTGAATAACCAAATTATGACGCCACAGGTTGTTTGTTGTAAACACCTCATGTTCACATAAGACTATAACATTTAGCTCAACGCCTACAAATGTACTAACTGCTGAAGAATGAATTCGCATGATGATTAACACAATAATACATGTAGTGTATTTATAAAAGAAAACAATTGATAAAATTGCAATAACTAAGTGTAACTTTGATATCATACTGGTGTCGTAACAGGATGATCCTACTGGTGTAAACCACAGAAGGTGGAGCCACACTCGACATACGATTCTTATACAATCAGATACATCTTAACATCACAAGATTTTCCATTCATTGGTCTTAAAGAAGCCAGACCGATCGCTGACATTTGATGTCTTTATTCGGAGAATGCAAAGAACAGAACAATTCATCCTCTGAGAAATGCATTGATAGAATTTATGTATTTTTAAGCAATGTAGTGGGAAAACTTTACAGAAGCATGTCCACCCTCACAATTTCTGATGACACTCCTTAGAGGTCATTAATACACATTAAAGTGTCCAGCTATGGCAAAATTGTATTATTACGGTTGACATCATTAATTACAGTTTTAACTGTTTAAAACATAAACGGATTTAGTTTTAAATAGCAAATACATTCAGGTAAATATGTCTCTTGACAACTTGTTGCAAAATGGTAAAAAGTACGATTGTATAATTCAATGCAAAGTCATACAAAAAAAAGTCGTCTTATCGGCAACAATGTAGGGTCATCCGCAATCAAGCCGGCTGCCACCATCGGCATTATGGCAGTGAAGATCCTGTCCAGAGATGACAATGGAAATGGCGACAAAATTAGATGGAGACAGGAGGGATATTTTTTTTTAAACACAAAGAGTCTAAGACACGTTATTGTGGTCTCTAATCAAAATTATGTTTCGTGAACCTGAATGAACCAATACAAATACAAAGGTAAAGGTTGGTGAATGAAGAAAAGTGTTCGGCGAAAATCAATTGATTACTCACAAGCTTCTAATGCCTGATTCGCCCTGATCAGTGCAACCGGCGATTGGGGGCGGAGATGGAGGACAAACCATGAAGCTGATGTCATCCTCAAACTCCTCGCTAAGAGAGACGTGAGAAGTTAATCGTTAACTTTTGCATCAGTCCTGCTTGAGTGGTTGAGATAAGTAACGCGTTAAGTTTGGTGACAAATTGTACCTTTTGTAATGTGCTAGTTCTTCCTGTAGCAAGAACACTTGGGCCTTGAGTTCGTTCTTCTCCTGCAGGACGTCCCGCAGCTCCTGCAGGGTGAAGCGAGGTTTGTTCGAGTCTTGTTCCGGGCTGTCTGTCTCTGGCTCTGTATCCTCCCACACCTTCCGCAGTCATAACATACATTCAGCATTTCTCTCAGCCCGGTTCAACTGATGTATGTTTTGCCTATTTCATATCAACAGTTTGCAAAAATGTATGCAAATATTTTATGGAATAGGAAATGAATCGAACATGCCACTAGCGACAAACCAGGGTGACAGTACGACCATGCTTCTGGTTTTATGTTTAGACTGTGCACAGGGGGCAATTCAACAGGTCTCACCAGTGAGGATCTTTTCGTGTCCTCGTCTTCGTGTCCCTTTTCCTCAATATCTACTCTTTTTGATGACCTTGGGAGAAGTGAAGGACTCTTGTCACGCTCAAAGCAGTTTGCCTGAAAGCCAGGGTCCGTTCCACACTCCACCCACACTGAATTCGGTTTGATGGAGTTAGATGAAGACGACTGGATTGGTAACACAAAACATCCACTTAAAACCTGACAGACTTAATCAACTATGCTCAAACCGAACTTCAGAAGCTTTTCGTGCATGGTCTTACCGTCGTCAGCGACGACGCAGGTGGTGATATCCCAGATCGGCTAGAAGAGGTCTCTTCTACATCAGCAACCTTTTTCTCCATTTTCCTCTCCTGGAGCTCTTTTCTCAGCCTTGTGACCTCCCGCTGCACAGCGACCAGCTCCTGCTGCCGTGCCTGAGCTGCAGCCTCCAGCTCAGCCCTCTGCCGGATCAGCGACTTGCCCTGAGCCTCCATCACGCCAACCCTGTGACGAAGATCCTGGTTGATTCTAATCACCCGCTGCTGCTGCATCTGGAGCTGTTGATGAGACAATGTATATTATGAGCGCACAAAACTGGCTAAAGGAGGTCAATTGTGAATACGTGCTGCATGAGGTCTGAACCCTCACCGCGTCAACGTCCTCGTTTTTAAGTGTCAGTTCATGGTCTCTAGCCCGGATTTCATCCCTCTGCTTATTCACAGAGTCCATCAGCTTCTTCATCACCTGCTTGTCCTTCTCTGACATTCCTGTGGACATCGTACAGAATATAAACAGGACATCAAACATGTTCAAACCCTCTGCATTTTTTATTACATGACACTGGAAATCAAATTAAGTCTTATACTACCACCATGGATCTATTACCATGACCATGTGTCAGTAAGCACAGGTATCATATGACGGAGGGCCTATTCATATTCAATATTTACTAGACTGCTTTAAAACTGTCCTCCTTTACAAGCTCCACACTGCCTCTTCTTCATGCCAACATGCCGTATGTACTGTAAAATCACATGTAACAACACACGGGTGAATATGTGTGACGCACAGCAGATGGTCAGCGCAACACAAATCTGCAATGTGCAAACATTTGGAAAATAAATCAGATCTGTAACTATTGGACATGAGAAAACTAATTTAGTATCCAAAGTCATGACAAAATACCGTCAAACGTCCTGCATGGGTACAGGCAATAGATGTCGGTAGTGTGATTATCAGCAGATGTTGTTCTTGATATTCTTAAAAGTTGTATATTTTACATTACCGTGCTATTTTTTACCATATATTGTCATAAAGCCATTACCACACTTCTGTGATAAAACTTGTTAGGGATTTAAGCAAGAAGTGCACCCCTAACGATGGAAATTATAATACGTGTGATAATGTTTAGTTAGAATTGTAGTTTGTGTGTTATTATATAATAGTTATTACATTAGCATGTTAAATGAAGTGAATGCAATATGAATCAAACACAATGTAGTCATGTAAATCATATAAACACTGTACACATTAACATCCTGTCACAATGTGATGGTAAAACCTGGGGGCGGATGCTAGTTGCCGTCCTTTATGGATTTCTCCTAATTTTCTCCCCAAAGAGGGTTTTTTGGGAGTTTTTTCTCCTGTCAGGTAGTAGATGAACAACTGAATACAAGACAGCAGATTGAGGAAAGTCTTGAGAATTGGACCACATGAACTGTATTAGATCTTATAATGTAGTGTGATGAACGGTGATCATTAATGATGTGTTGTAATTAAGGTGTACTAGTTAAAAGGTGAAGACAAACTATGCACGCTTTGCTATATTCACTCATTGGGGCATAAAGCCAACTGTATTTACATTGAATGCATTGGAATGTGAGGGACAGATAGTACAGTGAGGTTTCAGGTTACAGCTGCAGCTTCACACGTCGATGTGAAGGGACAGTCCAGGAGGTGGCCCTTTGAAGGAGAAGCCAATGACATTCAAATGCACCCAAGAAGACACACCGCAAGAGTTTTCAAATGACCAAAGCGGGGAAAGGACTGTTAGAATTCTGCAGCCGCTTTGATAAGTCACTCTAGACTTGACTCAGAGAATTCTGTATTTCGCAGAATATTTTACTATTCGTTTTGTATTTCACTTTGTAATTGTATTCCTTCTAACATTGTTTAGCTATTAAAGGCTTTTTGATTTTTTTTATTCTATGTCTTTTGATTCTTCGTTTCCAGCCGGGACGAGAACAAAGGAGTGAGGCCTCCTTCGAGGGCTTTCCGAACCCTTAATAAACTCATCGTGGTGAGGTGGCAGCCTGCTGTCACTGAAAATATTTAACCGCTTTTAGGAAAGCTTCATTTTTAAAATTACATTTGGAAAAAACCCTATTGACTGTGGACCTGTCTAGCGATGGCTGTTACCTAATCCCCTTAGTAATGTGGATATTGCCGTATGGGATGGGTCCTGATCACTGTGTCATTTGAAAATGACACATCAGAAAATAAATGGCATCATGATAAGTAAAAGCAGTGTTGTTTTGTATTGCATTTGTGGTCATAGTTGAAATCCTGGTTGAGGCAGGCGACCCACCCCCCTGTTGCTGCTGCTCTTCCTCTGGGACGGGGAACTCTTTGAGCGAGAGGCTCACTAACAGCTTCTTGTTCTCTGTGTGGAGCTGGTTGATTTGAGAGAGCAGGTCCTGAACTTCTCCTCGCCACACATCCTCCACCAGCTCCAACTCCTGAGAACAAGGGATGAAGAAAAATACGTACAGTATACGGGGGGAAACAAACACACAGTCAAGTGTCCTGTTCTAAAGTTGTTGTATAGCTGTGGGAACATCAGCGCTCGACGAAGTCAATAACACCGCCCTTCAGATTTAGCTGCCTTCAAAATTGCCTAGTTGAGTTTGTTGAAAGTGTGTTTAATGATTACGTTGTAATGCATAGTGTAACTGTACCAAAAAGCAATGAATTGGTCCTTTATCACTATGATAGAAGTTAAGTAGTATTGTATAGGAAAGTTTGCTATACTGATGCAATAGTATAGAAATAATATCTACTGTATCTGTGACACAAATACTACCGAATTGATTGAAAGATAAATCAGTCCACTATTTTTAAAAGGGGATTTGTTGCTTTTCTTAATCATTCTGGATGTGACTCGGTGACTTATTCTATGTATTAATTTTATGGATAGCTTAACAGACACAAAGCAAACAGAATGGTAAAAGTGAACGCGCACGCACGCACGCGCACGCACCCTCTGGTGCCTCTTGTCCTGCGCGAATCGGTCGCTGCGCTCCTGCCGCAGTCTGTCCAGCTCCCTCCGCAGCTCCTCGGCCTCATGTCCGGCGGCTGCGCGGCTCACCAGGGCCTCCAGCAGCTCCAGCACCCGCACCACTTTGGGCACCACTCCGACCAGAGACTCGCACCCAAACCTGTCGATGACGCGCTCAAACTCCTGCCCGAGCCCCGCCGCTATGTCGTACACGTCGGTGACCGTCAGCTCCGCCGCGGGTCGGTCCAGCGATGACGTAACGCAGGTTTCCATGTGTGACCTCGGCTTTATTTTCGCCTCCGACATTCAACATGTCGGTCTGTCGCTCCTATGACCCTCCGAGTAGACTCGCATTGATGTTAAAAAACAACAAACCGGTTTGACGACGCAACTTTGTTGACGCTTCTAACGACCAACGGCGCGGGCAGCTGCGCAACTTCTGATGCCGCCTTCACTGAACCCGTGGAAAGTCGTACACGCCGCGTAGCGTAGATTCAAGTGAGTGTCAATGTGACAGTTTATTTGGGTGTGAACTGATTTTGTTTCAAATAAGCTGAACAGCGATTGTCTACCTGTAATACAGTTGCAAATAAAAAGGGCAAGACAAGATAACTGCAAGAAGCGGTTGCGCCACTAGCTGCTAGTTTAAACCCCAGTGCTTACTATTGTCATATACCGATCTATAAGAACAATACAAGTTGTTACTGATCAATTATTTTTACTACCACTTTATATTCGTCATGATCAGACCAGGTTCACCGTTGTGTTCGAGCGAATCATCATATTTACTGTCGCTCCTGAACGCAACACCCCTACGCTCACTCAAAAACCTTGAGCTCATGCCGTTACCGTCCATGCACATCAATCAAAATATCACAGTAACACACAGCAGTTTAGGTACTGTCAGGATCTACATGCATCTCACAGTACCGGAAGCCTGTAATAATCAATGAATAAAATTAACTTTTGTATTAACAAAAAGAAAAAAATAAATTATATAGGAAAAGAGTCTGGAATATTTTTAGCAGCCAACGTTAAAATATCTAATAGGGATTAAACTTCTTGAATGTTGATCAAATAAGACCTACAAAAAAAGCTTAAGAGACCGAGGAACACTTAAACATTTATTGTTCATCGGTTTGACATGTACACTACATGTATACTTCTTACAAGGGGAAACCACTATTATCTTTACTAAAATATATTAATTGATCTTAGTGTATAAAGAAATTTCATACAGAGGAAAAGAAAGAACATAAAACGCATTTTAAGACCCTGTATGAACGGCTTCCAAAGGCAGAGAGGGCTTGACCTTAAACGTTCACACTATACAATAACTTACCCTAAATCTTCATTCAGCTGAAAATAATATGACAATTAAGACACCTACATCAAATAATTGATTTCTCGCTCACACACACTAAATGAGACTTAGTGTGAGTGGTACATACCGACTGTATCTTTAAAGGTACATGTTGATGCATCAGTATAGTACATTCCAAGGCCTCTGAAACAATTTTGTACGGTTGAGAAAGAAAAGTTTTGCACATAAAAAAGGACAATTGTCCATCATGAAGGCAATTGCCGATATCAAGTCAGAGTTTTGTAGCAACGTAGACCCACAGACCTGATTCGCAGGTTTCCGATACCTCCCACCACAACATAAATAGCAAAGAGTGTACATAAAAAATGTTTTTAAAAAAGGAACAAGCTCAGTCATGAACATTCAAAATAAGTGTTCAAAGAGGTTCTCCAAAGCGTGATGAAAACTAGTAACATACAAACTACAATATATACTGTCAATTTGTGGTTATTATTATTGAGGTTTCTATTCTGAAAGCAGCAGAAGCACGTCATCATTTAAAATCGTTGGGATGCAAAAAAGAAATCCAGCCTAAAAGTAAAATATTAACCTTTTCTTTTACTCTCGATAGCAAATCAAAACTTGAAAATAAAAAAAACATGCCTAGACAGCATGTGCCTTTTTAAAAAAGGGTGATAAAGAAAGCACAATCCTAACAGGCTTTGAGGGTCAGAAATAAGTCTTCTGGTCCATTTTGGCAAAAAACAAAAAAGAAAAGGAGGAAAGAAAAAGAGCGGCAGAACGAGGGAGACGATGGTCAGCGTGCAACTTAAAGGATCCACATGTTCACAACACGGCAAAGCTACTCAATCCAACCATCCATCAGCGTTGATGTTTACTCTTCCACTCGGGCATCACTTAAACTGTAACGTATTGAAGAAAAGAGACAAGAAGGTTCATTATCAACAGGTTCAGCAAACACCTTCATGTACAACACACCGCGTTCCTGACGTCCCGTACCGTGGTTTTGGGTGGTATGTTGGGTTTCTGGGCCAGCGTGGGTTTCTTGACGAGCGCAGGCTTGCTGGGTTTTGGCGACATGGTGACAGGATGGTTCGACAGTGTCGTTTCCTCTGTTGCCTCTGAGGGAACTCCGGCCAACTCGTAGTGCTTCTTCCTCAGCTCCCCCAAACGCAGACGCTCGTTCTCTAAATGACTTTCTAGTTCCAGCACCTTCACCTGAGGGGCATGAGGAGAACAGGGTGTTATCCGTGTTTGGAACGGTTTCTGCTATATTTAATTCCGGTAATTCAACAAGCATGTAAAATAAGTCGCGTGTCAGACCGTTCACATTTGTGATTAATTTTAATAATGTTCTTTTCATTTTTTTTATGGCAAAATGTGTTAAAAAACCCTGAACATAATTAATGACTGACCTGTGACTCCATTTCTTCTTTTCTCAACTTGATGACGGACATCCCAGAGAAGTCCATGGTTTCTGCACATGAGAAGTATTGAAGATGTATTAGACAGATGCACATCCGAGTCCACAGTGACCTAGTGCACAGATCAAAATGTACTCGCCTTTCTCCTCCAGGTGCTCCTGACCCGTCCTTGTTGAGGCCACCACGTTTGCTGCCATTTCATTCACGTGGCGAGAAGCCTGCTGGAGAACTGACAGCCTCTTACTGTTGCGTTCCGCCTTAACCTGAGCGCAGAAGACAGCAATTAAGACACCGCACCAACAAAGTAGTTTATTTCCTCAATAAAACTGCATCTCAAAAGGTTTCATCATTATATTCATCTTAGACATCAGACAATTACCTTTGAGGCAGCGACCAGCTGTGCCGTGCTGGCAGCGATCTCGTGAGAGCAGACAATCAACTCTTCATATTTGCCCGTATGCAGCACGACCTTATCAGCAGACTCCCTGTGAGGGAGAAGATAAATGTTCTCTGCGCCTGGGTACAACCAAACACTTCTAGCAATGTGCCCTAAAAAACAAAACAAAAAAAACCCACTAGCTCTGGCACCTGCAGTAATCTTTTTGTTATAGTGGCAAAAACGTCCCGTGTGACTTACACCATCTCCGTGGCTCCCCACCCCACAGCCTTGGCAGCAGAGATCAGCCCCTCAGTCCAGCGAGAGTTCCTGGCATAGAACTCCTTAATGCTCGCTGCACCCTGAACATGCCAAACAATAATACGGTTAGTCCCCGTTGGTTGATTTTCTGAATAGAACAGAGCAGCACCTGGTTTGGAACAAAGCTGTAGAACGCTAACAAAACCAAAGCTGCAAGTTACGGATTCAAATTCAGAAAGTTGGGACTCACCCTCGAACCCTCCACTATCTCCTTCTGCAAGTCTGTGGATGATATGATCAGCAAGCGGATGGCCTACGAAGAGCGGAGGAAGACAAGAAATTAGGACTAAAAAACAGGATGCATGTATAGACTTGCAGTAGAGAACAGACAGAACATTAGTTGAGTACAGTACCTTCATCAGGTCTGTACAGCTATTGAGGATTCTGAAAAGAAATTAAAAAAGGAAGGATTTGATAAGTGCATATAGGGATCCAAAGGTTTTTCTTCATCATGCACTTTTTGTGTTTTTTTTATTTGAAAGACTGTCCCCACCAGTTTGATTTTAATTAGAATTAAAGAGACAAGGCATCTTGTTACAAGATGCCGTTTGAAGTCAGAAAAATAAACAAACCTTTCATTGACCTCCAGTTTAACTCCTGATGTGTCCTTTCGCGCCTGATCCATCATTTCCTTTAAACAAAACCAGTCACAACTTCTATCAGTTACATTCAATTCACAATACAAAAAGGTAGATTATTTATAGATCATATTAGCTCCCCCCGATGTAAGCTTTGCATCACTTACATCAATCCTGCGGACAGCCTCCTCAATAGCTGCTGATGTTGCAGCCATTTCCTTATCGACCAGATCCCCAAGCTCATCCTGACGAACGTCCATGCCCTTTGGCCTAAGCTCCTACATGAAACAAGAAAATACGATTACTAATGATGAAGGAAAAAGGCATGTGAAAGGACTTAAGATGTCACTGGTGAACCGAAATGTCTTGATGTAGATAGAAGATCTGATATCAAAAAGAAATGACAAAATAAGCAGTAATATACGTAGTAGCAAGTAATATAGCATATGCAGAAAAACAAATAGTATATCAACAGAAAAATACTGCATTAGAACACACTGATGCTTCTACAGTGTCCAGACACCTTTACATTGAGTCAAAGCCTGAATCCAGATGTTCATTTTAGCCTCCATGGAAGCAAATTATTAAGTGGAAACATTGAGAGCACATCTACACTTAAATATGACTCCAACGCTTCAGCTGTGGGATGTATGTATGTATGTATGTGCACACACACACCATCTACAAATGGCAAAACAGTGTAAAGAGCATAATTATGTAACACATAAAAAGAACTGTCAATTTCTGGTAATAGTATTTAATATAAAAATACAGATATGCTGTTTTAGGGTCTCTCACCTGACCCAAGTAGAGGATCTTTTGGACAACCACTCGAATGGAGGCCGTGTCTGCCTTTTGGAGGGTGGTCTTGGACTTCAGGTCCTTGAAGAACTCCAGACTCTCAGTGGCGCAGCCTCTACAGTTCTCAGTCAGTCCTGTTGGTGGTAAAAGGCTTTTTGTCGTGTTCTTTTTACACAAAGGACTTAAAACTCAGTCAAATTCAGCTTTTTCAGGGATTTAGTTTTACATGGGAATGAATAATGTGGTTGATAAATAGTTATACGACTAACGTTATGTCAAGTACATAAACTCCTTACGGTCTGCATGGTCAGTGGGTGCCATGTGTGCAGTGGCGCTGCCGTTAATGATCGTATCCGCAGCCAAGTGGGAGAACTGGGTCAGAGCCCTCAGCAGCCCTCCAGCATCTGGTTACAAGAGGGAACCGTGAGAGAGCAGCAGGCCACGAGGTCAGCAGGATCACGTTGGGCCAGAAGCAGAGAAGACTCACCCCCCATGTTACTCAGATAATCTGCATGGCCCCTTTTCACTTTGTCAACGGAGCCCAGCGTTGCCTCTGCCCGGCTGACCAGGTAATCTGTGTTTAAAGGACAAACACATATCAGTTAAAGTGTCTTTGGTGCCATCTTATCAGTTTGTTGAAATAATAGAACAGGGGTCAGACCTGGAGAGCTGGTGCAGCGTATATGAAGGGGATCATCCAGTTTTGCAACAGCATCTTGGATGATGTTCTCGGCCTCTGTGACGGTACCCTGCAGCATGGCAAACTGATCCTGCAGAAGTTTCTGCTTAAGCCGCTCCTCCAGACTCATCTAAATGCACACACATGACAACGCATACGTATGTGGATTAATATGATGAAAACGCAAAGTACAGGGTAGATTTTTGTATCATAACCCTCTCATGATAGATCTTAATATATACATAGTGTCATAACACAATATCCCAATTTCATTAACAAGATTTACCGATACTGTCCATAAATTACCAATTGAAGCCTGTGTTTATTTTGCCCTTTTTAAGGTGTGGCGAGTAAAGCTATACTGTATAGTAAAGGACAAGGTCCAGAGGCATTTGCACATTACTCTCATTCTACCCACATTCTGCTTTCTTTTGGAAATATTCATTATAAAAAAAAAATGAAAGCAAAAATGGTTTCTTTGTATTTCTTAGAATATATCTTAAGAGCTTTATATTGATTAGATTTATTTGGATGATGGCATGGGTCCGAGACGATTTATATGAAAATAAAGCCATTCTGTTAATTCTCACGTTTATACACTCTACAGCAGTGGTCCCAGCATTTTCTCCTAATTATGTGCGCTCGTCCCTCTGACATATTCCCCACGCGTTTTTCTTTTGTCCCCCCTTCTCGACCGGTCCGCGAAATATTGTCTGACATGAAAACGGTCCATGAGGTAAAAAAGGTTGGGGACCACTGCTACAGCCTGATCAGTTTACTTCTCTCTAACATAGTGTTGCCATGATATAGACTTCCCTTGTTCCCAAACTGTGCTATAAGTATTTTCCTCTATTCATTATCGTCATATGGTAGAAAGTGCGTCACTGTTATTGGTCACTGCAGGTTTTCTAAAATACTTTTAAAGGCAGATTGTGACTCCTAGTTTGATTAAGTTTATATATTGTACAGGCAAGTCTAAACTGAATACTAAAATGATGTGTTTTCACGCTGCTGAAGACGGACCTTCTCCTGCAGTTTGCCCTGCAGCTCTCCCAGCTCCCTGCTGCTCCTCTCTCGCTCCTGCTGAAGCGACGACTGCTGCACCTGCGCAGCCTGCCGCACCGACGACAGCTCCGCCTCCTTCTCGCTCACAGATCGCATCAGACGCTCCTTCTCCGCCTGCAGAGCCGTCACTGAGCTGTTCATTTGCTCCGACGTCTGGCGAGGGGAGAGAGCGATGAGGGAAGAGTGTCCATCCGGACGTGTGTGACACGATTCGAGTCTCAAACAAAGAACGACTCTAAATACTAAGTCATTGAGTTAGTGGCTCATAACGTTGCAGCTGAACGCACCTGCTCGCTGTCCTTCAGAGTCCCCCTGATGCGCATCACTTCTGCCATCTTCTCCTCCAGCTCTCTCTTCAGCTTCTCCATTTCAAACTTCTTCTCATCCAGCTACAATAAAACAGCATTATTTAAACCCACCCAACACTGCTCTGCTGCCTGGAAAACCTCCATGCTGGTGTAAAGAAGCAACACCGACCTTCATGTCAGCTTCCTGTTTAATCCGATCAACCTCAAACGCCAGCTGCAGTTTGGTCCTCTCCACCTCTTCCTGGGTCTGCTGGGTTGCTGATAGCATCCGCACAGTATCTGCACTCTGTCGGCACATTAGCACATTTAAGCGTTGCGTTACACGGCCAGGTGCTGACGCGGCATCTGTGGTCTGAAGTCGGTCTGTACCCTCCGAAGTAGCTCTGCATGGCTGGCCACCAGCTCCGTGTGCTTCTCCTTCAGCTTGTTGTAGCGCTGCTCGGTGGCCTGCGCTCTGCCTGCACAGCAAAGACAGATGTCAGCGTCGACGTGTGCACTTTGCCACATTTTGCCAGTCTGCGCAAGAGACCGAATTGACTCCATGTTTTACTTTCTGCTTCGACGAAGACGGCCTGCGTGCTCTCATGTTCTGCGTTTCGGCGCCGCGTCGCCTCCAGCTCCATGCGCAGTTGTTCGTTTTCCACGAGAGCGTGCTGCTTCCGTGCGCGCTGCTCCTCCAATTCTGCCTCCAAACTGTTGATCTGGGACTTCAGCTGTGTGATGTAACGCTGGGCCTTGAGGAGGGCAAAAAAATGAGAGATCGTCATTTTAGGAAAAATCTACCAATGTCAGTACAAATTAAGTGAAGACGCACTTATAAGATCAGTGTGTCAAAGCCGTTCCGTTGAGCCAGGATGCACAACTCGAAGGCCGCTGGCTCACTTATAAGAAACTGTGGCATAAATAAGGTCATTGATCACACCCATGTTGACCCTGCAATCAAACGTGAAAATGGCATATAGATAAAGATAAAGCACAATACACACAGCAGAGAGAAGCGAGATTACATGAGAGAAAAAAAAAGAAAAAAAAGAACTCAGCTGGACACCCGTGTCTCGCTCAGAGACTACTTGCCACGTCCCACTTGTCAGGTGCAGGATTTGCATACACTCAACACATGACCCAGATTCCTTTGCATAGATAACAACGCCTTCTGCTACCACGCCTCTTCCACGAATACAATAGAAGCCTGAAAAAGGAGATTCTGTATCAACAGTCCTTACCTCGGCTTTGATTTTCTCCAGCTCTGCTCTCAACATCTCCATGTCATGCTTATAGCCCTCAATCTGGAGATCCCTGCAAGACAGAAAACACAGTCACAATGCGCCGGCACCAACTGAAACTCAACAGTCTGAGCGGCGATCACAGGTCAGTTAAAAACACCCTGGCTCACCGATCATCGAAGCCTCCATTCGGAGGTCCAAACGTCTGATCGAATATGTCGAATTGCTAAGAAAGAAGAAAATAAGTTTAAAATAAATAGAAGGGTGGCAGTGCAGTGACTTTGGAGGCATTAGTGACCTGTACCATACCTGTGGCGCCGCCTGTAGGCTGGGTGTTGAGACGTCGCTGACCTCAATGAGCGGCTCGGGATCATCGTCGTCATCCTCTTGTTGCTCGGGTCCGTACTCATCAGGGATGACCACCACTGGCTTCACGTGCTTAGCCAGTGAGGCTGCATGCAGGAAGTTAGGTGGGGACTGACAAAAAGGCACAATTACCATTTTATTTATGTTTGTCAATGAGAGAACCATCACAGCAAGCGTCAGCAGATCAGAGCAGTCTGTGTAAATAACAGCACGTCTCCACAGTAGCCGTATTTTTAAGAGGTCATTAACATCCAAGGAGGGGACTGACTCCGCACAAGTCCTCCTGCCGCTCGCTACCCTTATGAGCGCTTACATCTGGCAGCTTGGGGATCTGGATCAGCCTCTTGAAGTACTGCATGTCTCTGGCTTTATTGAAGAAGGTCTTCAGGCTGCAGATAACAACAAGTGAACACAATGTTTAATAGACATCAGATGGCTGTCGCATGTTATGATCACAGTAGGCGGGTACGGCACGCTGTGCAATCCTCTCTGAACTCCGCAGCAAAAATACACCTGCGACCGTGAAACACCACAAAGGACGGGAAGCCCCGCATGGGCACATTTGCATCAGCACTGCTGGGCGAGGCAGGATTATGTCGCACAATAACTACCGCGGCCGCTTTGACGCAGCCGCTCTCGTTCACACGTGGTCGTGGACGTCCTACCTGTGGAACTGGTCGTGGAAACGATCGCGGTGTCCTTGTAAGGTGTCAGCGGGGAGACCTGAAATCCACAACGCCGCATAAACGTTCTCATGCTTTCAAAACACAGATCATGTCAAGGCAATAGATTCATTTGAATTTAATAATCAACCGGCTTGTTTATAATCCCCCCCCCAAAAAAGCTAGCTACATTAGTAGCTTCATTGGTAAATAATAATGAGTGTTCTCACAGGCATGCAGCTTGAACAGCAGCTTGACGGTGAAGTGGTAGAGGTGACTACAGTCCTGCACGACTTGAATGAGAGGAGCCAGCCGACACTGGCCTGATGAGAGAGTTGAGATCGCGATGGATGTGTTGAGCTGTCGGATCACTAGGAGAGATCACACACAGGAAGGAATGTTAAGAATCCCTTTCGACTGTCACACCAAACATTTTGCCATTTGCTTTTCCATTAATATCCTTGTAACTGAAGTTTCTTGCTTTCCCTTGGATTACAAGAACGTTTATTTCACAGTTCAGATTAAAAAAAAATGTGTTTGTGGTGTTCAAGGCGGGACCCCGGTCCTCCGCCCTCCAGCCATGGAAGGAGCATACCATTGCAGTTGCACTGGAGGAAATTAACTTAATGTCCTCTAATTGAAGGCATTTCCTTGAACACGAGTTACAACTAAACCAACCGACATAATCAGTTTCTTAAAAAAATAAATAGAAAAACGAGGAGGAAAAGAGTTGCTCACAAGAATCCATTCTTCAAAAGGGCTTTTGGTTTGTTAACATAAATATTTAATGTAACCAGGCTGCAGCCCTTCACTGTAGCTCAAGTTTCTCTTCCTTGGGAGGGTAGGATGGGGGATGGGGGGGTACAGAGTTTGTTTTTCACCTGTCTCAGCCAGCCTCAACTCTGCGTCCAAGTAATCAAACACCTCCACTGTGAGCTGGAAGCTGCAGGAGAGAAGTTGATACCTCGGTCAGACACAGAACAGATGAAGATGTGACCACGTGGCATTAAAACAGAAGCAGAGCGTGTCCAATTTTGTTGTTTAGTTGCCAGTTTGTCTAAAAGCAGCTGTGCTCACGACTGCCGATTTGAACTGTAGGTTTAAACAGATGAGGTCACTTTCTGCAGCGGTCAGAAACTCACACATTATTGATGTCGCTTCCCGCAGTGCGCTCCAGGACTTCGTCGGTGGCTTCCAGGTTTGGCGGGATGTCTGCATGCTGGAGAGGTGCATTGTCGGGAGGTTTAGAGTCTATTCCCATTCACGGTGGGAATTCATATCATTCGCAGAGTCATCCTTTCAGTATATGACCCAACACAAGGGGATCCTCTCACCTTCACATGAAACTCCATTTTTGTGCAAAGCAGCTTAGTATACAGAACTACCAGCTGTCCATATTTGTCATGGAGGTCCCTCTGGAAATAGGTGGGCAAGAATAAAGCACAAATAATACTGAGTAACATATTCTATGTTGTTCAGTTGACGCGTTTTGTCTTTACAAGAAATCAAGTCAACCTCAAAAGTATATTTCTGAAATTGCATTTTCCCTGAAAGCACTTCAGAAAATATTTAATAAGATAAAAATGCAAAAACTCACCCATAGTTTCCCAATTTCAACGAGAGAGCCGTGGTGCCTCATGCAGTCTTGTAGAGCCTGTGAAGGAGACGGCTTGAATGAACAGCTCCTGCGATTAACTTTAAATTAATGGAGCTTTCGCCTTTTGGACGAAGCCTTAATTCACTTTCTAAAAGTGAACCAATCCAGATGTTACTACCAGAAATAATAGAAAAGGAATGAGAGCCAATAAAGAATTTCAAGACAATATTAAGTCACGTAGGGTTTCAATGCTAGTTTTTTCCCTTTTCATTTCTTTAACATTTCCAGGCTTTATGTTGAACTGAGGATGCTGCAATAGTCCAACAGTAGTCAAAAGAAATCTGCGGTTTTAGAATAGTAAGAGGAAGTAAGAAAGGGGTACTAGACGTACATTGCGGTGTCCATCCCGCAGGATTTTGTGCAATACATGGCAGAACTTCCAGCTGAGAATGGAGCTGCTGGCCAGAGGGAAGCCGAGAGCGTAGGACCAGAAGGTGTAGGCTCCCTTCTCCCGGTGAGTCCCCAGGATGATTCCTGTTGGCAAGCACTTAAGGAAGCGTGTACAACATGTGCCCTTCCCACACATTCTGACAACAAGAGGAAATTTGACCAAACATACAATGAAATTGCCTTTTTTTCTGCCGGCTTAGAAAATGTGTTACGAATAAATGACCTTACAAGTAGTGATGAGAAGGCTGCACAAATAGAAGAGTTAAGATTCTTGATGTTAATTTGAAATATGATTGCATGTAAGGGATACGTCGTGCGTGTTTCTCCTTCACAGGCATCTCAGAGGAGTTGATGGCCTTGCCGATGCTGCTCAGCTGAAATGAGAGGAGAGGAGTTAATCTTGGATCTTGTCCGGCTTGCTTCTTCACCCACACAACCATCAAATATTGGGCTAATAGACGTAACAAGCCATTACAGGTTAAAGACAGACTTGGATCAAAGAGACGATAACAAGCTGCGCTGCATTGACAGGAATGACTCAGAGAAACAATGACTCTGCAATTTTGTACACACAGGACTTTGGCCTTTAACCTTATAGCCTCAGACTCAAAGGGGAGTTGAAGCTTAGCATTGCTGCTGATACTTTGTCACAAACACCTTGATTAAGTTCTGAATCAAACTTTGTTTTTCTATATCTAATGCGGCTACCTGTAATGTTTAAACAATGAATGTGTGTAGTGTTGCGTGTTATTCATTGTCCTCCGTGGGAGGTCGTGTCAGGGAAAGCAAACCCTGCATCTAAAGATAACATCACATGCGATCTGCCTGATAACGAGAACCCGTGTGTGTCTCCAAAACCAGAGAGTGCAAAAGCAGCTCAGCAACCTGCACAGCCGGTAAAACAACCGTTGCACTAAAGGAGCAGGAAGGAAAAAAAAAACAATACAAAAAAAAAAAAAAAAAACTGACACAACTGTCGGATGTGTCCCCACAGACATTCAGTCATTTGAATGAACTTCACATACAAAGCAATGGGAAAGCTCCCATATGTGGTCATGTTACACCAGGGAGCGCTCCACGGGCATCACACCCCTTTTTGTACTAATAGATTTATAGAGTGGAGATCAACCTCTTTCCTAACAAGGTCTTTGTTTAATTATTATCATCATTATTTGTGCTTTTAGAATTAATCTAATCTGCAAATTAAAAACCGAGCAAAATATTGTATTCTTTTAAGGTTTGTCCGGTTCTAAGCAAAATCATTTATTGCTTTAGTGCACAAGTCTGAAAACAAAGACTGTCTTGCTCCGAGCAAAATAATTCATTAATATCTTCATCCTGAAATAACGATGAAACAAGCTTACATTAGCTATGAATGGTAAAGAGAAAGCATGACATGGAGTCAGAAGATGGAGAAAGTCCTTCACAGAGTGCGATGTGCAGCGAAGTTTGAACTGCATTTACATGAAGAAACCAAGTTGGAAAATATATAATTTATGGTTCTGGGAAAACTCATAACTATGGGATGTTAATATGCATCTATCTCCTTCCTTCATGGCTATTCAATTGAATTATGTAGTACAATGTATTTCATTGCAGCCCAAATGCACAGCACATTTAGATTATATATATATATATATATATTATATATATATCTCTCAACTATTTCTTCTAAAATAAAAAAGATTTAAAACATTGAGTCACTTACATGATAATTGTGCAAGCATCTATGCATCTTAAGGCCATTAACAATTGCCCTGAACTACTGTGACGACACCCAAAGCTAAATTAGGCTTAAAAACAGTGGCAGGCCTCGCCTTTAAGTCACAATTCAGTTCTTTGTTTTGTTTAAAGCAAACTTCTACACTGAGGTGTGGCAATTAACCAGCTTGGTAGGATAGGGAAATATATTAATAACCCTCCCAACACGATTGGCTGTGATTATTTAGTCATGTGGACATGAGTCAAATGCTTACAAGTTTGCATCAAAATAGCAAAACGTTGTGTCAGAAATGTAATTAAAATCTTAGTCCTTATGTACACCGTGTCATTCAAACTCATCCTTTCAAATGCATATAATCTCCATGATGTCAGTAAGCCAGCTTCACATCATAGTATTACGTAAGAGACTAATCCAAAACACAGTTCAAGCATTTAAGCTAAAGCATCTTCTACGTCAGCCTCTCTTCCCAAATGATGATCCCGCATAAAACCCCTGCTTAAACACCAGCCTGTAACCGGAGCACGACATAGAACATGCCAGCACACATCGGTACAACACTGGATGTTTGGAGTTACCCTCAGACAAACGGCGTCGCAATCCACGTTACATCTTCGCTTGAAACATAAACACACATCATTGGCAGACACCCCAAATGCCACCAACACTATGAAAGCCTCTTTAATGCATTACCAAAACCGGGTAACCCCCCCCCCCCTAACCACACACACACACACACAAAATACACATGGTCACATAAGCACAGAGGGGCCAGTGTGGTGGTTCAGAGTGAGAGGGGGTGCACTGATCCCGACGCAGATGAAGTGCGCGCCTCGTCGCGTGCGCGGGCAAAGTGCAGTGAGCCAACACGGAGGCCCGTGTGACAATGAGGGGTTTGTTTGGGCGAGGAAGGCAGAAGGTTGGGCTGGATGGGGGGCCGCGGGTCTGGCACACAGAGCCTGGCGCTGAGGCCTCAACAGATGGCAGATGAGCAGGGAGGCTGCAGAGAGACTCGCGTAGTGGACTCACAACTGCCGTCAGTCAGAGATCAGCGAGGGGCCACAATAATTTACCCAGACATGGGGCATTTTTCCACTGCAGCTTTTTTTCTTCTTTTTTTTGAAAGGGGGGCGGGGAGGGTAAAGGTTTTCGTATCACTCATCCGGGAACTGCAGTGTGCATTCCCTTATCTGCACATAGCTCAAGGCGACAAGGAAGTAATAAGCACCAAACTGCGCTCGCTGCCTTATGGATGAAGGATTATCAATTAATCTTCCTTTGATTCTCTTGATTAAAAATGTGGCCAATAGAACATCAGAAATTTTGGAGATCAGGGTGACTTTAAATTTTTTATCTGATCAATGAACTAAATTATGTATCCATCACAAGTCACTTTTGTTTAATTTCCTACTAATGAAAACAATTCTTATTCAACTATTTTCCTCACTAATAAGAAAAGTGTGTCGTTGCGGAAAAGCTCTGCAACGACACACAAAACCAGTCTCACAATCAAGCTGTTTATCAACCTACGCCAGTTCACACACAAACACCGACACCATTTCCTTAAGGCCATCGGCAAATGTTATCCAGATGAGATCAAAACATTTTACCCACAGAGCAATTCGGTCCAAGCGTACACGACTTGCTGCCGCCTGGCCGCCCGCTTAGTGCTACAGGTGGTCCGTAAATCCTCACCGCAGCAGAGAGGAGACGTGAGAGGAGGGGGAAGCCTGTGCTAATCCTTACGGTTAGCCATGAGGTCTATTGGCAGCTAGCGTTTCCGCAGCCTCTACGGCCCCTCCACAGCGGCCACGCTGCACAAACACCTGCGTCTCCGCCTTACCTTGTCGTCTCTGCCTTTCAGCAGGGCGTCCATGTGCTTGGACATCCTGGTGTGGCAGAGCGTATGAAGCTACGGAAGTCAAAGCATCAGCGCTGCACCGGAGCGGCTTCTCACTGGATACGTTGCCCCAAGACGAGAGCACTTATTGCAGGTCCTTATCAGCTTAATTCAACAGATTGCTGCAGGGGCTCCGGCGGACAAGGTCACAAACCGTGTTTAGCACGGCTCACACCTGTTGGCCGGGTGAACCAATAACAGCAAAGCTCGCAATTCACCAGACGTGTGTTTTAACGCAGTGGAAGATGTGAGTCACAGACACAATAAAACAAAAAATGTGAATGATGGCTTTGTCAATTTGATATTTTTCTCAAAATTAAAAAGGTTACTTTTTTAAGGTTTTATTTTATTAATGTCATCTGGTCTCCATTGCACTGTGTCCATTCTTTAATGAAACCAGCACGGCCTCTTCTACATCGTTATTGGCAAAAATCATAAAGAAACCCACACTGGGCATTGAGTTTGGCCCCAACTGCTCATTCGATCCAACGCTGATAGCGTGGATGGAGGAACTTAAGAGTTTAATTTATTACGGTAATGTTTTGAATGGTTGCACAGACAGTTGTGTTCCATTATACGGTTCTGTCTTACTCAAGTTAATTATTTACACCCACCTCATCCATTAAAATATTCAACAAAATACAAGCCGCTCTATAGCAGCCAGACTGTTACTAATTGACATGATGTTTAGGGGAGCGGGCCACAAAACATAAAATACCATTGGGAAGATATTACGGTTACATTGGGTTGAGGACTTTTTGTAAATTATGTTTTCATGGTTGTACTCCTCAAAAACATGACGGTCATCAGCATTACCTGCGGAAAGAAGCGATTAAAGACGCAATCAAAGCTTGAAACCATCCACTTTTTGTTTTATGACGAACATTAACATAAGAAGTCTTAAATTAACACATCAGCCTTTTTTGAATCTTTAATTAAAAAGCGTGAAAACAAGCCTGACCAACATGCTTTTAATTCACTCCCACTACTCCCCCTCAGTAGCTGCGTGTCTGCCCTCTGGTGCTCCCATCCCCCTTCCCTCGCTCAGGCAACAAGAGCGAGGGAAAGCAAACACTACACACAAACACACACAGGGCGCTGTGTGAGACATTTCACCTTGGTACCGAGGTCAACAGAGAGGAAAGAGCGCTGGAGAGGAGTGACAGCGAGCTGCTGCAGGAGTTTCTGCAAAAGCATTTGATGAGTCAGCAATTACTTAGAAACTCAACGACAAGGATAATAAATATAAACGATACGAGGGTTAGCATTCTAAAGCTGCTCAGTCTGTACAATTTGCAAGTAGTTGACCAGCTGAGTCTTCACATCTGCCAAACTACCTATTGGCATATCAATCAGGTGACATATTCCGCCCGGAATCAACAAATATGCGGCAGAATTAACAAGTGAACTCAGGGCCACAGACAGGAGTTATTTCACTGTTGCATATGACGTATTGTGGTTATTTTGTGAGAAAGTCTGGGTGCAGGTGGAAGGTGTTGAAGCACCGGGGCCCCGCCTCTCCACACGTGCTTCATAAGCAAATAAAACACTGACAGAGACGCAGCGTAGTACTGAACGTGCTGGAAGTGGAACCTCCCATGCAGCTGTGTAACAGTTTGTGTAGTGACTCAACCTGGTCTGAATCTCACATTTACATGCGAGGGAGAGGCCAGTACCACGCCATGACTTTACCAGACTTAAGCGCTTAGTCAACAGTGCCGTCTGCATCACAGTATCCTTGATGGTAAAGAGCATAAATGACTTTACTTAGCAGAGCAGTGCAGTGAGGTCATTACCCCAAAACCACAGAGCACTTGCATTAAAAACGTCATCAACCTCCTCTTTTCGGTGAAAGGAAACTGATTCACACGGTTTAGTTTAAAGTGAAAGCACTATTTGAAGTTCCCAATCCGACAACAAAACTACCACAGGTAGAAACACCGTATGGGAGAAAAAGTAGCAGAGCAGGAAAGACCTGATCAGCATGACGCCAATTCACAGACAGCACTGAATGTGCGGTGTGGCAACACAGAACAATGTGGACATGTGTGGCTTTCAGCCTTCAGGCTTTTGTCAAGAATACATACAAATACATTTTCATAACCCCCCCCCCTTTTTTTTGCTATATATTGATCTAGACTGTACACACTTGTGCAAAACAGGACCTGTGAACTCTGTTAGGAACCTGGCTCAGGCTTTCTGGACACGGATGAGCTTTTCATACCTTTCAGGTACCGGTTTTGGTGCTGTGAGCGCGGCCAGCTGAGTGCCACATAGACCCAGAACAGGAGAACAAACACTCACAACAACCCAGCTCGACAAATAGCACTACGGGACCGACGACACGTGCGGGTTTTTCTTCGCATGTTGGGCCTGAAGCGCACCTTTAATTCCCATTTCAAAACATTCAATTCCCAGGTTAAAAGCAGTTAATTGGAAACGTGGCCTGTGCGCGGGCGTTCACCGTGAACACGCACGCGCACACGGAGTGAAATTGCCGTCCCGGTTCTCACCGAACACCCGCAGCCTCGTACTGACGCGGTTTTACCTGCTGCTTGTCAAAATGCTCCCTCTCCGCGCCGAGGTTGACCTCAGCGCGCCGGCTCTTCGCCCGGGCGGGCCCGTGCCTCATGCTGCTCATCCTGCCGCCTGCCCCGCGACGATGACGATGACGGCTCGAGAAAAGAAGCCAAATAAACGCTTGGCAAAAAGAACCGAAAAGGACCGCGTAGCCTGGGAGGAGGGATTCGGGCGGCGCGTCGTTCTGTCGGGACCCCCGATGGACACCTCCGCGCTGCGGACTCGCTGCTGCTGCACCGCGGCTGGAGGAGGAAGAGCGATGGGCGCGTTACGTGGATGGATCCTCCCCCTCGGCGGAGGAAATCATCCTCGTCATCGTCATCATTTGTTTCTTGCCGCCGCCGATGTCATCGCAGATCAGTGTTTTAAATCAGCGTTTCTCTTTCTTTAGCTTGTGCGTTGATGGGTTATTTCCCCCCCGTCTCTCGCAGCTGCGTCTAGTGACGTCACCTCGATATAATCAAAAACAAAAGCGGATTATTTCAATTTTCCCTTTTATAATCCCGATATTTTATCTGCTTCTAACCATAACAGTGGGAAAAACAAACAAACCAGGAAGGGGTCGAACTAGGGGAGGTATCTGTGACACATGACACGTGAGCCAGGCCTCAAACATAAAGCATCCTACAAACCACCGTGTCTGTAAGTTGCCACTTTTTCACACGAGTCTTTTAAATCTATGTTTTCTTTCTGTTTAGGGACTACGAACCCCAATGCCATGTACTCATTTAGGATTAATTCACTGAATGACATTTAACCCATAAAGAGGTGCAGCTGTTTTATTAATGCTCACAACTTTAAAACGTCAACGTCATTTGAATGTCTTCTGTTGATTTGCTTTTATAAAAACCATCAACAAATAACAATAGATCTTCGTACACTCGTACACTCATTTATAATTATTTTAAATGGCTCTGGAGTGTGGAGCCTCTTGCTTTGTCCGTCTATTCTCGACTTGGCTGACGTGACCTGAGGTACCTGGAAAAAAACTATATATATATATTTGTGCTCGATTTTTTGATATGTTATCATTTCAAAGCTTTGGCCCAAACCTTCAGAAAGACATCTACTCAATGAAGAAACAATAATAAGCAAAGGTAATACATTCTAGAATTGGACAACCTGTGTCTCACATGCTGTTGTTTGACAGTGTACTAAGAAAACTAACCCTTCAGTTGTGTCTTTTGTACAGTTTACGATCTGACCTCTTCAAGGTTGCAGGACAGGAATTTCATGTTTTCACGCCGGGTGGAGTCGGACCATGGTGTTTTGTTCACAAAAATGCAAGTGATGCGACAACAGGAGGAGGGAACAAAAGGAAGAGTTTGCCCTGCAGGCTGAACTGGCTCTTTCACATTTTTGCATGGTGTTAAAGCAGCACACACATTGTCAACCGGTTTCTGAACTGTCAAACCCAACTCCCATCCATCGATGAATGACTGAGTGGGAGCCCCGACAGGTGACATAGCAGTAACTGCTAAGTCATGTGAGAATGGTTCAATACACACTCGCATCAGTCCAGTACAGCGATCAAAAAGCACGTTGGAATGTTATCCACTAGATGACAGTAGAGGTTTACAAACTGATTCTGTGAGCGACAAACTGAGCTCCCCCATAATCATTTTTAGCCCTCTGGTGGCTTTGACTGTTAAGTAATGTTTATGAATGAGCCAATTCATTCCACACACAATTCATTCAACGTGACTATGGATGCGGTTGGTAACTCAAAAAATCAACATAAAACATCACAATCACCAAATTGAAAACAATGCACTGCTATATTGATTTTATGGCCGACATTTGTATTTTTTCTAAAGCATTAGATTCAAATGCCATGTTTTTGTTATATCGATATTAAAGGAGACATTCTAGTGATTCATGAACATGCACAACAGTTCAAATTATACATTCAATTGATCATCACTTTAAAACACAAATCCTACCAGTCCTTCACACAGAACAAGAAGAATTACTAATTGTGGCCTCCAAATACATTAATGTGAATTTCTGCAAATTGATGCGGTCACCAATCACCCAAACACATAGACAGACAACATGCAGCACTGACATTATCTACACTAACATTTCTATCTGCGTCCATTTACAATGCTGTTGAGAAGGAACCCATATCAAAAGCTAGTCTACACACAGGAAGACACACGTACACACTGATCTTCCTCTTTGAAAGGCTGTGGTATTATGTAAAAAAACATTCATTAAACTCAAACAAAGAAGCAACCAACAACTTTCATGGCGGCTGCACATACGTTGCTACCTGAAAGACTAATTTATGCTCAATGTGAATTTATTCTACATCATCAACACAACCAACCTCTTGGTAGCTGGAGAAATAGAAATCTTGAGAGACATGTGAATTATGAAAAGCAGAACGGTCTGGCTTCCTGTAAAGAGAAAAAACAGAAACACTTTTTTTCAGATTAGAGGTTTACTTCTAAAAATACCAAAAGTTGTCACAGTGTCACCAAAGTCAATTCAATGGAACTCAGTGTCCTGCTACCACTGTTGGGCACCATTGTACACATTGTTGTTGGTGGCCTTATTAAACATGTTAATTCCCTATAAATATAGAACATCCACTCAATAAATAATACAAATAGGGAAATTCTTTACACCAAGTGAAAACAAGTCACTCTTACCAACTTAATTCACGTAATTGAGTGAAAAGCACGACACGCAGCTCTGTGTTGTATAAGTATGTCGTATATTGTATAAGTATAACATCAGCATCTGCTGACTTGTGGTATCGGCTGACACTTAAGAAGATACATATAGATTTGGTTCATGGTGGATACAGAAACAGACTTCAACCTATTGCATGGAGGTAATAAACTTAAACTAGAAAATGCATTTCCTGCTGAAAATCCGTTGGAATGCAAAAAGCTGAAAGCTAAACTGAATTTTTTAAAATAGCTGAAAATACAGAAAGTTTAAGGGAATTTGAATTAAAAAAAAGATAAATATAGATGATTTTGTTCATAAATGTGGTGGATACTGAAACAGACTTCAAACTATTACATGGAGGTAATAAACTTAAATAATGGATTCACAGAAACCCACCATCAACAATGTAAAATACTTTTTAAAAATGTGACAATAGAAATAACTCAATAACATACAGTATCAACTCTCTGAACCTGTTGCTATCTGTGTGCATAGTATTAAGTAGTAGTAAGTATAAGTGGAACCTTGACTAAGTGAACTGGTAATCCTGGTAAGCTTATGTCACATAAAACTCCCCCGTGGACAGGAGGTAGAGGGCGTGATCAGTAAAGGTCCGTGCAAAGGATAAAGATCCGTGCAAAGGAAGCGTCACCTCGGTTCTGTTGCTTGCTTCCTCACAGAAATGCGAAATGGGTGACAGATAGCACAAGTGAAGAAGGGAAGTCCTTCATATGACAAAGATCGAAAAAAACTCAAATGTGTGCTATATCAACTCGGAAATTAATTTAAAAAAAGACATGATGATTCACAAAAGACGGAAATACCAAACTGTATAAAAACAAGAAGAAAACGGAGAGAGAGAAAAGTTTTTAATCATTTTTTAGTAGCACAAGTTTGGTATATTAATAATTTAATCTTAGACATTCTTTTATTTTTAGAATGAATGCTCGACTTTGGCTGCTGAAGGAAGGAAGCAGCAGCAATGACACAATAAAACACAGTAGAATATAAACAAATACAAAACAAAGTGATGGCAAGGAAGGTTGCAGTGCATAACCAACCTCTCGGTAGCTGAAATAGCATTCTTAGGTATACATGATGAAAAGGGGAACAGTTTGACTTCCTGTAAATATAAAAAACAGAAACACTTTTTTTGCACATCAGAGGTTTACTTCTAAGAATGCAAACAGCTGTCACAGTTTCATTCTAGTCATCGGCGGCCGGGGAGGCAACACCAAAGTCAACATGAAATGCCATTTCAATGGAACCCTGCTGATCAATGTCCTGCCGCCTCTGCTGTTCACCGAGTTTATCTTTGGAGTCCTCGGGAATGGTTTGGCTCTCTGGATCTTCTGCTTCCACATCAGGCCGTGGAAGAGCTGCACGGTGTTACTCTTCAACCTGTCAATAGCGGATTTTCTGCTCAACGTGGCCTTGCCTTTCCGCGCCATCTACTACATGTCCAACATCGTTTGGACGTTTGGGGACGCTCTGTGCAACATCTGCCTCTTCGTCTTGGCATTGAACCGCAGTGTAAGTACCATCTTCTTGATGGCTATCGCCCTGGACAGGTACATGCGCGTGGTGCATCCCCATCATCGCATCAACTCCCTGAGTGTCTCCAAAGCCATGTGTGGAGCCCTTGCCGTATGGGTGCTCACCATCTCAATGACGGTTCATGTCTTCAATCTGGAACACAACAACACAACCCACTGCGAGAGCTTCTGGGTTGATACTGAAATGCGACATAATCTAAACTGGCACAAGTTTGAGTTTCTCTTTTCCTTCTACGTGCCTCTGATTGTGGTTCTCTACTGTACGTTCCACATTAGTAGCCATCTGAGCAGGAGGCAGTTGGCCCAGCAGGCAAAGATTAAAAAGGCTCTTTGGTTGACCATTTTGGTGATGGTGCTCTTCGTCGTTCTCTTCCTCCCAAGCAACATCACACAGCTGCTGATTTGGATAAGGACGGCGCAATTAGTCAGCAAACTCCCAGAATCTGAAGCGTGCCGTGCTCTGGAAGACCTCACCATCTGGTTTTTCCTCACCATTAGCCTGACCTATCTCAACAGCATGTTGGATCCTGTCGTTTACTACTTCTCCAGCCCCATCTTCAAGAATGTCTGCAGGAAAATCTTCCATCTGCGCCAAGAAGACACTGCTGAAAGTACAGAGAAGAAAACCAGAGAAACTGGCTCCCAGTCGCTCAGCCAGCTTTGATCCCACAATCATGGAAAGCTTGAAAATGGATGCAGCTCTGTAGTAGAAGAATTGTTGTGTGTTAAGTGTTAAGCTTTAGACAAAATGCTATTTTTGATTCTCATATACAGGTGTTATCAAGTATTGTATTCGCTACTACAAAACAGTGTAAAATAAATAATGCATGTACTTAATATTTTGTCATTCTTTTTCTTCATCTTTTAATCCTGTTAAACAGTATTCATAATCATGGAAAAACACATCTTGACTGCAATAATAAAACGTACCTTATAGGGCAATCTACAGTCTGATCCTTGTTATACCAAGTCATATAATTATATATAGTGATTGAGTGAAAAGCACAACACGCAGCTCTGTTTTGATTACAAGCATAACTTCAGCATCTGCCGACGTGTGATATCCATGCTGGATACAGAAACAGACTTCAAACTATTACATGCAGATAATAAACTTAAATAACAGATTCACAGAAACTTACCATCAACAATAAAAAATAGCTTTTAAAAATGTGACTCAATAACATATTAACTCTCAAACTGTTGCTATCTGTGTGCAATCAATCACACCGTTAACAAATAAGCGGACTAAGCAAATTCCATACAAAATGCAGAGCTCTGCATCCTGTTCTAACCTTTGCATTTTCTACTCACTCTTGATGTCTTCAACCTTCAGCTAAAGAATGTTCAACTTCTGATCTAAATCTCCAGTTTTTGTTTGCCCACAGGTGTGAAAAAACAACACGAAACAGAACAAAGTGTGTGAGTTGCAAGGAACAGCACAAAGGAAGCGTCTCAGTGTGGTTGCATGCTTCCTCACCCAAAATATCTAGTGAGTAATGGACAATACACGTAAAGAAGTGTGTTTCCACGAAAGCTGAAAATGAATTCTATTCAATAAAAAAAGCAATAGTTCGTAAGATAAATATGTAAGGGAACAGAACCGATTTTAATTAAGGTGTTTACAACAATCAGAGAAAACATCTCTCAAATAGGCAACAGCAAGCTGGGTTTTAAAGTTGGTTTTTTTAAATGGCACAAATTTGGCAAATTAATAATTGAATCTCTTAAGACAGTCAATTTTATTCAGACTCTTGGAATGATTGTGATTATTTAATTTTGCATACTGATCTCTTTTCAAGAATTCCACCGCACAATGAATGAAGTAAAGCATTTATTCCAAGCATTACTTGCACAATGTAAATATGTATAGTTGTGCAAATACTGCATCTCATCAGAGACATGTTAGGAATGTATAATATACAGCTGCAGAAATGTTTCTTCATCCCGACACTCCATTTTGCATGTTGAGAAAGTCCTGAAAATTAAAAGACGTACGTAGAATTACAGATCGCCTATTTTTTCTTACAGATCAATAACGAAACTGATAATGGGGAAATGCAAAATGAATGCAACTAATTTAATGACGATAACAAAAAGATATTTCTCCCAGACTAAACTGGATCCAGGATGTCAACCTCCTTTACCTTTAGGCAGCACGGTGACGGTGAGCTGCTTGGGAGCGCTTTCCCTCCCTGTTGCTCGCTGAGCTTCATGTACTCACGAGCTACTGAGTCCGCATCGTCCTGACTGAAGAGCAGGTCACAACAACATGAGAGAAGAACTTGAAACACTTGAAACTGTCAAACGCTCCCGTAGGTTTTTGTTTTGGTCATCATAGCTCAAAAGTGTCGGATCGTCATCAGGTAGCCGTCAGCTATTTTGAGAAACTCAAACAAACGAGTTGCCAACGCGAAACATGAGAATGAGCCTTCATGGGACAAGAGGGACATAAAGCTGACAAACACTGAGCCACTAAGGCCGTGAACAAAGCCACACAGGCCATTAAATGAAACATATACTACAGCAGCTTGTTTATTTGTCTTAACTTGCTTTTTTTCAAAGTTTTAGAACACCCCCATTTTTCCAGTTTTTATTGAAATGTAAGCTGTTCGAGTCCAGTGAATACGCTGAAATGGTATTAAAAAGGTAAGTGGCAAACTTCCAGAGGTTAAACAAAAATGTTAAGGTCCGGACTACCGTAGAAAGAAAAGAACAAACGGCAGGCTTCGAATCATGCAACGGCTCGGTCTCCGGACTTAAACCCCCATCAAGCTGAAGCAGCCTGCAAGCGCAACACATGAGTATAGAACTTTTGCAACAGAACTTTCTGAAAACGATTTGATTTTGATTGTAGAAACAATGACACAAGTGAGTTTGGCTGTTACACCTGCAAAAGGTGGCGACGTATTTTTGTATCTATTTGTTCTAAGCTTTAATCTCAGAGTACATTAAGAAAATAAACTGGACATTTCAATAAAAAAAGGGAGATATTGAGGTGTTCTAAAACCGTTGACCGGTAGTGTTTATGCTGTGTGCTTGTAGCCTACAGAAACGTGTTCTTGACATCGCCGACAGAACTTACCAGTTCTGACTGATCAGGTATTCCACCAACTCTTTCACCTGGTTCAGTCGCCCACTCGATACAATGAGCTGCTTCAGATGCTTGAAGTGTTTGGTCTTGAGAAGTTTCTGGTGTTGTCCACTTTGGCTGACGAAAGTTAACACGGTTTCCCTGACCTGAAGAATCAAAGAGGCCATAATGACACGTCGCAATATAAAACTATATAATATTAGTTGAAACAAACAAGTAATGGCAAAAAAAGTTTTACTGATGTAATGGCTGATAAACAAATTTATCTGGCAACAAATATCTTGTCAAAGGGTCTGATACAGTTGTAGGAAATAGTTCATGTGTGTGTGTGTGTTTTTCCCGTCTGTGTTTAAAAAACTCAAATAGATGAAAAACTTTGTTTAAGTTGGAATAAAAACGCACAAGCTGAAGTAGCTGTAAGAATTTAAATAAACTTTCAATTCACGTATAAGAGGGAGAGCTGTTGAATTGTCATTTTGAGGAGTGAAAGAACAACTTAAATGTTGCTTCTCTTTTAAGTGTTGAACTGATATCTAACCTGTGAGGGAACTCCAGCTAATTCCCCAGTGTTCATGAGCTCTTCCACCTGCTCCAGGACAGCGACTGGGTTACACACAGACAGAAAGCCCTGAAAGCAGAAGGGAAACTGTGTTAAAGGGGGGGACTGTGCTTGCTTTAAGGGCCTAATAGATACAGACCTTCCAAATGGATCCTGTTGCGTGGACATGAAGATACTCACATGTATCTGCTGGGCCTTTTTATTGGCACATGGGATGAGCAGGAGTGTTCCCAGGGCAAAGGCTGGCAGGTTGAACTGTGCAAAGCGATTGGCAATTCCTACCAGGTCCAGATTCAACAGGAAAGGACACCTTGGGAAGAAAAACGTGTGGCAGGATGTTTGAATTAAACGTGAAGAGAGTAGGACATTCTTTTCAGGTCATCGCGGTTCCTTTTCCAAAACAAATTTCAATAATGGAACGATTTGGTGTCAAAATTTGATTACACAGCTTAAATTTGTCAATGCGTCTATCCCATTTTCATATTCTAGCACTTAAAGTCATACGTCGTCCCCATGAGCATGGCTGGTGAATGGTTGAATGCAAGTACAACATACTTGAGGAGGAGAACAAAAGTCCTGTAGAGAGTCGCCTGTTGATCAGGACTCAGAGGAACAGATGCTGTCAAGAAGGAAAGGTCAGACAGTGAGAAGCATTCAGGATGAAAACTGAAAAGCCAACACACAATCAATCTATCAATTATTCTACAGAAGCATTGTATGATTAAAGCTCAGTCCGCCTCAAGACAACGGAAGGGAATTCACTACTATAAGCGGAGTACCTGAAACAAAAGGTGCCAGTATCATGCTCCTCCAGGTCCTGGAGAAACTGGAAATCTGGGAAGAAAATAAAGCAGATAAAATGACCAACCTTTTGCTCGACCATCTCTCGTCATAATGCAGCGGTGGTGGTGGTGGTGGTTGGAGTTTTTTATTTTTCAACAATATCCAAGCAGATTAGTGAAACAATCTTTCACGTAGAAATTCTCTTCATGTCCGATATAATTAACAAAATGGATGGAAAATGTATCCACAATGGACAAACAACATGGCCACCAGTAAATGCCATTACATACCTGCATTGTCACTGGGTTATCCAATTTTTAAGATCTCGCTATCAAAATAGTGCTGAACAGTCCACACAACTTGCCAACTTTCTCCCTGGCGCCGGCCCCCAGTTGGCAGAGCTCTCAGTATGGATTTGACAGAGTTACTTGGCCTCAGGTACAGGCAGCTCTGTAGGTATCACGCTTCACATGCTGCGTAAGGGATAACCCTGTAGGTGGAATGCCATCATAGGACCTCGGCTTCAGAGCAAGTAGGTGTAGGGTATTTATAGGTAAATAAGTCTTCATCAACCCCATCAGGGGCGCTGTTCTTTTTCGCACATTGCTTTGACAAACTTGTCAATGACGCTGAGGTCGGCATCACCTGTAACTGCTGGGAATTGGCTGAGCTACTGGAAGACGCGAGACACTGCCCAGGTTTGCAATGCATTCTTTTTGCCTTTACCATGAAAGGCTGAAACAACATCAGAGCCAGTGAAGGTGTGAAAGAAAACGTTGCCACTGGATTTTTCGGGGCCTTCACGCTCCACCAGGTCACGAACAGGTAACCACCCGATCGACGAAATTCCCAAATTCAATTCACAGTTCTTCTCAGCCCGCATCCTGGAGAGTCTCAAAGACACTGAGTGCAAGAACAAGTATGCCGGTGTTACAGGCCTTGATCAATACGTTTTTGATCTTGTGCAGGAAGAGGTCAGCGTTTTCGTGGTTGCAAAGGGTTGAGCCTTCAAGACTGTCAGGCTTGTTGCAAAAAAGCAGGTTCCCCTTTGGTCAAAAAAAAAAAAAGCTTGTGGTCGTTATCTCTTGCATAATTACATGGTACTTCTGTTTTGTCCTCTTTTTTTATATTGGTTTGTTTTGCGCTTACGATACGGAGCGGAGTTGTTCCGTTTGGCACGGGTTGCATTTCAAATGTTTCACTATACGATAATTTGAATCTGACGGTATTTCACATATACATTTGAACGTACTGTGTCTGCAATGTTTGCATGGCTTAAGTTGGACTTTACCTCCCACAGAGCCGGCACAGCCACTACTGCCTCCAGCACCTTCTGCAGGTGGCCGATCTGAAAGCAAAAAAACCCCCATACAAGTTGGGTTTATTTAAGGTCAAAACAGAGTTGTCCGTGACACTGTGTTCAATTATTTTTCATATATAAATTGACTTCTTTAAAGGGAGATTTTCTGGTGCACGTCCTCTTACCAAGTTGAAGCCCAGCAGCTTCTGAAGGAGACTGTTCCACAGCTGCGGGTCGTACACCCGGTACTCCAAGCACAGGTCGGCCACCAGCCGCACCGCCTGAAAGGACAACAAGTGCCACATTTTTAACTTGGTGGACCTAAAATTAACGAGCTAAAGCAGTTTTACTGTTTTCATTTAGAAAATACCTGCGGCTCATGACTGTGGTTCTTCCACAGCCCTTTAACCAAGCCCTCTTTGGGGCTGCTGAGGAAGGACTGCACCGTGTAAGGGATGTTTAATGCCTCCAGTTGAGAGACAAAGATGTAGCACCTCAGGTAACATCTGCATGGGAGAACAAAATACAGAAACATGAATGCTTTCTACACACCCCTTATGTGAACTTTGCAATTAATTATTCCATTAGTACTATGAAGGATATTTCCTATTACTGAATTTTGGTCTTGGGAATCTGCAACTGAGCCTCCAGAGTGGCCGAATCGGCGAGACGGACGAGACAAAGAAGCGCACGAGTCCGATGGCAGAAGGTCAGACGAGGCCCAGAAGCACTGAGGGGCTACAGACAAGGAACCCAGACATCAGCCACTTTCCCTGGACACGTTGTCCAAGTTTTGACCCATTATAACGTAAAACTCACCCAGGTTTGGGCAGATAGGATAGGGTTTAGAAGACGGACGGCATCCTCCATGGGGCAAGACTGCAGCATGTACACCACCCTGAGTACATGGAGTGAACACAATTCAGAGAAGCTAAAAGCTGCTGCTACACCTTGTGGCCAAATCATTGTGGCTACCAAATAAAACATGTAGAGACGATTGCATTATGAGTATTAAACAAAGTTTTAAACTTTGCATGCTGTAAAATACATTAAAAGTACTTACAAATAGATGGTACAAATTAAGAGATATTCTTTGGTCTCAATGATTAGATTTAAGCACAAATGGTTCAAAGAAAACCGACGGCTCTCTTCTGAATTTTCATTTTAAAACCAACAGTTTTAGGCTATTGTTGGGAAAACTTAAATAATCTTTTGTTTTAGTCACAGTAGCAATATTACTTTGGAACGCCATAGAGCGGGAAACTTATATATTATACTATATCATTTAGAGGCTTATTATAGCCGCAGCAACTTGACGCACGTCTGTTTACATGCTTCACCACTGCTCCTACTTGCAAGTATTTTAATGAATGTCCCGTTTGATTATTTATCAAACCTGATGGTGATTTTCTTACAAATATTCACGGGCGAAACGCTGCAACATAAGAAACGGCAATTACGCTACCTCATTAAGTCCGGATCCTCCTCGATGTTGCGGACACATTCTTCATTGCCAGAAGCCTTTATAGAAGAAAAACAAGTCTAATTAATTTTCCACCCAATGGACCCGGTGATAAAACACAATGCAAGCAGGCGAGGTCAGCTCATTGGGACCGACCTTGGGGACAGTGGCGCCCGTTTTGCAGATCCATTTTTCCAACATCATGTTACGGATTTTCAGGAGATCCACATTGTTAATGCAGGCGATTTCCTTCACCACTGCATGTATGTCTGCTCAGAGGTAAATGCTTAAATTAGGATTCAACACTGCTGATGAAGAACATTGTCCTACATTATGACGCAAGACAATAGTGTTAATAAGTAGACAATAATCTATAGAGGACAGTAAAACGATGTGATGAAAAGCTCAGAGCAATATGTGCGATGTAAAACAACAATCCAGTAGCCATCTTCAGCGCATGAAGCTCTTCTTCAGCAGGCTAGTGTGTCAAAGCCTGCTCACCGGGATAGATTTGCCCTCCTGATTCCCTGTAGCGCTGCTCCACACCGCTGTGCTCATACAGGGCCACTATGAGCCTGGCTGGCAGCCCAGTCAGCTTCAGATGCTCTGGGCTGTTCAGCTGGCTCGTGATCAAGATGTTCTCGGTGGCCGAGCGCTGGAACTGCAGTTTCAGCTTGGACAGAAATGTCTCCCCTCTGGCCCGCGCAGACTCCTAGGAGAAGATCGCAATCAAACGGTTTACGGAAAAACTAAACAAAGATGTTACGCGACGTTTATATTTTGTATATATATATATATATATATATATATATATTTGTATACATGTTTATATATCATTTATGTAGCTGGAAAAACACTAAAACTGACTTCAAGTTTTGGATCCCTCAGCCAGGCATCTCCGAGGGCCAAACAGAACCTCAGAGACTGTGTCTTCTCAGGGCCTGTAAAGAACAGGGAACCATTCAGACCATTGACAAAACACACACAAGTAGTGAAGCCAAAGGGTTTAATCTGCCGGTCAGACCTGGTGGCAGCTCCTGGGTGATCTTGTGGGCTGTAGCCGCTGCCCACTCAGGGCACTGGATGCATTGGATGTACTTCATCATGGTCTTTGCTACCCTGAAAGTCTCCCCATTGGAGCCATGACCCCTACCCTTCTTCCTCTGTTCCAAGAGTAAAGGCTTCATCTTCTTCTCAAACACATGGTTTGCTGCTGCCATGTACAACTTGTCCAGGCTCACCTGGAATGAGACAGGGCGGTTTGAATAAAAGTCAAACTTTATGGATGAAACATTTTAATGATTGTTCTGGCAACATTTTTAGACAAGTGTGCTTTACCTTCATCAGTTTGCTAATCAAAAGAAGAGTAGGGAAGTTCTCCTCACTGAGCTCAGGAGCTAAAACACAGAAAAACATTTGTTTCCTTACTCTTAACATAAACATTCCCTCTTAACATTGACAGTGTCTAACTCACAGATAATTTTCCAGTAATGTTTGGTTTGCATTAGAAGGTGGAAGGGCAGTCTGCTGTTGGACAGCCGGTTTGGAAGCTGACTGTTTTCTAGAAGATAGGTGTTCTCCACATCTGAGGCAGGAGACACGCGCTTGTAGGACTTCAGGTGTTGAAGGAGGCCCATTGCCTGTTGACAGATACACTGGTTGCTAGTCTGCACAATACATTTTGAAGGAATGGTTTCATTTGAAAAAAAAGAAGTGTGCAGTATTTTTTTACCTGACAAACGGAAAAAGTCGTCACATTCTCATCTGCAGCCGCGATGATCTTCAGCACCACTTCAATCCTCTCATAGTTGTAAGGGCTGAGCTGTACAAGAAATACATTTTACAAGTTCTGTGAATGGCTCGAATTTAGTTGGGATACAAAAAAACTATCAACACCAGGAGCTTACTGTATGTTAAAAGGAAAAGGCTTTGAAGTTCTCCCTCTGCTAGTTTGCCTCCCATGCACAAACCTTGTATATGGCAGCACAGAGACTGTCTGTGAGTTCGCTGGTGTTGTGCAACATTGGGATTATCTGCAGGACTCGCTCCAGTGCGTTTGCGTGACACAGCGGCTGCGTCTCTGGGTCACCTGCCGCTTCCTCGTCCTCCTGGAGCAGCAGTAAGGTGGTGATGTACCGGTTGATCACACTGTCGGGATCCAGACCGAAGGTGCTGCAGACGGGAGCAGAGTGTGAGCAACGGGAGGGAAATAACACAGGCTTTCCAGGACTGCATAAATGAAGTGCATTGATATAGACTGAAGATCATGACATTGTGGAGTGAGCAGAGGACCTGCAGTACTGGAGGATAATGTCTGGAGTGATTCTCCGGTTTTTAACCAAGTCGGGGATCAGGCTGCTCTTCATCTCCGGCCGCTGACGGAACACCGGCTGGATGGATATCTGCGGCCGGGCGGCATCGTAAACGACAAGTCACGTTGAATGTCAAGACAAGTGTGACCACGACTTGTGAAATATAAAGTGAATAGAAATACAAGTGGTTTTCATGCGGACACACACACACACACACACACCTCCATTTTGCCAAGCTTGATGCCCCATTCAGCATCAGTGATGACGGAGAGAAACTTCTCTTGTTCCTCTGCCTCACCATACAAGCAGCAGAGATCGGCCCCAATCCTCGCTACCGCCTGAAACAACCCGAAAAGACTTCTATCCTCAAAAATAGAAAAAGGTTTGATGATAAAATACAGAAGAACAGTAAACAAATTGCCTACCAAGATTTTGTCGTAGTTTTGCCAGGTGTTGTCAATAACCTTCCACAGTATTTTGAAGACTTCTGCTTTGGAGAGGAGTGTACAGAGACCAATAGCCAAATCACAGTCAACCACCCTCCAGTTGAACACCTGCAGCCGATATGAAATGGAGAGAGTGATTTGAAAAAGTACCAAAGCACAGCATATCGGCAAATGCCATCTCAGAATATCCGTCTCTGCGGACTCACCTTGTTCAAGAGAGCCACAGCGACAGCGTTCAGAGTCAAAGTAGTTGTCTTTCGAAGAGTATTTAAGCATAAATTGTACTTCTTAAGTTCTTGGGTATCATACAGCTGAAAAAAAGAGTTAAGTTACATATTAGAAAAATATTTTGTCTCACTGGCCACTAGCTATGACTTATAATGCGGGGTACAATTGACCTAGACATGTTGCGGCCACACCTGTACACTAAGCTTTATGTCCATAACATTAGAGGTGACGTGCTGCAGGCAGCTGCCGTATGAGTTGACCAGCACTCTGAGGGCCAACTCCAGCTGACTGCACTCTTGTAACATCTGCAACATGTTGGTCAGAGGACCCAGGAGGGGCCGAAGGTAGTTTGAACCTGTATGCGGGCCAGTAAAAGACACAGTCAACTTTCAAAAAGGACATATTTTAAGAAGATACAATTAAATATGAACCACATACCGTCTTCAAACGAGCAGTGTGCCAGACAGGAACAGTCCAGAGGGTGCAGTTTGGTATCTGCAAGATGGGTACTAAGCTGATTAGACTATCGAATAATTAAATACTTAATAGTAAATATATTGAATAGAGGATTCTTTTCAGCAACTTACCCAGAGAAACCGGCAGCAGGCAGTTGGTAATTTCATACTGGACTGGAAGCACAGACACTGGGTCCAGAACAATACAGTCTTCAGTAAAAACATCCTGAAAACTCCACTGAGAACGTGGATCTTTTTCTGTCTCCGCAGTCGAATCCTGTGACATTATACAATTCAGACACACACATTTATTATATGCACTTTGCTGATTTCACAACATTGTAAAGGAGAGACGTTTGTTCATTCAAACTGCTATAAACAAAACAAGTCTTATCTTATTTTTTGAAAACTTCTTTAAAATAATGTCAAATAATAAACTATTATAAAAAAAATAATATAAAAGATTTCACATTGGGCCCGTTCCTCATACGTGGTTCAACTAAGACAATAAAATGTCCCGTCAGCCAGCTAAAATTAACCTGATGATTGAAGTCAGGCTATCTCAGTTCCTCAAAAGCTGATCCACCCTCAGTCATCAGGAGATTTGTGGGTGCAAGTCCTACTTCGAAAGGGGGAAGCGTCGATCACCGAAACCAGGATTTATTTTTTGTGGAACCAAAAAGCCTGATCTATGTAATCAGTCAGCCACGTACGAGGAACAAGCCCCTGGTAGTCTCCCAGTTTAATAACGTTAATGTTTGCAGAAAATAGATTGTATAACATATTAAGCATAAACCAGAGAAAAATAAAGTAAGATTGTTTCATGGAGTCAGGAAAGATACCGACCTTGGCTATGAAGCCATAGTTGTCTGATAACTGACACTGATGATAGACATCCATCGCTATCCGTGTGCACTTGCAGAGCTCCAGACAGTCCAGGAGCAGATCTGCAACAGTCATTATAAGTTTATATTGAATGGATTTTTCTTTCACTCTACGTCTGTCTTCAGCAAGACCGGATATTGTAATATGTAAAATGTTAAAAATAATTTGAAAAATAACTATGTTCTGTGCTGTTTGTATATGATCAGGCATGTGTCTTTGTTTTTACTGGGTTTAAAAGAAATATTCCACAACGACTCATTTGTAGATCAACAACTCACTTTAACTGCACTTATCTACACAGGGTCAAAAATCAAAACATCTGTATTCAAATCTGTCAAACTCAAATTTATCCAGTCGTGTGCGGACTACTTCCCAAACAAATGCTTTCTTTTATTTTTTAAACCTTACTGCTTTAAACAATTTTGAGTTTCTCTTAATATATCTAAAATGTTAGTGAAAATCACTGATTTCAGAGCATCACTGCGTTCTTTACCTGCGTGGCACGTAGCGATAGCCTGGCAGGCGAGGTCATGGATGACTGCTGGCAAGTCCATGTCTTCAGGAAGCACCATTGGCACATCTGCCTCCAGCATCTGGCATAACGTCTTGGCGGCGGTGTACAAAACCTTCCCTGTGCAGGTGTTGTAATGGTGCTCATACAGCTCACTGAACATGTGGAGGAAGAAGACAAATAAAACATAGAAGATTCTCCATGTGCCTCACTGGACAGGAATATATTTTCACAAAAGGGGCCACCTCAGGATTCACACTCGCACACACACACACACACACACCTACCTGAGGATCTTGAGGGCCTTGTCCACCTTCCCCACGCCTAGAGCTCGCAGCGCTAAGTCGGACCAGAGCTCTTGTTCGGTGCGCTGCAGCTGCCTTCCTAGACGACGTAAGCCAGCTTCTGTGGAGATTGTCTTGATCTTGCCATCGGGGTCGTTAGCCACCACCGGAGTCGGCGTGGTCTTCCCCTGAGATGAGCGACGGCCGTGCGTGTTTTCATAGGCGGTGATGTGATGCTCCTGGATTTGCTTTCGGATGTTTGGGTCCTCATAGTTTGAGGGGTTGAAGAAAACATCAAAATCCTCCTGAATAGACAAACAAAGAGGTTGGTTGTGAAAGACGTAATGAAAGAACAGACGGAATAATAAACACGTGCAGTCCGTAATCAAAACTCACCTGCAGGCTGGCGATCGCCTTAAACATGATGAGGTTGTTTTCGCACTCCATGCTTTTCAGAGCGTCATCTGCAGAGGACAAGAAGGAAAATGTTTACAACATTCTTTTTCCTAACTGTTAGTTGCGTTTAGACAATCCATGGGCTGCATGCAGGAAGAGATTTACCCTTAAATTGCTTTTTCACAATTAGTTTTTTTGGGATTCTCCAATGTTTTCTCATTTTCCTCTCTCACAATTCACAAATTGGAATTCACAAGGGAACTTAAACTAAAAAATGCATCATCATGGTGTAATTAAATTTAGCTTAAAGTACGCTTTAGTCCTTATAACGATTGGATATAAGATTTGTGGCATAAGACATAATATTGATCCATTGACTGCAATAAAGGGATAATATAATGAACCCTCCGATGATACTGCGGAAAAACTTTTTTTACCTCACGGCCGTTTTCATGTCAGACAATATTTCGCGGACCGAAACAACCGTTTGGTGGGCGAAACTGCCGTGCACAATTGTAAACGTAAAGAAAAACGCCTAGTGACGTATGGGGAATATGTCAGAGGGACGAGCGCACACAATTAGGAGAAAATCCGGTCAATTTTCAAAATCAAACTTTTTTTTTCAAAAAAAATATATATTTATAAACTTTCTGTGGTGCGGCCCGGTACCAAACGGCCCACAGACCGGTATCGGTCCGCGGCCCGGTGGTTGGGGACCACTGATATAGTCCACTTGCATACTTTTTTTTCCCTACAAAAACTACCAACGCTTTCCTAAAGCATCAAACACCTGGAGGCCAGAGCCTTGAGCGAGCTTAATATCTGGAACTAAGAAGAATGCATTGAGTTACTCGAGAGCACGTCAGCAGGATTGGTGTTTGCTGACAATATGCTGTGGACACATACTCAATATGTTGAGTCCTGCTGCTCATGTTTCAGGATGGTACTTACGTTTTTGGATTGTGTACAGGTATTTCAGAGCCTCCACCATCACTTGAGCTATGACCATCTGGTGTTTCTTGTGCTATGGAAGACAGAAAAAAGGGTTGCGATAAACCAACAGTCAGAACTGACTTTTTTACAGCTTTTGTAACCTGAACGTATGCTCCCCATAATGCCGCAGCGTTTCCCACACAGACAAATCTGTGGCGGTGCACTAGATTCAACACCGGCCGCCACACATTACGTTTGGTGTTTGTTTTTTAACGCTATTTAAATCACGCAGCGTCTTCGTTCAGCTGCAATTCCTTTCCTTGCTCTCAGTCTGTCGCACGCACGCACACAGCGTCTGTCTCGCATGTCTTTTTTTTAGCAAGCCCCTCAAAATCCGTTGCCCTGACAGAAGTTGCAGACTTTGCGCATGTAGGCCGTAACAACAAGCAGTACAGGGTGTGAAATGTATGTATGTTTGTATAGGCGTCAATCCCTGTTTTGTATTTACCCGTCCCGTCAAACAGAAAATTATGTTTTATTTCAGACACACCACTTCTCTCCACTCACCTCATCCGATATGTGGGCTTTGTCCTCCAGCTGCAGTCTGGCCCAGGAGGTGAGACGCTTGATCACACATTCTGCCTCCTCAGAGGACAGCCTCTTCAGGACAGCCATGCTTTCCTCGGTCTGAAAGCAGCACAAAGGACTTCCTATCAGTATGCCACGGAAACATACAAGAAGAACCCTTTCATATTTCCAGGTGGACGACCATACCTTGCTGTGGCCAATGAGCTGGATGAGATGCAAGTAATTTATCTGCGAGGTTGGGAGTTTGTACGCCTCAGCTAATGTCAGGGAGTCTTGTAGAGACATTGGCAAGTCTTGCTTCAGTATGTATCTAATCAGTGTCTGAGGGGATAGACAGTGCGTGACAGAAAGTGCATAGGATGGAACAGGAAGCCAAATGTCACATTAAGAATGAGATCGAAATTACCATTGTTTGAGTGCTGTTGGAGAGGTTGAAGTTGCGGATGCCGTAGCCCCGGAGAAGCTTCCTGATTTCCATCAGACAGTAACTCTCCTTCAGAAGCCCTTGTCTGCAGAATACATCAGTGAATAGACAATTACATAGAAACAGATGATATTACCAATTTTTACTAAATTAAAAAAGAAATCATACTTTGGTCCATCCATCTCCAGGTACTGTTGAACGAGTTTTTCTACCACATTACTCCAGGGCACAACAGCCTTCTGCATGATCTCCAGCACAGCATCCACCATCAGCTGGTAGGAAATACAAAGTGAAATTCCACAAATGCTCATTCAAACATATAGATTTGACTTATTTTAGGGATTCTGTGGTGAACTGTATGTTTAATGGTGTTAGAGAAACGTACGTCAGTGTCAGTCATGCAAGCCTGCACAGCCACTGCTTTGGCTTCCCATTCAGTGAAAAGTGTGGTAGTCTGAGAACTACAGCGCTCCAGCAGATCCTAGTGGAGATCAGAGGAGCAACATTTATAATCAGCAAGAAATGAAGGGGCTTTTCCCAGTGGGCCACAGAGTTATCGAAATTCACCTTGATGTACTGGAGGAGCAACTCATCCAAAGGAATCTCATGCTCTTCGGCATACGGCAGGACGCTGCTTTCCACTGTGGTGGCAATCAGCTCAGGAGCCGGCACTTTATCCAGCATGAAGAACGCAACGCTACGAACACTCCCCTTTCAAATTCACAAGAGAAATGATCACCGGTCTCATGAATCAACACCACAATGTGCTCGAAAGGAGGATTCTTTTTTATGTCATTATGAATTCAATGTAAATCTTCACACGTTCTAGTGGGTTAATACAATACAGGTGTTGATACCTGTTGAAAATATCAGTAGTTTGTTTCAAACTCAAAATACCTTCTCAAAGACAGAAAGTGAAAGTCTGCAGTCGTATTTCTGCTGGAGGTCCAGGAGCCGACGTAGGTTGGACACCAGGGACTTGAGGTTCTCCACCTCCTCTGCATCGTAATTATCATCCTGAAAGAAGATAAAAATAGATCATAAACCACTTAATGTCACGTTACAATCAGCTTCCACAGGTAAAATATGATGGTAAAGGCACAACATGTATTAGGGGAAAGAAAACAATGTGTCTGACTTACAGATTTCAACCAGGTCCACAGAGAAGGAAGTCCAACCACAGCCATGTCCAACCCGTTCTGGGGCCAAGCAGCCTGGAACAACGGATCGCATTTACAATCCCTGGCTCGACTATTGAGACTCATATGAAGTTGTTGTACCCGTTAGGAGTGTTTTTTTAGTTCTTTACCTTTTCTGTTAACTCTAGATTCCTTGTCCTCTGCTCCAGCCATCTCGCCAGGATTTTCTACGGGCACATACAACTTTTACGACTGAAAACATATTTCCACATTTTGAAATGAGTAGTGATTCTTACTTGTCCTGCTGGAAGCACTCTCCTCACAAAAGGAACAAAAACTGCCCTCAACCAAGGACAGAGGTCTTGGGATGGCAGATCCTCTGGGATGGCACCGAGCACCGCTTCGAGTTTGCTCTCATCATAATCCGCTGCAATCTGTCCCTGTTATTAAAAAAAACACAGATGGAACATCACCACTGTCCCGACACCAGGATAACTCTCCTTGTTGTGTTTCATCGAGTGCACAGAGCTGTCCGGTACCTCATATCGGAGCCAAATGAGTTGTGCACCCTTCATGTCTCCCTCTCTCAGGTAGGTCAGAATTTCTCCTAAATTGTCGCTGCTGTTCAAAAACTCAATCCAGGCAATGCCGCTGTGGATGACAGAATGACTTACTGGAATAACATCCAAGTGCACATTACGAACAAATCCCACGATCAAACACAAGACTCACTTGAAGTTATCAGGGCCGTGCAGGCTGCAGAACGTCGCCAGCCTGGCCAGGGCCTCTTGGATCTGTAAGGAGGAGTAGCGCGTGGCAGCGTGGCTCAGGATCTTCTCTGCCGTCTCAAAGGTCGGCCACGGAGCCTTGAGGCAGTATTCCACCACATACTGCTCATCCTGGGCAACGCACAAAGAGTAATAACCGCTATTGGAGGGGTTGAGGTCATGAACATTTCGGAACCGTAAAATGAGATCGGACTAAATAACCGACTGTGATCTTCATCAGGTTGGTCTTGGCCTCCTCCACGAGCTCAGACCACACATCCTGTCCGTAGCCGCCCACCGAGGCAGAGGCCAGCTGCTCCAGCACAAAGTCAAGCTTCACCTTGTACACAAGCTGAAACAAAAACGGTAGGACTGGAAGTTGTATGGAATATATTCTAATAAAATGTATCGTAGCATTTTTTAAACTCACCTCCAAATCCAGTTCAAATGTGATGGCAAACTTTTCAGCTTCCTCAAACATGTGTTTGTGGAGAAGTCTGCTAAGTCTGGGAGGGGAAAAAATAATCAAATATATAACACACAAGCCGCAATTCATGTGTAAATGTCTGCAGCTAAAAATGGTTACCTGTTCTCAGGCAAAGCCTCTGTGAAGCATCTGACAACCACAGCAGAAACAGGCTCTCCGCGACTACTCAACAGAGAACAGGAAAAAATACTAATATATTAATATAAAAAATATCTTTAAACGTTCTCCATATCGTTCAAGTGCTGGCCGAACATCTAAACACATCCTACCTTTCTGGGTTCTCACAAATCCCCTCAACTAAATAAATGGTATCCTGAAAGCAGAGGGTACAACAACGTTAAATGGGGGAGCATTGTACTTTTGTTTATGCTGAAAAACAGTAACGCCCAACGACAAATCATGCCACTGATATCTCTATTTGAAAGATTTCCAAAGCATGTATGTACTTTTGGATGTCCCTTGTTCTGTGTAACGTGGAAAATATAATATGCCCCCACAAATAATAAGAAATATTTGTGCATATTAGTATCCACAAATATCCACATGTCCATCCATATAATAAGTGCATGAGCGTTAATTATTTACCATGTTTATTTTTGTCTGGACAAGACAGGAGACTGAGGAGACATCAAGAGAGTAGCAAATAGTCATCGAGGGCAGAAATCGTATTTCCAGTGAGTTGATCTGAAAAATGAAAAAGGCCAGCACATCAAGTTCAGAGGAGGACTTCACATAATCATCTTTCCTAGTTTCTTCAAAAGGAGCCGTGGGTTTACCTGACTCTTGTCTTGCTTTGTTAGTGTGATCATCTTCATGCTTCCCTTGTCTTGGCTGTAACACATACACATACATTTACATTTCCTACCTTGTTTAATTGAGGCCCTTTCTTCTGTATATTTACAGCTAAGGACACGAGATAAAACAGATACATACGACACCATGGAGGCGGAGCCACATTCTGTAGTGAGCTCAAAGTCGTGGATGGAAAGATCCTGCCAACAGTGAATCATGACAAGGAAATGTAGGTCCCAGAGACTCAGGGCATCCTAGAGCCAAAGAAAAAACACAAGCAATCCATATCGTCCGTTATTAAGCCTCAGAATAGTTATGATTTAACCACATGCAGTACAACACCTCCTAACAGCTACAGGTGATGGTACTGAACTCACCTCCGTGTCAAGAATATACAAGAGATTTTCCACAACCACCATCTTCCGAACACCTTTGAAGTAAATATATAAAGGAGAATGTATTTAACGATCCTCACACAATTAAGTCTTTAAAATCAATTAAGACATTCTACGTACTAAACATTGGGACACGACCTTACCTGGAATCAAGCTGTTGTTGATCGAGTCAGCGAGGCACATCTTGCCCTGATGAGGGTCCATCGTCCAGTGAGTCACGATACTTTCTTTATCCCCCTAAGATAATGTTGTGATACATTTCATTAACAAATACATGTTGCTTTACTGCTTTATAGAACCATTGACTACCGTTCCTAGAAATGTTTTGTTTACACTATTTTTAAGCTTAATTTTAAGTGGGTCTTAATATCATGGGAAGCATAGGTTCAATTTTGTGCCTGAAATCATTAGCTTGTTTAGAAAAATGAGATGCAACAGCACAGTATAAAAAGGGGCAAAATATTCAAAGTCCCATCCTCCGTTATCCTTTCATTCATAATAAACCAATGAATCATAGCTGCAAGTGGTAAATAAATGGCTTTGAAAACTGACCCCGATCATTAAGTGGATTTCAGGACCCAGATTGAACGTCACTGCTGTACTGCAGCCCTCATCATGGTAGTGACCGGTGGGGCAGAAGTCTATCTTTATGAGCGACTGCAGCTGAGTTGAGAAAAAGTGATTATTAATGGTATGAGAAAAATAAAATTGTGACTTTATGACAAGATTATTGCCTTAACTGACCTCTTTCAAAGCTCCCAAATCCTTGTTTTCAATGGCTGTGCAAGAATAAACGTTTAGATGCGTCAATAGAATGGCACCAATGAAACTTTCAGTCTCACGCGCATGATGGTTGGATACCTGTCTCGATCTTTGCCAATGCAAGGTTTGTAATGTGGAAAAACCCATCCTTTACGAGAAGGAACACATGGTACGTCCCTGTAAACAACACATAAACAAAATACATTGGAGGAATTGGTGACACGCTATTATTTAGATTTAGATAAAAACACAGTTAAACATCTAGAGATAGAGATTCCTTTTCAGTTTCCATTATTTCTCAGAAGAAGAAGATGTTTTACCTAACAAAGCCTTGTTCTCTTCTATGATGAGATAGCGGTAGGTTTTCTTATCCTCATTGGATGATTTCTCTACCAACGCCTGCAAACCCAAACAACAAGACATGTTAATGTACATAAGAAAAACACATTGTGCAACTCAAGCTCATACATTTTTTTAAAAAGACCACATGTTTGGTATCAACATCTAATGTTGAATATTTTCCTTCAAATGTTGAAATCTGCAGATTGTAACAATTTAAAGCCGGACACGGTGATCATATCTCATGTATTCCTCCACTATCATTAGTCCTATTAGTACAGATATCAAACAAGCCTCATACCGTGGTGAGAAGGATTTTTCTGGTTGGCACATAGACCAAGTTAAGGTTTCCGTTTCTTTCACAAACCACCAAAAACTGTCCCTCCATGCAGACATCGATGGCATCCACATTTGTTTCTGAAAAACAAGTTGAGGTATTTGCATATAGAAGTTACAGAGTACAGATGAATGGCATTGATTGCAAATAGCGTGATAAACTCCAGCGTGTGACTTCACACTGAATTTAGTTTTAGAATTTGACAGGCAATCACAACACGGAGAAAACAGTGCCCACCGGGCACCTTTCATGGGAACATTGTTGCCTAGCAACCCACCGAAATGAAGGAGCAGCAGGATGGCCTGGTAGCTCTGGTCAAACAGGATCACCGTCTTGTCGGCAACAACGATGTTCCAGTTTGAGCCACTGGAGGAGGAGAGACGGGGATCCGTCTGCACCTGTAGGAACCAGAACTTCCATCGGTGAACTGAACCTGGAGGATGCGCTGCTAACTGGCGCGCTGCCATGGCAACAGGAGATCGGGCTTTTGTAAAAGGTAATGTGGGTGTCGGGATCAATCACCTCACTTGCGGTCGAGATCTTGACCAGTGTGTCCACCTGATACAAGCCGCTTCCATTCTCCTCCTTGGACACACCGCCGAGGCGGACAGTGTTTGTGTCCTCGTTGGTCAGAAGTTCAACGTCGCTCCACGTAGCCATTTTCGTCGAGCTGAGAAAGTGTGATCGTCTATTTTGACCTCAAAAAATGCTTTCGGTTCTAGTGTCCTAACGTAACTGTTCAGTTGAAATGCGATAGAACTGTCATGCTAGCTGACGATGTTAATCATAACACTCATAAACTATTAAGCATATAGCCACACCGACAGTTAGACGGCCTGCTGGTATCTATGACAGAGGTAGCTAACATTTACAGTTCATATTAGCCTGATGGTAACTCACCACTCCGTCGAAACAATCCCAGAGGTAACGTTTCAACACGGAGATGAGACACAAATCTACAGACGGAACTTTAGAATTTGGCGGGTTGATATGGCGGAGGGTGGGTTAATTTTTCCTGAGTTTTGTCTAACAGATACAACTTCCATCCCCAGCTAGTTATAGATCATGCTCCTATGTTTAGAATTGCCCCTAAAAAAGCCATAGCTGAAATATCAATTTTATCCATTTGCATTCTAAATGTAAGCATGTAAATGACCGATCGTTTAAGTGCTGCCTGACAGGCTGAGTTTCGGGAAGTTTCACTGCTCAAACAGAGGGGCGTGGCATTTAAGTGGCATCCGGAAATCGTTTCGGTGTTGCCAGGCTGGATACATTTTGGTCTTTTAAGTATAAGTGATCTGACTATTGTTAAATTTACGGCAGTGATTTAAAGAGGAGTTATTATTATTATCATTTCATTTTTATGGGGTTTTTGTTTCAAAGGAAAATAAAAATCAGCACCATTTCTATTAGTACAGTTTATCAACCTCCATAATCAAAATTATAAACACCGAATATCCCCGGATTGTTATTTATTTTCGTATTATTTAATTTATTGGTTACAATTTATTTACACTACATTTAAGTATTTGCTGCACCCCTTTATGTGGTTTGGTCCGCTCAATCTGATCTGGGCCACACCACTCTGTTAGTGTTTGCCTGAAAGTAGGGGATAGAAGAGGTAAACCTGGCAACTTTGGACATACTAGATGAGCAACGCAGCGGCACTGTAGCAGCTTAGCACCTCTCCGTGCGCGCACGGTCAACAATAGTGTTGTTACATTTAACCAAAATATTAGATAGTGCTTCGGAATTATGTCGGTAAGTACCATATGCATTTTATAACGGAATCCAACATCTAGATACACGCAGAACGACTTAACTATGGTCGGTTTACGATTATATCTGGAAATACTTTTTCTTTAAGATGGCGGTTAGCGTTGGTTAGCTTAGCCACCAAGCTAACGCTAAAACCACTCTCTGATTGAAGTATGAATGGCGAACGTAGTGGGATTTAGCTAATGTGGATAGCATGTTGGCTAACGGGCTTGTTTTTGTTTGAATGCCCCGAAAAAGCGATGCAATGACGTTCATGAAATTGAGCCTGTGTCGTATTTTGATTCAGCTGAGGAAAGTGTCACATTTAGTAATCCGTATCATTTGCAGCTTTTTAACCCAATGTATTGCCAACGTTACTATTTATGCTTAGTTAACGTCAGTCGTGCTAATAACAGCACATTTGATACTACAGTTTTAATTTGTATGTATTGTGACGCAACTTGACTTTAACGTTACTGAGTTATATTATTCCTGAGAACCGTGTAAAGCATTAACAAAGAGGGTCAAAGGAGTGGTGAAGAACATGGGGAATATCGCACCCAACGCTTGACTTCAATGCGCTTTTTATCCAAATGCCCTCTGCCTCCTAGTTGTGTTTATCTAACAGGCAACAGGAGCTGTTAAAATAAATACTATATAGGAAGGATATACACATTGAGAGTGTGTTGTGATTAGTGAGATACTTCTTTCTATTTTGTAGGGCTGAAACAAACTGCTACACTATTTACAAAGCATCTGCGTCTTAGTGTACGTTAGAATTCCATTTCACATGCAGACACATTATGAAAATGGCTGTGTGATTCAGATGTTACCACTTTTAATTGTGTTTAATTTGGAATGTAGGATTTAGCAAAGGTATACGGTCATCACTGTCCAGGTGTTCTGATTCAAATGTAATGGACTAATATATCTGCCTTGAGGCATGTATCTAGTCGCATTGTAAAAAATATTAAATTCTATATTAAAGCTATTTGAATTACCAATAGGCATTATTTGTAACGGTTATACATTTTCAGCAGTATTGATACATGCACGTGTTAGTAGCTGCATTCACTGCTCTTCTTGCATTTCCTTCTTAGTATCAAATATCAAAACGAGTCAAGTCAGAAATTCCAGTATAACAACATCACTACTATACAACAAAGACATCAGTGTGAATAGAGTGCATCTAAGTCCCGCACACATCAGAGGGGAAAACAATTTATTGAACTTAGTTATGAAAAGATGCCCCAAAAAATGTATGCAAAAATGTATGCAGCTATGGGCCTGCTAACCGCTTACTCCCTTATCCCGTCATAAAACCAACTGACCACGATAGGAAGCCTTTTGTTACATATCGTGGTGGCAATTGCTTTCCCCTTTGATGGCCGTGGTTTTCACAAAATGACACAATGCGCCATGCCGTTGAATGTGTTGACCATGTATCTATCTCTTCCAGGGAAGCGACAATGACTCGGTTGACATGACCAGAACAGCCTCCCCGGTACATCACAGAAAAAAACACAGCATGGAGTCATCCAGATCCCCCAGGAGCTCCAAACACTACCATTCACGGTCACGGTCACGCTCCAGGGACCGAAAACGTTAGTATTCAGTAAAACACTACCCAGACCGCGCTGAAAATGCCAAAGCAATTTGGTCCTTGGAATGACATTTGGTCCAATGGGATCCATTCAGAGAATTTATTGCAAGAAAACCGCGGGCAACTCATTTAGGAAATTTAATCTTTCAATTTTTCTCGCTAACAGGAACTACTGCATAATGTACTGTGTGTTTGTCCGAATGTTCTTTACTCAGCATTGTTTTGTTTTACGGGTTTGCTATAATGTATATTTGTCAGCACTCTGCTTCATGCTGTTTTCAGGTGACAGAAAATACCGACGCAGTCGCAGCAGGAGTAAAGAGGTAATTGATTCATCCATTTCTATGAATAGACATTTGATGTGATGTTGAATGCCTACGGTGTTTTCCTTGTTAATTGTAGGTTGAGGTGAGTATGTTTCGATAAGGTTTAATTTATTAGTTACCAAAATCCAGAACAAAATAAATAGACTCAAATGGGCCCACGCACATGGAAAGGTTTTTTTTTTTTTTTTTTAAACCATCTCCATGTTGACATGTCTTAAAGGACGTTTTTATCCTTGGATATCTGTCATTGTTTGTAACCATACTAAATGGTGAAGAGTAGATTTTTATTTTTTTGTTAAATACTGTGTGTAGATCACATGATAACATTTCTATAATAAATCATACTCAGCGTGCTTATGCACGAAGAGACTGAACAGAAGACCCTGCTGACATAGCAAAATAATATGTCTACTACTGGGACAGGTAACTATCTGCCATTCAAACTCCTATTTGTCTCACACTATTTGTAGAACAAATTAAATGAACTCTGGCATCTTTCAGCTAGGGATGGGCATGATTAAACAATTTTTAAGTAATTCTTTCAGTAATTCAGACTAATATGTCTGGATAAAGAGTAACAACTCCCTCTTCAGTGACATCATACCAAGGAAGACCAGTTCCAAACCATGTTCACATGAGACAAAGTTGGTGTGATTCTTATGAAGAGAGTTTTAGATAAAATGGTACTGATATTTATGGCCCAAAAAGATTGTAGAAATATATCATTTTATTTTAACAAGTGTTTTTGACATAAAATCATTATTGTGATTTGGATGAAGCAAGTAAAGAAGCTGTAAGAAGTAAGTTTGATGCCCATCCCTACTTTCACCTTTTAGGGATTTATAATTCAAAGCATTTTGGGTACATCGAATTGCCTTTGGTGAAGTGAACAAACCATTTTAGTTTTTCTAGAATGAGTTTGTACAGTTTACGGTTAAAAGATGCAAGACGTTCCAAACCGTCTGGTTTGATTAATTACCTTTTACATTGAAAGTAACTGACAGTGCTTTGTTGGTACAAAAAGCAACATCAAAAACATGAATTGGCCTCCAGTGCTACATTCACAGAAATAGTGTGGTGGTAAAACATTTTTTTGTGTTACGGGTCAAGGTGCGGTCTGACCAGAGTTTTCAGTTTTCAATGGAATTCCATTTACATTAGTCCATACTGGCAATAATGCCCACATTGAAGAATCATGGTCACAGAATGTCCTTCTGTATGTTATGAAAGTGAATTTTAAATGACACGGTTTTTCTCAACTTGTCAACATTTATTTATTACATACCGTCTGCCCTACGCCATGGTACTAACTCTCTTTGTTGCACTATTTTCCTGAAAGAGACAACTTCTTCTTAAAACAGGGACGAAAGGGGGACTCTGAGAAGCCATCGAAATCACACAGAAAAACAGACGAGCGGCAAGAGCCGGAGAGACTTTCAGCGGAGAATGGAGAGGAGCGATCCAGACGCAAAGAGAGGAGACCCTCCAAGGGGCGGAGCTTGTCCAGGTCCCACTCGCGAGAGAGGTTCGTCAGGTCGATGACCGGTATACAGAACTATGTTCGGCAGGTTTAACTTGTTTAATAACTCAGAAGGAATATTCGTTGGTATGTTATAGTTTCTAGATTAATATTGTCTTTGGAAGAATATTTAGCATTAGTTTTAAGCCCAGAAACACAAAACATTCTTATACTTTCTATTTTATTGCTAATCCTATTGCTTTCAGACGGCCTCACAGCAAAAGTAAGGACAGGCGACGATCCCGAAGCCGTGACAGGAAGAAGAAAGCTCGGTCTCGCTCAGGTTCAAGGACCAAACATCGCCATCACAGCAGAAGTCGCAGTAAAAGCAGGTGGGCTCAGTTGAATTACCCGGATACCTTCTGGGATTAAGTATTGTTTGACCGTTGTCCTGCTTGCCTACCATTCTACTTATTAACAGTATGTTTTTTTTTTCCTTTGCTTGTACCATCAGGGAGCGAAAGAAAAAGAATGAGAAAGTGCGCAGGAAGAGTCGAAGCAGGTCTGTTAATCCACCTGCCTTCCGGGGCCGAAACGCAGCTATGGATGCACAAGAGGCCCTGGCCAGAAGGCAAGGCAACAGTTCATAGGGCGTTTACAATATAGATCCGTCATTCTGTTCTGGCCAAATCCAAGAAATGGTAGAGGTGCTTATTGCATCTGGGTAATACCAGCTTCAAAAAAAGAAATCATACATTGAAAGGTTTCACCGACTTTATAATGCCTGACAGTTTAAGAACATGATGAGTTTAAGCACTTGTGACCACGCATTAATGTGACCAATTGGAAATCAATTTAAAGCTGGCCATCAGCCACCATTCAAGCCTGAAATGATTCTAATGAAAGTTGTAGACCTCTGAGCTTGGCTGTTATCTGACTCTCATCCAAGTTACACTTTCCAGAGAGCCGTGTTGTTCATAAAACCACGTTGGTGGGGAAAACAAGTACTGTAAAATGGTGATCGGTGGGGTGAACTGCTGCTGTGGGTCTCTAAAACACTGACCATGACATTTTAATGTCCACATTTGTCTGGCCGGGGACCTTTGTTGCATGTTACCCCTCCTTTCTCTACCTTCATTTCAATTCTCTGCTGTCCCCTGTCTAAAATACAAGATATTCCAAGAGAGACTTTCTCCAAGAGAAAATTCTGTCTGACGATGTCTCCAACATGTGGAGATATGCTATTTTGGATCGCACATAATATTATCACTTTGCAGTGAAAGCAATTGGCTTTAGGGTAAAAACACTTTTTCCTTTTCCAGACTGGAGAGAGCCAAGAAACTACAAGAGCAAAAAGAGAAGGAACTGCTGGAGAAACAGCAGCAGAATGAGATAGTTGCAGGTGAGAAGGGCTTGCTGTGCCTTTTCTTTAAGCCGGATTAAATCAGTTGCTTACAACGCTCGTCTGCATCTTGTTTTTCAGTGACTGCGCCCATCGCGGCAGTTGCAACCGCAGTGGCCACCACCCACCCTGCCCTGAATGTGGCAGCCCTCCTGGCCTCTGGGACCCAGGTCACGCCTCAGATAGCCATGGCAGCACAGATGGCAGCCCTTCAAGCAAAGACGCTGGCAGAAACTGGCATTGCTGTTCCCAGCTTCTACAACCCATCCGCTGTGAACCCCATGAAGTTTGCAGAGCAGGAGAAAAAGAGGAAGATGCTTTGGCAGGGAAAGAAGGAGGGGGTACGATTAAATATAGCTCTTTATTTATTTATGTGTGTGTATATATGTATGAGTATATGAATATTTTTTAATGATTATATATTTATTATCAAAGGATGCTTGTATTTTTAAGGACAAGTCACAGACAGCAGAGTTGTGGGAGAAGCTGAACTTTGGGAACAAGAACCAAAATGTTAAATTCCGCAAACTAATGGGTATCAAGGCAAGTATAATTGGAATTTATTCAACCAATGGGTCTTTGATATTGCTGTAAAATCATCCGTCCACCACTTCAGGCTTTCTAATCTGAACTTCTTGGAGTTAATTGCAGTTGGTGTCTTTACAGGGAGAGGACGAACCTGAAGTGGCCAAACCACTGAATGAGGAGGGTTTGAAGACTCTTCAAAAGCAGGAGGAGATGTTTAGGAACCTTGACGTTCAGTATGAGATGGCTCGCTCTCAGACACACACCCAGAGGGGAATGGGCCTCGGTTTCACCTCCTCCTTCTCACGTGGCATGGATTCCATCTAGGGCCAAATATTGGACGTCTATGCCACTCATGTGATCGTATAGGACCACTAATTCATCGCTAGCCCTCAAGCTCGCCCGGATCTGTAATTTATTTATAGACAAACATCTTGCATATTGGAACATATATTGTAAATAGCCTGATGCAGAGTTTGTCGCAGTGTTCATGAATCTGTACTGTAATCTTTGCAAAAGGAGGCATCGTTTGACTGGTTGATACTGGTTCAAATTAGATATGTTTGAATAATGTGGTAGCTTTTTTTTTTTAAACTCATATATTGATATGTGATTGTTTCAACATAAACTGAATATAATGTGGTTCAAGTAAACCGTTTACATCCACTTAACAAAAAAAAAAGCAAGATTAACTTTAGATGCTTATCTGAATGACATGGATTTATTTTTCCTGCCTGGAAATGAAAACCTAAACTGAGTTTTCATTTTGTCTTTTGGATTGTGACGGACATCGATGTGCTTGATGGAAGATTCACACACTTCAAAGCTTTTTTAAATAAAAATTTGTGTTAAATAAGATTTCATACATCACCTCACATTTACATTTATCCAATATCTTTTGATTACATTTGTTTTAATTAACTTAAATGTTACCACGGTTTGATGTTTAACTAAAATTGTAATTATTTTACCAAAGTCCATCCATAAAGCAATATAATCTTGTCAAAATTATATGGAATGAATTGATGTCAAGTTATTGGAGCTGTATTTATATACTGCATTAGACCATAAAAAATAACATACATCTTATCTAGCTAAACACACTGCTTGGTATCAAACATTTTGCAAAGCAAGATTATGTCAAGAAAAGGTGCTTCCACTGAAAGTTAATGATTATCATCTTTGTTACCAAACCTGATAGAAATGGCATGTTTCTAAGAATAAAGTGTCCAGAGCAAGAATGTACAACAGCACATACAAAAGACAATTGAAGAATGATACTGTAACTTCCTAAAAAAACAACAGGTTTTTGTGTTGGAAAACAACTCCTATTTACATATTAGACTGGAGTAGAGCACATGAGCCACACCAGTGATGAGGTTGTGGTTGGCAAACTCCAGGATGAGGAGCAGGATCGGGTACTCGCTGTGTCTCCTCTCCACCGTGGACTCGTCACTTAAGCCCATCCAATGGAGCAGCAGGGTTTGCATGGCGACTGGGAACAGCTCTGTGGCCAGCTCTTCCGCAGGAGGCAAGTCGCTAATGCGTTCGATATGCTGCACTTTAAAGCCCTCCACTTTATGGCTGATGCTGTTGTTGGCTGCATGAAACTGTTGCCCCAGCCATCGTCCTATACCACAAAGCAGGGAACTGGAATACGCACACCCCCAGTCCTTAGCCTTAAGCAGGGATAACACAGTTTCCGTCACGTCCTTTTCTTCCAGCTTCCCATTTACGTACCGGTCAATGTTGTCCAAAAGCATCGATACGGTCTCCAGCCGGTCTGTGTGGCTTTGAGTCTCCGAGGAGAGTTTGTCATCCAAGCTGTGCAATTTCTGTCTCAGTGTTGATAGAACTTGTTGGCTTTGCTCAGCCTGCGAGCTCTGCTTGGGCAAAGAACAATAATCGTGATCTGCTGAGGTATCACCAGTTTCACCGCAATGCACATCCACTGACTCCCTGTCACCATGGCAACGTTGAGGTTGTGGCAGTCCAAGCTGAACATTCAGGTTGTAACTCATCTCCAGGGGGCTGTCATTTATCTGTGATTTCCAAACATCCTACAAAAGGAAACGCATGAAAATATTGAAAACAAAAAAATATATAGATTGTGATATTTTCAAAACAAAGCAAATGTATAATGCAAACATATGCAGAATTTAATCTGTACTGCACCTGGAAGTTCTCCAAAACAGCAAGCTGCTCCTCCTTGCTGTACATCTCAAAGGCCACTCGAAAAAGTCCTTGAATGCTGTAGAACCAGAGGCTGTTGTTTGATGTATGGACCTTCAACCCATGGAACCTGAATGCTGAAAAAGAAACAATGTTTTAGTCTGTGTGTGTGTGTTTGTGTACAATCTTGTTAAACCTCGTGGTACCATTTTGTCTAGCTTATTTCACCTGAGGAAAAATGTACTTTTGTTGCGAATCCTTTCTTGGCAAACTTGGCGTGATATCTGGGATGGTTCTCTGTGCGGATGTCTGTGTTCGAGAAGACATCTGCTCCTAAATAAAGAGGAACCACCGGACTCTGAAACAAATACAGATTATTACAGGTCATTTAGCAGACGCTTTTATCCAAAGCGACTTACATTACACTTTAAACCCATGGCTTTTTCACATTTTTGCCCAGGGAGCCATTAGGGGTAGGTGTCTTGCTCAGGGACCCTTCAACATGGGGCAGCCTGGAATCAAACCACCAACCTTCTGCTTCCCAGCACACCTTCTCTAACCCCTGCGCCACGACGACCCGGATGACAGATGATACATGCAGTACTGCAATCAATACATTTGATTGATGTTTTTACATATAGAATATTGTGTAAATATTTCAGCATCTTTGATTGTATAATTTAACTGTGGTTACAGGCTCTCACACTCCTTTTGTGTGTAAGTTGTTGTAAATAATGTTTTAGAGCCCTAATCCCCCACTGACTTTTTCACACTGCACACGTCACTTTCATTTGTCACTTTCTGTGCACTTTATTTTTATTTTTTAAATATTTGTAACTTTTATTCCTTTATTTTTAAACTAACCCATAGCCTTATACTACTAACCCATTGCATTATATTTTATTTTATTCCTCTTGCACTATGTTGTCATTGTCGTACTGTCCTGTTATGCACCAACCGCCAAGTCAAATTCCTTGTCTGACAGATTATGGCAATAAATGTTTCCTGATTCCTGAAGTATTTTGACAAAAAAGACAACACACAAGTTAATGATGGATTTCTACAATATTTGACTCATTTGAGAATAGCCAGTCTTGCGATCGCAGCGCGCTGCATTCCCGGTTAGGTTCATTTATGAAGCCCATCCCAAGAAAACCCACGTGGTCGCGGTGCTCACTCTTCTACGCGTGCGCACCTTTGAGCCAGTAAAGCTTAAAGCTTTGTTTATACCTGTGGTCATGAACTGAGACGTCCATACTCCCTGCTGCGACCAAACTGAGTAGTGGATATGCCCATCGGAGCATAAACAGCACAACAACATTAATCATCCTCCACGACGCCGAGGGACAATTGTGTAATCTGTAAACTCATATAATTACAAAGTAAATCCAGCATTTTTGATGAAAGAACATGCGCGAGACTTCTCTCACCTTGTTGGAACTCTGCGTCAGACTGAACGATGTCAGATTCACTAAGTAAATATAGCGTATTTTCCGTGAACCCCCGTCCCATTGGGGTAAAGTTAAGTGAATAGTTGAGCAACTTGACATTGCTGCATGCAAATTCACCTTCTCATTGGGTAACAATTGCAAAAGTGGAAATCCGAATGGCAAAGAGGTTAAACGGCTGCAAAAATCCCCACCAAATAAAAACCGAGTCAACAAACAAAAACGCCAGACTGGGGTTTTAATCCCTGAACGATGTTTTAGGGACAGAGGAGGACGCTTTGAATACACGTGGCTCCTCATAGGCTGCGTGGTCGTGGTCTGTTTGCAACTAAAATAGTTAGTTATACATATTACAGAAAAGATGTTACGCTACAAAGTAACGCTGGTGTGCCAATTGCCTTTTTGTAATCTGAGATACCAACCTGCAATTCAACGCTGTGGGCTAAATTAACACGCCTTAATACGCACACGTGACATAAGGAGAACCAATGAATACAAAGAAGCGCTTTTTTCACCTCTGAACTCCTTTCCTCTTCCGCAGAGCTGGGTGAAAATGGCTGAAGTGGATTTCGGGGATAGTGAGCTCTTCGAGCAGCTCGATGACTTGGCGCCGACGGCCCCGACGCACATTCGCTTCACAAGCGACGATGAAGACCGGGAGGAGAAGAGCCTGGTCGGCGGCCTGCCGGATACGTCTGACGACTCCGTCCGGAGACTCGTGGAAGAGAATATCCTTGTGTCAAAGTGTGTGCTAGCATGTTGTTGTAGCACATGCTAACGCAGACTAGCAACTGCAACCCAAACAGAACGCGCACAACCTCGACGTGTACGACAGTGGCTCTTGTGTATGTGTCCAGTCTGTTAACTTAACTCGTAGATTTACATAAAGATTTGAGAAGAAAACTGAACATCCTGACACGGCCAAGGTAACATATTCTTGTAACTGACAGTAAGAAATGCGCATTTAACGTTAAATGAATCTGAACTGATCCCCAACGTTAACGCGGTTTTTGCCTCGTGACGTTTCAGTGGCATCACAGTTGAAGATGTCAACACCGACGGGCCAGCTCTTCAAATCTTTTATGCCAACAACATTATTTCAAAGTAAGGAGTCAAGTGTACTTATTTCCTCACTTGTGCTATTTATAGTGTACGTGGTCATAGTCCGTCTATGTTGACCGCTAGGTTAATGTTATAACAGTGGACATATTCGAACCGTCTTATAGTTGTTGCATTGCGGCTGATACAATGGAAGTAAATCGTATTCATTGTCTTGCTGTGTGCACCTCATCTCTAAATTGATAACAAAACACTACAATTAATCCCCTTCTTTTAGGCTCTGTCGTCAAGAAATTGAAGACTGCATCTGGAATGTGCTTTTAAAGCACCAGAAACCAGGCAATGAAAAGATCAACTCCATCCAAATGAAACCTCAGGTGTCTACTCAGAATATACCTTTAGTGTAAATTAATATCAGTATATATCTATATATATATATATATATATATTTGGATTTGCTAAAAAAAACTTCTATCCTGTATAAAGAATTCAGCATTTGCTATGGATGAAGAGCTGCAGAAGTCCTCCTCCACAACTGAAGCATTTAAAGTGAGGTTTTAATATTGTTTTGCGTATTGCACAATTTATTGTTATAAAGAAAAGAAACCGTTTTGTCACGGTCTACTTGCAATACCATCATTTATTAATCTCTTCTCTTCCTGCCTTTTAGGTGGTTGGAAGTGTGCTGTATTTCACCACATTCAGTATTGATAAACTCGGACAGCCTCTGGTGAACGAAAACCCCCAGTTGACTGACGCTTGGGACATTCCAGCGTATCCTCAAAATAGATGAATTAACGCCTCATCTAAACTCAACAGTGTAGTCTGTCAGTTCATCGGTTCTGAACATAAGTTGCACATTTGAAAACTATTTTCACATGTGATATACATGTTCAAATTAAAGTCAATATGTTGTGAATTAAGATGTGGTTTATTATTGAAATATCCTGCATATAATTGGGATTTCTGTTGAGGTGTGGAAATGCAAATTTTGTTGTGCACAAACATAATAAACCTTCCTGAAATGTTGCAAAGCTATCACCAGTCATTCAACCAAGTCGTTGGCACAGATGGACTGGAAGTAGAGATGAAAGACAAAAGGTATGTTGTGTTTTTAATGAAGGTCCATTCGTTTTTCATCTTTAGTTTGACTTTCTTTTGTTGTTGTGTGGCATGTAGTTCTATAACGAGATGATCACTTATCTGTTCACCATAGATCCAAATCAATGTGTTTCAACTGTGGGTTGAGTGGTCATCAGCTGAGAGACTGTCCCAAGGTAAGAACAAGTAAGCATTATATCAGCTAAAGTTGAATATAACAAGGGTCTTTACTTTCAACATTTCATGTTTACCATCCTAGCCTAAAGACATGGCTGTGATAAATGAGAGAAGAAAGGAGTTCAATCACAGCAGCAACCAGACCATGCAGAGTAACCAGCGGTACCATGCTGATGAAGTGGAGGAGAGGTTTGCTAAGTACAAGCCAGGAATCATGAGGTAGGATTTCTATTTTGAAAACCACAGCCACAAACATCATTTGTTGGCATTAAATATCTATTGTACCAAGTAAAAATAAATCTTGATAATCTAAATGTTTTACATTCTTTGGTCAGCGAGGAGCTGTTGAGAGCCATGGGACTTGATGCCAACACCCTCCCTCCTCTGATTTATCGCATGAGGCAACTGGGCTACCCGCCAGGTTGGCTCAAAGAGGCAGAGACGGAGAACTCTGGCTTGGCAATGTATGATGGAAAAAGTATGTTTTGGATGAAATTGAAACCTGCTTACTTGATTTTATTCTTGATTTAAACTACAGGGAAACATAATAATGTTGACTTAGTTACAGAAATACTGTTTTTCTGTTCTCTAGATTCGATTGAAGGTAATTTTACGGAGAATAGCAATTCACAAAACAGCTCTTATGATGTTTCCAAGCTGGTTGAATTCCCTGGCTTCAACGTACCGGCCTCTCACCACATGAAAGATGTAAGTCCCACAACACAAACTTGTATTCACCAAATCACTAGTTAGATGTGATTTCAGGTATCTGAATTATATTCATATTAGTGTTATTTATATCATCAGTTTTCTAAATCCAATGGAGGAAAATGGAAATTAATGCTGCATTCTGTAATGTGATTCCATCAGTATCTGTTCTAAAATTCTAATAATACTTAAATCATCACATTGATTTCTTTTATTTTTCGTTACACATTTGAGGTCATTGATTTTTTTGTAAATGCAGTGCAAGGAGTCACTTTACATGTTTTTATTTAGTCTTATCATAAAGAAATGGCTGCACAATGTTATTTCAGTGACAGTGCTAATAGCAGGGCATCTTTAAACCTGCTCATCTCATTGTGTTTCAATTTCTGACCACCAGGAGTTCATGCAGTATGGTTCAATTCCAATGCAGACCAACCACTTCAAACAAAACTATGCAGCCTACCTGTCCAAAAACTTCCCTAAGGTAATTCTCTTGAAGTCCTTTAACTCTTGTAGGCCGCAACTGCTCATTAGCTTAGATCTTACAATCTTCTTTTTTTAAACCCCCTTGGGCACAACCCCAAATATTTTCACACCATGTGTCATTCTTGCAAACAGCCTGGTGATACAACCGGCAGCAAGAGACGGCATGAGTCCGAGTCATCTCCACACGAAAGGAAGAAGACCCGGTTCAGCCCTGACAGGAAGTCCGATAGGAGCTCTGACATGGATATTGAATCGGGTAACTATTCACCTCAGTTACGTTTTCAGCAGGCTCGTCATCCTGCGTCCTTTTCAAGTTACTTTATAACAAAGGTTGAAGCAGTAATCTGTCATTTTCTTAATCTTGTCATCCACGCTGTTGCTTCGTGACTTGTTTGCCACATTTAAAAAGAGGCCCCTTGTTTATATCCACAGCTCATATACAGAATAATGCAGAGTAACACTCACTTTCTATTTTTGGGTGTCTCTCCTCAGACCCAGGAACGCCGTATAATCACAGCACAGGTGATTTCCAGTTCCAACCTCCGCTACCTCCTGGCTCCCCTTGCTTCAGTTCACCACCTCCTCTACCCCGAGGTACTCCTCCTGCTACACCAACTCCCCCACCTCTCCCTAAAGGTACACCTCCTCCCACCCCAACTAATGGCTCACCAGCTTTGCGGGGGCAAAAATGGGTTGTCCTTGATGACGTTGTAGACGAAACGGAGGATGAATTGACATTGGAAGAACTGGAGGAACAGCAGAGGCTGATCTGGGCTGCTCTTGAAAATGCTGATACTGGCACTAATAGTGACTGTGAGACACCTGCAACGAGAACACATGTACCCAGTGCACCAAGTGTGTCCACACCTCCTCATGTCTGCACCAAAACGGAAGTAGATGTGATGGACACAACAAGCCCTGCAGAGATCTGCCACAGCAGTAAAACTCCGAGGGATCAGGAGAGATGCTCTCGCAGTCCAAAACTAATTGAAGCCCAAGATGACAGCCCTCAGAGTCCTGGTCCAGTCGAAGCTCAAGATGACAGCCCCCAGAGTCCTGGTCCAGTCGAAGCCCAAGATGACAGCCCCCAGAGTCCTGGTCCAGTCGAAGCCCAAGATGACAGCCCCCAGAGTCCTGGTCCAGTCGAAGCCCAAGATGACAGCCCCCAGAGTCCTGGTCCAGTCGAAGCCCAAGATGACAGCCCCCAGAGTCCTGGTCCAGTCGAAGCCCAAGATGACAGCCCCCAGAGTCCTGGTCCAGTCGAAGCCCAAGATGTTAGACCCCAAATTTCTGATCCAGTCAAATGCGATGAAGACAACCCGCAGAGCCCAGAGCGCAGAGAGATGTGTTTGTCTAATGACGAGAAGGTAGTCGCTGTTCCTCATCGGAGCAAGTTTGCAGCTGGCATTGTTCCATTTGAAGATACACCAGAGTTCACTGAGGTTGCTGAAGCTACAGGGACATACCTAAGGATCAGAGACTTGCTTAAAAGTTCCCCCCGAAGTTTGGGGAAGAAAAAATAAAAATGACATACATGGACATTTTTAACAAATGAATGGACACATGGACGTTTTCATGGACATCCACTCTAGCATCATTTTAGCGGTTTCTCATTTTTTACCAAGTTGAATATCTGCTTTGTATATACGCGTTTTATCTGTTGCCTACCACAACGGCAGGCATTTAGGGATGCTACAGTGAAGGTTTATAGATTTTGACCAACTAGTCCCTTTTTTCTTTTTTTGAAGCATTTGTGGTACCTGTGCTGTTCATTGGTGTAAAAGTTGTCATTCCCTGACTTAATGATGTATAAATATTGTTTTCTATTTTTGTCTCGCTCAAAATGCTCTGAGTAAAAAGTCTTCCCCTTGCTTTGTTGAATTTAGTCTTACAACCATGGATCAATGTGGGTGTGATTTTAATTTTGACTGTAAATTGGCAGCACAGAAGGCAAACTACATACGCTAACTCTTCATAGTTGATTGTTGGCTATCTTTATCAGAGCCTCTTACATTACAATGCTTGATTTATTCCATTTTGTCTAGTATTATATTTTTATTTCACTACTCCTCAAAGATTAATCTCACAGCTGATATACAATTCATTCCCCTTTTCAAAAGGCTACATATCATTTTCAAATGCAGATTTAACAAAAAGCATCATATACTGAGTTGTCATGCTCCCTCCTTACCACTGGGGTGTGTGTGTGTGTCTTGTTCGCTAACTCTTTACTGTCTTTCATCATAATCATCAGCTGCTGAGCCACACCTGAGCCTGGTGGGGTTCCAGTTTGACACCAGTTTTACCTTTGGTGACATGGCTGCTGTTTTAGGTTTGTTGGTTTACAAAAATGTTCACACATCATGGATTACTGACTCCATGGTGGTTTTATTGTTAATTACTTTAAAACGTGTCTCCCGTTTATGTAGCAGCCTTTCAGTTGGGTTGTGGCAATTGAGAATATTGTATTTTTAGGAAAACATAGTTGAGGCAATTTACCAACATTGTCGATGTTATGTCAATCTTGGGTCTGTGACTGTTCAATTCATATTTCAGAATATTTGAACATACAGTACACACCAAAACGTGAATATACTCACATACTCTTAAAATACTGATCCAAATATGCATGCATACACAATCCCATGTGTGTGCTGATAATGCTTCACCTCAGACAAAATCAGGAGTTTCAACTCCGTTTTCTCAACATGAAAGTGTCATACATTTAAATGTATTTTGAACCTTGAATAATGTCCACCTTGTTCCCTTAAGTCGTTACTTCCGTAACGTTACTTGAACACTTTATCCTTCAATAATATAACATTGTTGGTTGGACAATAATACATTTCAGCTTGACGTGACCCCGCTTTAACTTCCGGACTATCTTAACCCAGTTAATAAAGTGCGTGTGGTGGACTAGTTTGTCCCACTCAGAAGTGAGGGAGTGTTACGTCTCTGCTCGTCCCCCTCTCCCCCCCCTCCCGACTGACGTCTCCCGGCGGGTAGGTGGACAGGTCCCGGCCCCCGGGCCTCTTATCCCCGGCTCTGATCCTTCTGAAGCCGAGCAGTCGTAGTTCTCCACTTGGCGTGCTAGCCGTGTATTTCCTGCCGGGTGGACGTGGGCTGTACGGAAACATACCGGGTCAGTGTTCGCGTTTAGCTCACGTTGAGGTCTCGCGTTTCCGGTAAACTTGCCGGTTCTTTCGCGGCCAGGACGCGCACCGCGAGGTGAGAGTTTTCCCGGTAACGTTAGTGTAAACGGCACCTGCGGGGGTGTTCGTTTAGCTATCGTTAGCTAACCTAGCTAGCCAGCGCTTCCCTTGCTCCTGGTCGCTGTTGACCGTGTTGCTCGGGCCTCGCTGCTAACGTTACTTAGCAACGAGCCTTACTCGGGTATAACGCGTATTCTCGTGATCGCGGGCTGGGATCCGGGATCCAGGTGACAGCGCAGTCAGAAAACCGCTTATAACAACAACAACAACAACAACAACAACAACGACACCAGTCGACAATCTATCTTTAGAGTTGAACTGCGCTGATCCGTCACCGTTCGTCACGGGGGCTGTGAACTTGTAACGGCAGTGTGGGCGACATAGCGGAGACTCGCGGAATTTGCTTCAGTCGCCGCGGTCAGTCGGTCGGTGGGTTGCTTGGGTGTAATGTTATGCACATGTGGCAGTTACCGGTAACAGCCCCCACCCCTCCCAGGAACGTGTATTAAATAAGTACGGTAAGTTAGCCGCGGTGTTGTAGTTGTTTAAAAGGGCTTCGCTGTTCACCAGATGTGCCACCTCACCGACAGCTCTCACTCCGCTAGCCCGGGAAGGACGCCCGGGCGAGGCTCCTTAAAAGGGCCTCATCCGGAGAGCTTCCGTAACGGGGGCACCGGGCCACGCGTCAGCGTCGTGTCACGGCGTCACGGTGCGACTTCGGCATTCGTGGTTTTTATACAAAAAGCCGTTGAACTTGTTTGTGCTGATTTAACACGAGTAACATTAACGCTGTGGAGGGTTGGATTTGCAACACCTCTGGAACTTTCTGAATTTCTTCTGGGCTTCTTACTTCTTTTTACCGTGTTTATATGGATTTTGGTATTTATGTGACTAGCTATGATGTATTTTTTTGTTGCCTCCATCGTTATATACAATATTGTAGCCTCGACTAACTAATAGTTTAGTTATTAATGTAATGTTTGAGTTGTGCCTGGCCAAACTAAGTGCTAGGACATGTGTAGGACCGTTTTAGTTCCGCTTGGTGAAATAAGGGATGTTGATTTGAAAATACTACCAATAGTACAGTACAATACCAGAATCCTCCTTGTTCCTATGTTGTGATCATGTCCGGTTAGTGCTTTTTTTTTTTTTTTTTTTTTTTTTACGCCTTCCTTTGTCAGTGCGAGCAGGGTACACAATCATCCCAGCAGATGTTTCCTCGTAAAGGAAGAACCAGAGCTCGATTTGCCCTCGTGATGACAGGACTGTGGTAGTGAGGCCTACGTCTGTGATTGCACACTTCTGAAGCCGTAAAGCCGTAGTAAGCAGCTACGACCAATCACCCAATGCTGGTGTTTCTATTAAAAACCTTCTAAGGAAATCACAAATTCTTTCAAAGATTTCCATATAAATGACTAATTTCTAACCTACGGAAGTAGCATCGTGGATCAAAGACCCACTGACTTTTGTAATTTGTGACACGCTGCCATCGTTTAACAAGTACTTGGAAGGCTTAGAGGATGCAGATCTTTTTACCGTCATCACAAAACATGCAAGTAGATCAGCGAACGTCTGTTTAACTTCTGTTGTCAGCAACATATGCTCAATGAATCACTCTGAAGATACTCGTTCTGCAGATAGGTTTTGTTTTGTCTACTTGGAAGTTTTCCCCAACGTTCACACTGTTAAAGCGATGGATGCGAACCGAAGAGACAGGGTGTCTCTTCGGTTCGCATCCATCGCTTTAACCGTCTCTGAGCACATAGACCTCTGTCATTGCTAACATTGAAATTGATTATGTCCATGCAGTCATTTGGAGAAGCCTCAGTTCTGTTTTACAGACTACCATCTTCCTCTTTCAATGTGTGTATGGACATCCAAAAACAAAAATCCTAACTACATGGAATAGTGAGGTAGTTTAGTTATACCGTTCATCTCTTTCAGAATTTTGCTTTTTATTAAATACTATATTGATTCCCTTAGCTTAGACTTTTTCCCAACATTGGTGTTTGGCTTTCTTCCCAGCTGCAGATTAGAGCGACTGTCTGCGGCAAAAGATTAACATCACTGTAGTGGGAAATTCTCCAGACTAAGTGGATCATTTTCAGCCGACTGCTCCAGTGCACCATTCAGAGCTGAAACATCCTCGGTTAATGCTCACACAAGTCGCAGTAAAGCCCGGTGACGTTATAATAATGCAGTTTGTTTTTTAGACACACCAGTCATATCCCACAGGCGTATGGGTCATTGATGGATATTCATCAAATTTGACATTTTTCAATGTCTTTTTGTTTTTGTTTTTGTGCCAAATGAATTACTAAATGTTTGGATAGGCTCCATCATGCCGTCTTCAGCTATTGAAAAGCTTTCCGTCTCAGACCTCTTCTTGACCCGATTCAAAAGCTGCATTTGAACTAGGTCAGTGCGTTCTGATGGCCAGTCTTTATTATCCGTTGAGAAATATCTAGGAGGGGGTGTTGCAGCGTGTCTTCTCGAACCTTCACATTGTAGTTCTTAAACTTTTGTTTGTATGAGTTACATATTGTATTTCTTCCCAGTGTGAAGTGAAGCGTCTTTGCTTTGTTTAAAAGTGACTCAAAACCGTTTGAGTCGACAAGGCGCAGGAGTTGGTTCTCACCCATTGGGGGCAAAAGCAAATGCCAAGTACAGAAATTAGAGGCAAACTTTGCAGGTGAACTGCATGTGGGCGAAGCTGCATATGGAACCCACCACAGAAAAAATAGTATTGAAACCTATTTGATATAACTTGTATTTCTTTGCGATTCACACACTTTTTAACAAACTGTAAAGTTGTCCTCCACTTTCTATATACCTGTTCTGCAGAGTCCATGTTGTGGAGGCTACAGATCCGACTGTAGATTGGCCTGAAAGATGAATCTTTACAGTATTTATTTCAGTTTTGATTGAGTCAGTCCAAGCAAAAGTAGTAAAAACCATAATGTATCATTAAGTCAAACTGATAACCGGTGAGCACCATGTTTAAATAGTGCTTTCAGCCAATCAATTCTGTGATGACTTAATCTGGCAAAAATGGTAATCTGCTGCTGATCGTGGTCGTATTTCAGCTGTAATCTCGTTTTATGGGGAAACTGCCAAGCAGATTTAAACGATTTTATATGCCAGATTTATAGATTGAGTGAGAGAGCATTTGGGCTACTGCTTGTATTGTGGTCAAGGTCACAGATGAAAAGCTTTTCACAAGTTCGTAATGGCAGTGACATAGACTGCATATCTGCTGGCCTTTGACAGGATATATTTAGGTCTTCACAGTGACGTGGTGTGTGCGCTGAGGAGCTTGTTGTCATAACAGAAACAAAATGCCTCCATTAACAGAGCACCACAAACCAAGTCAATGCACAGGCCTTATCCTTAGCTGTCAATAATTGACTTGGTAACCAAAATATTTGCTTTCGGCGACATTCAGAGCAGAGACGGAAAGGTCTGGTACATTTGCCTAAATGAGAAAATGGTTTGTTTGATTTATTTCAGTAATATTTCTTTTTTTCCCTTCCAGACAGGGACCTTTTTGTGAGCAAAAAAGCCCTTTTTTGCCCCCGTCCTCCCTTTTTAGGAAACATGAGCACAGCCAAGCCCAGTGGGATCAAAGGGCCCAGCAAGATAGGGAGGCCTCCTGGGACAGGAGCCCCCAAAACCAACCCCGGCACAGGTAAGAATCCTCTCCTGTGCACCGCCTTCTACCCGCGCTGAACGTGTGGCAGTGTTTGTATAATCAATAGCCATGTTTTTTTTGTTCATACTTGTGGTTCTGGGACAAAGTTCAGTGTTTTAAATGACCATAGAAAATGTATTTCACTTTTAATTTATTTTGTAGTAAAACGTTGTGTCCAGCTTTCTTCTAACACACCTGTTCTACATTGAGCTTGGTCGCAGGTTATGTCATAATACTCTAAAGGTTGCAGTGCCTTGTAGCGTTTTGTCTTTGTCATGGGTTCATGCTGGCGTCTCTTTGCGAGGAGCTTCAGCCAGCTGTAGAAGTTGTCAATTTAATTGGATGGATAGAAATGATAAATTACATCACTTACCAGCTATTTTATAACTATTTTTTTATTTCTTTACACTTTTGCATTCATCTGTAGAAAAAAAAAAGAGAACAATTAATACCTAAAAGATGTAGTCACGTGTGACATATTTCAAATTATTGGAAAGGTGATAAACAATAATATTAAATGGTCACCTAACCTTCGCTGAGGGCAAACACTGTGCTGTTGTAAAACACTGCATATCTTGGTCCCTGGTTTGACTGTTCTGCGACAGGCCGATTTTGACTTTTGGTATTGAGAAGTGTCACATGATCCTCCTCAAGGGATGCCAGAGAAACACTTGCTAGTGCTACTTAGCTTAGGTTTTCAGTAAGCGGCTCACCGTCATACGGAAGGCTAGTGATGATTTTGTGCAGTGGATTGGGGATGGCATTAAGTGAGATGTTTGCATCCCAGAGATGCATCAAGAAAACTACTACTTCAAAACTAAAGTAAGAATCTGAATGACAATGCTTTTGAAACATTTAGTCTACATTTAATTTTTACCACAGCAGTATGATTATCACGCTTTCTTTTTACTGTGGAATTTTATTTGAACACCCTAACAATTCAGTCACGTAGAAAGGTTGTTTTATTACACATTTTTTTGAGTTGGTAAGTGAACACGTATAAGCCAAGGCAAGATTAAGCGTCCATAATGTAAGACCCCCTCTTATTTTCCAGCGGGAGCTAAAGTAAATGCGGTCGACAAATCCGATGCACGAGTCGGCGGAGGAGATGCTGAGAGCGCTGGGGGGAGCTTCCAGGTCGGGGACCGTGTGTGGGTAAACGGGAACAAACCTGGCCACATCCGTTTTTTGGGAGATGCCCAGTTTGCCCCGGGACAGTGGGCAGGGATCGTTCTAGATGAGCCCATCGGGAAGAACGATGGCTCCGTTGCAGGGGTGCGCTATTTCCAGTGCGAAGCCCTGCGAGGAATATTTACCCGCCCGTCAAAGTTGTCTCTCACAGAAGGGGAGGCTAATGGCACGCAGACGGCACCACCCTCCCGCGCTGCCTCACCCACCCCTTCGGTCGGCAGCGTGTCCTCACAAACACCAGCCACAAAGTCAACGTTACCCTCGACCACCACGGCAACCAAGAAGGCCTCCTCCGCTACACCCGCTGCCCCAGCAGCTCCGGCTGCGCCATCCTCCAACCTCGCACGCACAAACAGTGAATCCGTGTCCAACCTCTCGGAGACGGGATCAGTCAAGAAGGGCGAAAGGGAGCTGAAGATGGGCGACCGTGTATTGGTAAAGTTTGTTAGATTATCGGAAAAAAACTATTTCTTCATCATATTCCACCGTATGACTAAGCAAGCCCTCCTCTTCCTAGTAATCACAGGGAAATGAATGCATGGAAACTCAGTCAGTTAAAAGAACGCTTTGATTACATGTTTGCGTGTACACCCGTGAACATTTTGTTGCATTTAAATAATTAGCTTTTACATGCTGACCTTCGTTTGGCCTCATTCTGTTAAAAGCTGGTACATGTTTGTGCTGTTTTTATAGAACTATCTCATTAAGGGTTTATTACCAGCCAAAGCTGGTTACTCTTTAGGCCTCTCCAGTTGAGGAGATGACATGTTGGGTAATATTTTGTCTTCTCTTCTCAGGTTGGTGGTACAAAGGCAGGAGTGGTACGTTTCCTTGGAGAAACAGATTTTGCTAAAGGCGAGTGGTGCGGTGTGGAATTGGATGAGCCTTTAGGAAAGAACGACGGCGCAGTGGCAGGCACAAGGTACAAGAGCCACTGAATCTGCAAATATTTTACGTGTTAATCCCATGTAGACTATGATTTACATTATACACATTATTACATTCGTATTCCATTATGTGTGCCCAGATATTTCCAGTGCCAACCCAAGTATGGCTTATTTGCTCCGGTGCACAAAGTCACTCGCATCGGCTTCCCCTCCACCACGCCAGCCAAAGCAAAAACCACGGTTCGCAAAGCAGCGGCCACACCATCCGGGCTAAAGCGAAGCCCCAGTGCCTCCTCCATCAGCACCATGAGCTCTGTGGCATCGTCTGTCAGCGCCAAGCCCAGCCGCACAGGCCTGGTGAGACGTGGACACGCTCGGTTTCATCTGTTATTATCCACGGCGCACGCACGCCCCCGTCTGACCGGGCTCGTAATCTGTCTCTCCATAGCTAACAGAGACGTCGTCGCGGTATAATCGCAAGATTTCGGGCACCACAGCCCTGCAGGAGGCACTGAAGGAGAAGCAGCAGCATATTGAGCAGCTTATGGCTGAGAGGGACATGGAGAGAGCTGAAGTTGCCAAGGCTACTGGCCATGTTGGAGAGATGGAGCAAGAGATCGGCCTGCTCCGGGATGAACAAGAGCAGGTTAGCTCTCTCACTGGTGGTTCAGTAATAACACTCCTGTTGATCGTACAGTGCTTTGGGGATAAGAGTTGCCTGGTCATCAACAATGCTTGATTGATGGATTATTTATTTTTTTTGAAGATGGAGACCAAGATGGATCAGTTACGTGCCTTGGTAGAAGCTGCAGACAAAGACAAAGTCGACCTGCTGAATCAGCTGGAGGAGGAGCGTAGGTAAGGATTCCCAGAGGTATCACCAGTCACAGATATCCGGTCCCCCGTGGCAGTACATCAGCATCTATTGTTTCCATTATATGGGCTTTGTTTGTTGGAAGAGAATAAGAGGGCATGCTGCGCCAGAAATACAAACTGACACCCATGTGGTCTTGTATCTTTATAATTGACTATTAAATAAAGGCAAAGTATCCTCTGTAACAGAGCTACAGTTGAGTCCAGAGCGAACATTTTCATCATCACGTGTTTATGTTAGCAATGGAAACCATCCATCACTATCAGTAAGTGTGTTTGCATAGACAGTTTGACACGGGCATCGTCTTGCATTAGATGCTGGGCTCTGAAATGCTCTCAGTGGTGCAGAAAGGCTCGGGCATAGATGACAAGGCAGAATGAAATACGTACTGATACCCACGTGGTCTTATATATTCGGAATTCTACTCTTTGGTTTTATGTATGTATGTATGTATGTATGTCATAGGTTGTTAGTTCTCCTGTTATGTCAAAACAATAACGACAGCTCCCACAATTTAATTATTTTCTGTTGAGCAGGAAGGTGGAGGACCTTCAGTTCCGCGTAGAGGAAGCTTGCATTACCAAAGGAGACCTGGAGGTAAATGCACGACACAAATCCACTCATTTTATTGAATACTGGCTTGAAAAACCAAACTATGATCAAGTATATAAACACCCGTAACTCCAGCATTTCTTTTCTTATTCTAAGTGGATGTTTTGTCCGAATTACCTTTGTGTTTCTACGTCAGAAGCAGCAGTTGCTCCGTTCACTCTGAAACTTGGTTCAACACTAGCGTATCAGTTCATCTTTAACTTGCTCAATTTCCATGACAATGAAGTGATTTCATTTTTTTGACTTCACATCAGTGTGTCTCCTGTGCAGGTTCAATGCAATTCAAGGTTGCCTGAGATTTTTTTCTGAATAAGCTATGGTTGCGTTCAGACAGAGCCTTCTCATTATCGTGTTTATGTCAGCAATAAAAGCGATCCATTCTGCAGCATCAATAAGCGTGTTTGCATTGACAGTTAGACACTTGCATTAGATGACCTGCTGTCCGATGCCCCTAGTGGTGGAGGAAGGCCCAGGCTTTGATGACAAGACAGAAATAAATAACCACACCGATATCCATGTGGCCGCTGAACAAAGGACGGATTGATATTGTTTAGTATGCTTAGCCTGTTGAAGTAGTTATTGTAGAGTGATATTTCAGATTTTGGAAATGTATTGTCCAAATCAAATATCAAAGCTTACGGTCTGTTTATTTTGTTATTCTTTCATATAATGTTAGAATACAAAATGTATAATGTCAAGGATTTTTCATATATTCCACAGTGCCACACAGGGGACCATCTCAATTACCCTGAAGGCAACCAAGCCCAAACTAGATGTTTAAAATTGAGGGCTACAGGGTTAGACTATCCCCTTTATCTTCTATTTAAACTTGTATACTAACAATGTATTACTTACTCAACGGTGTGGATATATTAAAAACTTGCATGCAGCTTGAAAGACACCAACAAAACCTTTTGTCTTATCGGCCAAACTCAAAAAGGCTTTGTTGACTTCAGGCTGTTGGAGGAGTAATTACTAATGTTGTGCTTTAACCCTCGACGCCTCCCTGTTCAGTGATGTGATGTTATTGCTTCTTCTTCCTTCTCTTCCTCGTCTTACATGTTGGTCCAGTGCTCAGCATGGAACCACTGGAGATGCTCCCTTGTCACTCCACTGCCCAGTCACAGACCCGTATTCAGTTTGCACACTGCAATGAAATCGTAATAATACTCAACTCAAAATACTAGTGTCATTTTTATACAAAGGTTTATGTGCCAGGCTACATGACCGTTCGTACCAACACCACATCCACGGCCAATGAACAATGGGTGCATTTATGTAAAGTACCCCAAAAATGTACATTGAGCCGTGAAAATGAACCAGTTCCATAATCCTATTCCCCTTATCCTATTCATTCTCTCTGTATGACGCCTTTAACATACGTTGTTCAGCCATGACCGTTGGTTTAGTCAGATTGTGTCCAGCACACTAAATGTATACTCTGGTCCCGTCTGTTGGGATAACGTTTCAAATTTGTGCCATATCTCTTATTTAAATGAAACTCTAGGTCAATATATGCTGAGTTACATGCAAGACAATAATCTCCAAATTGTGCCATGAAATTATTCTGTAAATTGCCATAAAACGATTAGTCACAGCACATAGTCAAATAGGAACCCTTTCTGCTTTTGTGTTACTGATTTGACTTCTTTTAAGTTGGTCATAAATCCTGCACATGGTGTCTGATAACTGGTGGATTCTATTACCATACTTACTGTATACAATGTGGACAATGGTTTTATCACTAAGGAGAGAAAGCAGCGGGCTTAATCATTTTGCCAATCGAGACATGATGTCAGTTTTAAATACAATCAATTCAGATATGTCTTCGGGGCTTTGCTTTATTAAATCATATAACAATTCAACAGCATATCTTCTATGTGATCTAATCCGTTTACGTGTAGGTCAGGAAACCGCCATCGCTGCTTTCTCTCATGATGTGGTGAAGTCATTTTTAGGTGATATACTTTCTGGCTTGACACATTTTTTTCTATTTATCATAACGATCGACGTGTTTTGTTCACCAGGTGTCAATTCTGCATGGTTACTTATAAACTGCCTCCATCAACATACTCATGCTGCATATTCATAACACATTACTCCCCCTCTTTGGCCGCTTGTTTTTGTATTTCCCACCATTCTCCCACAAACTCCCTGTGCACAGCTGTTTACGGCACAACCTGAAAGCTCTGCATGGGGTGTCTTCCCATTTCCAGTCAGCGGTCACTTCCTACATCCACCAAATACCCTTTTCCAATCCTACACAGACCATCACCATTATCCTTGACCCTATCCCTCCATCCTCTCTCCTGTCTCACTCCTCTCTGTCTTCATTGGGCTGGCATGTGATGGTGGCACTGGTGTGTTCTCTTCCTCTTCCCCTTGTTTACTAACAGACGCAGACCAGACTGGAGCATGCCCACATTAAGGAGCTTGAACAGAGCCTACTCTTTGAAAAGACCAAAGCTGAGAAACTCCAAAGAGAGTTAGAAGACAATAGGGTAATGAATTCTGCTCTGTAGTGTGCTGCGTTGGAAAAGAGGGCCCGTGCCGGGGATAGAGGTAAAAAATGTCCACGGGGAACACAAAGCTGCTGGGCGATAGCTGGAGCGTTGCCCTGTGTGGGAGCGTTTATTTGCCAGGCTTCAAACAAGAAAAATACTTATTTACTACATATAATTCAATAATAAACAAATGCATATATTATGCTTTATTTGTATGCTCAAAAAAATCCATCCAGTGCAGTTAGATTTGCAAATTTTGAATTACAATTTGTTGGGTTGGCCACAGAATAATTTAGTATCATCTTCCATTACCTTTTATTTTTTAATTGAGACACTCAAAATAATTGTATGTCTTTTATAGATTTCTGTTATTACTGTAACAAAACCCACAACCGTATGCCTCTGCCAGGCGTCTTAACAGCTCTTTTATTATTATATATTATTATTATAACCCAACCTGAACTCACCCTTGCTTTACCAATGTCACTGCTTAACCAGACAGTCAAACTTTTCCCTTTTCCCCGCTTATCATTTTCTCGGTTACCCCATGTTCTACTTCCCTAGTCCGTCCCAGCATCCATTTGCTTGTTTGGTGTCCCTGCGTTTGGCGAGTCTTATACCTACCCCGCCTCCCAGACTATGCTCCATTTTATGTTTATTAAAGTACACGAAACAAGCTATTAAATATAAGGTTGAAGCAGTAAAAAATGATGTTTGAGAACATGAGCTGTCTTCCAAATCCAGTGTTTAGCCTGGACTAACATAAAAATACATGAGTTTTCTTACTTCGTGCCTCTAAGTTATGTGGTCCGTATACCCATGAATTCAGTGATGAGGACCATAGATGAACAGTCTTAGACACTACTATAGCTCCACACATGCTTTCAGTGTTCACTTCCATTATAACCCTCGATAGCCATGAGAGGTCAGCATAACACCTTGTTTTTGATCACTGTTTTTCATGCCCTCCTCATTATGCAAGCAAAAACAACGTTTTTTTTAATTTAGCTTACAAAGTGTCTATAATTGCTGCTTAACAATCTTTTTTTAATTCATTTTTTCAGTAACCGAAAAGTACGATCACGACTTTAACACGCTTGTTGTACATTGCTTCGGCATGTCCGAAGCATCTTTTTGAATATCAGATTTTCTTGCATCTTCAAGGTTGCTACTGTTTCGGAGCGATCCCGTATAATGGACCTTGAGAAGGACCTTTCTCTGCGTTCGAGAGAGGTCGCTGACCTGCAGCTGCGTCTCGGCACCCAACAAGGCTCTGAGGACTCGAACTCTCTTTCTCCCCTTCTGGAAGAGATAACGTCTCTGAGGGATCAGTTGGCTTCCCAAGAAGTTAAGCAGCAAGAGGAGCTGACAAAGCACAGGGAGAAGATGGAAGCTCAAGAAAAGACCCACAGTGAGACCGCTGCCCAGCTCCGGGCTACATCCGTAAGCCTCTCTGGGGACAACGAACAGCTGCAGATGCGCATAAGCCAGGCCGAGAAGGAGAACGCTGATATTATTGAGTCGTGGCGTTCCAAGTTGGACTCCGTTGTTGCCTCTCACCAGCAAGCCATGGAGGGGCTGAAGGGGTCCTTCAGTAATGGCGCAGACGCCCAGACGAAAGAACTTATCGAAACCAAAACTGAACTGGAGAGACTGAAAATTGAGCACAAGTTAGCTGTCGAGGAGGCCGCAGCCAAACACGAGGCTCACGCCGCAGCCGTGACTCGGGAGGCGCAGGCGCTGAAGGCACAGCTGAGTTCCCTGATTGAGGAGAAGGAGCGACTGGAAGAGTCACTGCGGTCCAGCGTTGAAAAGGCCGAGGAGCAGCACCTCGTGGAAATGGAAGAGGTTCTTGGAAAACTCCACAATGCTGAAGTCAAGCTCAATGAGCTCGAGGAGAAGGAAGCAGTGTTGACGCAGCAGGCCCAAGACAAGGAGAGCGAAACCAAAGAGCAGATTTCAGAAATGGCGGCTTTGCGTAGCCAAGTAGCACAAGGCAACCAGGAGCTTGTGAGCCTGAAGAGTCAATTGGAGGCGGTTCAGAGTCAAGGGAACAACCAGGGTGCCCAGGTGGGTTCATATTCACCTCCTGACCTTTCCTTTCATTGTGTCTCACGTTTGAGCAAAGTTGTGTTTATGTTAACACAGCATCGCCAGGCGATGGCTTTTGTTTAAGTTATCATTTTCGCTCTACGTGTGCTGTGTAGGTCGATGCATTGAGCTCGCAGTTGGAGGGCCGACAGCAGGAAGTCCTCTCTTTACAGCAGAGTCTGACCACTGTACAGCAGGAGAAGGAGGCCCTGGAACAGGAGCTCGGAGGCCTGGTGCGACTTATAACCTCGCTTTGGAAGTGGATACAGCACATTTTGGTGTTGGGATTGAAGTTGTATCATTTTCAAATTCAGTGCTCTTTGATTAAAAAAGACGACCGGATTCATATCTGGCTTTTCTTGTTAATTATTGGCCAACATGTACAAAGATATTGATCTCTAATATCTATATGAGCTAATACCTGCTAAAATATATTGACTCATGTATCAGCTGGTGTAATGAATAAACATGAAGTATTATGAGGCTTTAGAAACCACCAAAAGTGCTGTACACACCACAACATTATTTGGAAATGTTTCTGTTGAGGAAATCTACAAAAACATTTTATGCAAAGTAATTATTTTCCCACAGAAACAAAATTTGTCTGAGAAAACCGAGGAGCAGACTATATCATCAAACACTATGCAAGGTAAATTACCAGCATTTGTAAAATTCCTGTTTGTGCATAAAGGCTTCCAGCTTCTAAAATGTTACTTTTTTCTTTTTTCAGAAACACTTGAGAAGCTCAGTAAGAAGGACGAGCAGTGCACATCTCTGAGCACAGAATCGGAGTCTCTGAGAAGTCAACTTTCTGGTGGGAACATTTGGACTGAATTCATCTTGCTTGTTGTAAAAAGTTTTGCGCACAATGCGATTTCCCCATTTTTGGTTGAACCTTTGGTTCAACAAAGGTGTCTTGTCTCGCCTCAGGGCTCGAGAGGAAACTGAAGGCTTCAGATGAAAAACTTGAGCAGCTCTCAAAGGACAAATGCAAGCTGGAAAACGATATCTCCGACATGATGAAGACGTCTGGCGATAGTTCAGTACAGCTGACCAAAATGAATGATGATCTCAAACAGAAAGAAAGGTGCCCTTCTCCTACATGAATCCACAAAACCCACTACACCAACCATGTCCCACTTGGATACTCCTTTCACCCTCTGAGATACTAAGCTACTGATGTCCTTGGTTGGATATCATGCTGTGCGTTTGTCAGTTGTCTGCCTGTCACTGAACAGCCTCGTCTGGTGCCTTTTTTTTGTTTTGTCACTCAGGAGGCTTGAGGAGTTGCAGAGTCAGCTATCTGAGGAGAAGGAGAAGGTGGCACACTCGACTGAACAACTTCAGCAAGAGAAGTCCCGTAAAGCGCAGGAGCTGATGGAGACCAGAGATGCACATCAGTCTCAAATAAGTGGCCTTCAGGAGACGATTGCAAACCTGGTGAGTATTGTTAGCCAGTCACAGCAATGCCAATGTGTTAAACCGCAGTTATGGATATTAAAACGTTTAATACTTTGTTTACCAAACATTGAAAAAAAGAAATCTTTCACTTAAGGGCATCCCTCCGTCGTGGTCTCCTTCATAACAGGAGGGTATTAATTGTCTCTCTAATGTCCCGTTTTCTAGGAGAAGACGGTTAAACAGGGCGAGACCCTGGTTGTGGAACTCAAGGCCTCACAAGAGAAATCCATCTCTCAGGTTTCAGAGCTTCATGTGAAGGAAGTAGAGGTTCTGCAGAGTCAGGTTAACAAGTTGAAGCAGGGCCTCTCCTCCAGCGAGGAGAAAAACCTGGAGCTCGAGAAGTTGGTGTCTGAGCTGCAGCAATACAAGGAACAAGCTCAGGTAAGCGCAAGTCCTCTAAGATACAGATATTACTTGGATCAACGGTTTTTAGTCTTTTTGGTCAGTAACTTGTTAAAGGATTATTGTATTTACTAAGACTTTACTAATGCTCAATCATTGAAAATCATCTTTTAGGTAAATGAAAATTTACCTAAAGGATTTTGGTCTTTATTTAACATCCGTGATTCATATAGATGTTCATGCTTTATTACCATCATACATATATAAAGACATTTGTGATGAGTTCGTTACTTCTTCCCCAACATAACCACTTTCATATTCATTGGTACAATGGTCGTATGCTTGCAGGGGTAGAACTGATTGAAATAGTGTTTTTAATGTATTTTAAGACCATTTATGATTATTGGACAGGCTAAAGAAAAAGCTTTAGATACTTAACGAGGTGTGTTGTGGCTTAATGTATCAATGCACTGGGTAGAATTCAAGTTGAATCAGGAGTTGCATATTGTATGTGAGCAGCTATTGATTAAAATGTTCTACTTTAGCTATGTACCCCTGCTTGCATTGTTTATAAGCCTGACATTTCATTTAAGTAGAACATTTTCACTTCCTAACAAAATGGTTTGTGTTTTAAGTTACTATTCTATAATATGTATTATTTAACCATGTAGCAATTAATTGAAATGATTGGCCCAATGGTCACCGATCAATGATTGAGTCAGTGTTGATATTGGCCATGAGCCATGTTTATCGGCCAGTCAAGCTTGTTGGCATCACTTTTAATGCGTCGATTAATAAAATCAAGTCAACTCTGAAGTGAAAATGTTCCAGCTTTTTTATATTTTGCTGAAAACCATTGGGTGTATGCTGTGGTGTGATGCTCCTGCAGCTTAACCTTTCCAATTGCATATCATCTGGTGGGACATATCTGCTTGGTTTAGTCTTCCAGGTGTATATATTTAAATATATATATATATATTATCCCCTGCTATTTTTCTTTCAACTTTATTTTTCCCAGTGTCTTTCTGCTGAGCTTGACTCCCACAAGCATGATGTTGAACATTTGAACAAACAACTGGAAAAGCAGAGTCTAGAGCTGGAAAACACGTGTAAGGAAAGGGAAGATGTCAAAGCTGAGAAAGGCAAACTGGATGAACAGCGTTCAGAAATGCAAACTAAGCTCTCTGCCCTTGAGATTAGTCACCAGGAGCTTTCTGTCCAGAAGGAAGAACTGCTAGTAACTAGAGACGAGCTTTCCAGAAATCTAGAGCAGGTAATTGCAAACAACAAGTGTTCGGATGAGGAAAGTATTTCATTGAAGAAGGAGCTGGAGAAGCTCAAAGATCTTCTTCAGGAAGTACAGGCTGAAAACAATAACCTGAAGCATGCTGAAGGTGAACACCGGGCCCAGATTGAGGAGCTTCAAAGACAACATGCAGAGAAGACCGACTTGCTCCTTAAGTACCAGCAGGACACCCAGCAAGTTGAGATTAGAAATAAGCAACTACAAGACGATTATGAAAACGTCTGCAAAGAGAAGAACTGTCTCCTCGATGACTTCAAGGAAAGAACAGCAAAGTTCACATGTGAGAAGGAAAATCTCATTTTAGAGCGAGACTCTGCTAGAAACGCCAAAAAATCGCTTGATGCCAAGAATGCGGAGTTGCAGGCAAAACTTAAATCGTTAAACTTGGACAAAGAAGATCTTACAATGAGGAACACCCAGCTGCAAGCCCTCACGGAAACGCTGACAAAAGAAAAGCAGGGGATGTCTTCTGAACTCAGTGCTACCTTGATGGACAAACAGAGCCTTGAAGCGGGGAAGGAGGAGCTCCAGACTAAACTGAGTGCTGCCAAGAAGGATTTGGAGAGTTCTCTCCGTCAGTGTGAAGAACTTAAAGCCACCAAAATGAGCCTGGCCCAGATGCTTGAATCTGTCAAGACCAGCAGTCAGGTGACTGATTCTGAGAGGCTCCAGCTCCTTCAAGAGAAAGAAGACTTGATTGCAATCCAAAGGAAAGTCTGTAATGAGAAAGAAGAGCTCCTCGGCGAGATGGAAGAGATAAAGGAGAAGTTTCAAGTCTCCACAGAACAACTGTCAAAGTCCAACGAGAAATTTAAAGAAGCGTTATCATCCTTTGAGCAAGAGAAAGAGGCGCTTTGCCTTCAGAATTCTGAAATTGAGATGGCTTTACATGTTCTACGAAAAGAGAAGATGAGCCTGGATTCTGCACTAGAGCAGCAGAAAATGGATTATGAGCGTTTGGCGGGAGAGATGGGAGAATTAGAAGAGAAGCACACAAAATCCATATCTGACAATAATGCTCTTTCTCTTGAGTGTGAAAAGCTAGCCAGTGATATCAGAACAAATAAGGACCAGTTGGAAGGTTCCTCAAGATCCAATGACTTCTTAATTCAAGAGAGGTCTCATTTGACCACGAAGCTGGACGAAACCAAACGGCAAAAAGACGAAGTTGAAGCCGAGGCGTCGTCTTTGAGGCGAGAAAAAGCTGAGCTACAAAATGAACTGCAGAAACACACCGCTGACATTGAAATTCTTAGAAAGGGAAACTCCGAAGCTGTGCAAGAGTACAGCAAACTGAACATGGGTTTTGAGAAGGCCAATTCCGAACTTGTTCAACAGGTTGATGACCTGAAAAAAGATTGTGAGGGTCTGCAAACGTTGCAGAGTGAAGCTAACGACAAAGCGCAATCCTTGCAGAAAGACAACCACAGTCTGCTTCAGGAGATCCAGCAGTTAAAATGTCAGACAGAATCCATGTCAGGGGCCAAGCAGCTTCTGGAAACACAGTTACAGGCCGAGTCCAGTGAACGAAATAAAGTCCTATCCGATAAGGAGGGTCTGTCCAAACAACTTGAGCATCTGCAGAGATCATTGTCCCAAGTCAAGCAAGAAAACGAAGACATTTCTTCTAACCTTAAGAATGTGGAAGAGCAGAAGAAGGCCTTCATGATGGATATGGAGGATTTGAAGACTCAATTGAAGCAGCGAGAGCAAGAAACTAGTAATTTGATAGAAGATAAAGAGCAGTTATTATCTACAATAGAAGAAATAAGCAAACAAATGACCTCCCTGACCACAGAGAAAGAAGACCTTTCAGCTGAACAGTGCAAGTTGGAGGAGAACATCTCTTCTCTCCACACAAGCCAGGAGAAGTGGCTCGTAGAACGGACGAGACTCCTCGCAGAGATAGAAAACTTGCACACTACACAGAAAGAACTAGAAGGAGATGTCAAGGGCCTGCAAGGTGAAAAGGAGCTTTTGGAAACTCAGCGGCAGAGCGCCGCGGTGGAGGTTTCGGCTTCTGTTGTCGTGAAAGAAGAGCTGACCTCGGACATCTCAAATCTAACCGCTGAGAAGGCCGCCCTGCAGGTGGAGAGGGACGAAGCCAACCAGAAAGTCAGCACGCTGGAGGCCCAACTAAAAAATGCAATTTCTAAGCAGCTTGAGGTATTCCTCCTCCAGTAGTAATCACTGACTCACATAGCGTTGAGTGGCCGGGGCTGCGTCACCTTCTCACTGCATGCTCGCTGGTTTGTCTGCCTTTCCGCTTTCCCTCTACTTTGGTGTCTAACTTTCATCTTCCATTTACTAACTGCTGTAAATGACCTTTTAGCTCCTTTGCCTGTGGACTTAAAACGTGATCCAATGTAAAGCAAACTTCTTCCAGCTTAAAGGACTTGCGGTCCGGGGTGATCTTTATCACACGTTTTCATATTTTGTTTGATTTTATGAATAGTTTTTAATATTTGTAACCCCAATAATTTGCTTTGCAATGTCAATCAGTCAAATTGGTTATGTTCTCTGTGGTCAAATACACATAAAGAAAATATTGAGAAATAATGAGATGTTGATACAAAGCAGCTTCTGGGGTTTAGAAGTATCCGTTCTGAGACCACAGGAGTTTGAAATAATTATTTTCCTCCTCAGTCTAATTTTTTATGTTAATTCAGAGTACAGAATATCAAATGAACATTGAAATGACATTTGAATACCTAATTCTGAATCAGAAATGTAGACAACTCGTGAAGCATGCAGTTGTTTTTTTGAATAATATACAAAAATCATTGGCTAACGTCAAGCAATGCATTACGAATAGATTTAATCACATTTCTTATTCGGGTTTGTAGAAATAGAAAGAAATATTGTGTTTGTCTCAACCAACAATTTGCTGCTCTCAAATTGAAACCATTCACAGCAAATATTCTGCTCATGCACCATTTAGGCTACAGAGGCTTCTGGCAACACTGCCGAGACCCTTGAACAGCTGACAAAGGAGAACGCCACTTTGCTGCAGGAGAAGAACAAAGCCCAATCCTCATTGGAAGAACTCCTGAGCTCCAAGCAGAAGGGCGAGGCGCAGGTAAGAGTTGCTCGCTCACCTGCATGTGTAAGCTTTGAGCGGTGCTTTGTGTAACGCGAAATTCACCAAATAAATGTCTTTTTTATTATTTCTTTTTAGCTTAAAACCTTGAAGAACAATGTTTCCAAATACCAAGAAGATATGAATGTTTGTAAAGAGCAGCTTTGCATAGAAACTCAGAGGACTGAGAGTCTATGCCATGAAATGTGAGTGTATGGATATATTCCTTTGTTTTGGTTGCTTGTAAAAATGAAATCTGTCAGATCTGATTTTGAATTGTCTGATCTCATTTGTGGCATCAAGACGCATGAAAGACGTTTCTACAAATCAATGTCATTGGGTGATTTTACCATTTGTATCTATTCAGTGAGGAACTTAAAGTAGCAGTTTCTGCAAAGACGCAGTCCATGCAGATGCTACAAGATGAGAACAACAAGCTGACGCTGGATGTTGATAACAATCAAAAAGCCCTGAGAGACCTTGAGAAGGTGCAACACTTACATGAACGCACAAGCATCAGAACATTTTGTTTTAGCTATTAATCCGCCAACCATAAATGTATTTGAACAATGTTTCTTTTTTCTTTTAGCTCAAAGACGAGCACTCAAAACTTAAAAAACAGTTGAAGTTGAGGTAAGAGAATGTGTATTTTTTATTTGAGAAGTTTCTCACATCCGTCCTAATACCACCAGTATTTTGAAAGCCTTTTGTTTTAATTAACACAAATGCTTTCACGTGTGTGTCACATGCTAATATTGATGTGTGATTAAACAAATAGTACGTCACTTTGTTCTTTTCCTTCAAAGCCGGCCAAATAATGCCTTCAGGTACTTCACACCGTCAGTACTAGATGCAGGTCATCCGTCATGCATGCTTCACTTGAAGTGGATGGAAACGGAAGCTATATGTGTAGTTTAATGACCATCTTTAAGGCCAAAGTACAGTGAATCACACAAAGTAGTTTGACCTACGAACGCATTGTATCTGCTTCATATTCACATCTGTTCTTTGCCTACCGATTCTGCATGTTTTTAAAAATGTTTTTCCATTGTCCCCGTACTGTATTTTGCTTTCCTATAGGGTGGATGTAGTATGTTGTTTTTTTTATATTTTCTTTATTTGCAGTGTTCTTGTTCTACAAATATAGTAAATATTTCAACTAAATTTTTGTAGATTGGAGCCAGTTTCCCTCTGCCTGGAGAGATTGTTTACTGCACCTCTGATAGTCACTTGATATTGTGTATTTGATAGTGAGGAGCAGTTTGACAAGGAGAAGACGGTCTTCCAACAGTCCATCCATAAAAACAGTGCCTTAATATCAGAAAAGGACCAGCAGGTGGAAAGCCTGAGGAGCGAGGTGAGCGTCTGATGCGTGTTAGAACTCTTTGGTTGTCAGCTGGGAGGAAAGTTATTTCACAGCTGTCCAGTTTTGGTATCATGAATGTACAGATGTGTGCACAAACAATAGTTAGAAGCAGAATCTTTGATTTCTTCATCTTTGATATCTTGAGCTACGGTCAATTCTGAGGACCTCAAGGGGCAAGAGGGTGCGTATTTAATGAACTCATTCAGTTAGAACAAGTTGTGCGTTTTCGAGCAATTGGTAGAATTTTGCCCAGAAACATGACATTGTTTTAAATATTGAAGAGCCATGGTTGTTTTCCTCTCAGCTGGTTGGACTGCGTGGGGACAGTGACTCGGTTAAGACACTTCAGGGGACCATTCAGGCCTTGGAGCGGGACAGGGCTAATCTACAGGAGCGCGTTCAGCGACTGGAGAAGGACCTGCCTGCAGGCTCTGACGCTATCAACAAGGCCTCAGGTAAGAGTGGGCTTAATATTATCGTGGCACTACAGTTTATGCCCTCTAATGTGACCTCTAGAGGAAGACCAGATAACTTAATTGTACCCTTTGCCTATTTTCAGATGATGCCGTTTCTGACCAACTAAAAGAGGCCCGGGAGGCTTCTGAGAGTCAGGTGTGTGTATCCCTATTCTCTCATGCTGTATAATACTAATCACATGCCTGGATAAATCAAAGGGTTTCGCCAATTATACCTTCAATGTTAAGATGCTTCCCTACCCAAGCCCAAAGAATTAGCTGGTTTGACGATTATTCATTTACATTTTCATCCATTTGGGGCAGTTGTAGGGAAACAGTCTTACTCAATGGTGTTTGTGAAATGACTGTGCTGCATACTCAGACCTTTAATAAGTATTAAGTATTACCTCTGAATTCTACAGTTTTCTTTACTCTTGCAGCGTTACACTACAATGTTTTAAAGAGGTGAAATTATTAGTCTAAATTTATTGTAATTTTCATCATCATTTCTTACATAGGTCAACATAACTGATTTGGTATGAGTTGTATTTGAATACAGTGGTGGGATCAGTTTGAAAGAAGTTGACTTCATTTCTATTCCCTGCCTCCGTTTACTCTAAAATGTCTGTGTTTCCTCTTTACTGTTGATGACTTGGACGTGTTGTCTGGCAGTGGGTGCCTCTTAATTTGAATCTCATTTTTGTATTCTCTCGTTCTTTTTCTTAAAACACCAACTCCTCTCCTCTGCCCTGTCTCTGATGTTGGCAATGCTACACCACCATCAGGCAGCGGTTTGTTAATGTTTTTCATCAGCTTCACTTGTGCATGTTTGTCTGTCACCGTCACTGTGGCTCGTGCGTCTCGTCCGGTGGAACACATTATAGTCTGTGTTAAAACTACAAAATGTAGACAAATCGAGCTTGAGTTCCAGATACCTTATTACTATTATTGGGTGAAGGTATCATCAGATTATATCTGTAGAGGATGACATTCACTCAGTAAGACGCTAGTCATAAGTGGGTGTTTTACGGTCTCTTCTTGTGACTCATTCCAAGTGTGGAATTTTCTTTGGCTGACAACTCACAGTGACTGTTCATCATGGTCGAGATTAGACTGATAACATGGGGGATTTGGGGGTATAGTTTCTTCTATTGGTAAAGTCATGGGATTGAGGCAAAGTCTGGGTACATAACGCAGTAAATGGACTCTCTAAATATATTTATTTTGAAATATAAACTGTTTGAATCGTGGATGATCAGTCAACAGCAGCAGCAATGACGCTACCATTGTGCATCTTCTTTACAGATTGAGTTCCTGAATTCAGTCATTGTTGACCTCCAGAGGAAAAATGAGGAGCTCAAGGACAAATTGGAGAAAATGGTAGATGCTGCTCTCAATGGGAACAATCCAAGTGAGCTGGATAACTATGATAGGTGAGTCCCATTCATAGCTTTCTCCCACTTCAAAACTGTATGGCAGTAACACTCAATCTTTTTTTTTTTCTGCAGCCATGACAAAGAACCCCTTAAGAAGAAGCTTCCCCCAAGACTCTTCTGTGACATCTGCGACTGCTTCGACCTCCACGACACCGAGGACTGTCCCACACAAATGCAGATGCCCGACTCTCCTCCACACACCACCTACCACGGCAGTAAGGGTGAAGAACGGCCTTACTGCGACATCTGTGAGGTCTTTGGCCACCCCACCGAGTCCTGTAACGACGATCAGACCTTCTAAGCCTTTTTCCCCGCCCTTGTTCGCACAATCAATATATTTGCACATGGTGTTCGGTTATGCTGGGGTTTAGGGATTTGGGTTTGTTCGTGTGCTTGTTTTTGCCAAGCTACTTGTCTGTTCCAGTCCCTGAGCACTCGTACGGGAGAATTGTCTCCGTCTCCAGAAAAAAAGACGGACAACACACAGAAAAATAATATACAGCAGTTAACATTTTGCAATCGTAATGACTGTGGATCAAAACGTCTGTGTGAGTGAGGAGATGCTGTGGGGGCGGAGTATCATTGTGGGAGGAGCTATGATCTTCAGATCATTTAATTTATCAATATCCTAACATTGTTTGCACAGCTTGTTGGGAACTTACAAAAATAATATAGTATCAATAAAATGTTTATTTGAAACTGTAAATTACTTGATAGAAAAAAATATTACTTGGCGCAGATATTGGTGAGCTATAGTTTATTTTTTTATGACTGGAGATGCTACGTACTCTTTAAAGGTTTGATAGAATGTGTGTTGTTTTGTGAATGATATCAGAAGGGGAGAGATTTTCTCACTCTTGCCTGAAGTGGATCAGTAAGACCGACTGCTGTTCTGCTTTAAGAGGAACATTTTTCATGATCTCCATGAAGGAACTGTTGGATGATTGTTAAAGAACAAGCAGGGAAATCTAAAGCACTTCACTTACTGTAACACCTCAGTGAAATGGCCTTTCCAAAAATGTACAATTAAAAGATTGTTTCTGTATGAAACAATGAAATACTTCATTGTATTTCTTTAAAAATGTTTTGAATATCTGCATTAAAATGAATAAACTTTATGTATAAATTAAAAATCAAATCTCTGTATTTACTGTTCAATTGAAAGTGCTTTGCAGGCTCTGTTTACCGCTGCACGCAGTTATGAAAGACGTGTTGTTACCAAGACAATCTGAGGTCAAAAACCAAAGCTTCATTCCAGTTGGATGGTGTAACTATAATAATAATAATAATAATATATTAGACTGTGAATAGATGTGGAAGAAACACAAAATATGAATCCCTCCGATATACTCGCCTTCAAAAGTAATGAAAGAAGTTTGGAGTGAGGAAGAAATAAAGTGGATTTTGGGTTTGTGTGGTACCGTGGCTTTGTGTTCGGGTAGTTGGAGGAATATGATTCCTGTGGGTTGGACTGAAGAAAAGGGAGTTGAACCCGATGTAGCTGCTAATCTGACTTTAAGACAAAACAGGCCGTTTGTTTAAGGAGTTCTGTTGTGGGAGCAGAAGTTGATGAGCTTCAGATGGAGAACGCCATTTCTCCAGCTCCACATTCACTTCCACGGTCACTGAGATGTCTGTGTGGACGTCCATCTCGCATTCCTGCCTTCCCTTTCCTTTGCCTACATAAAGGATCAAAAAAGGGCAGACAGAAAAATGTATATACCGCACTTTCAATGCACACAAGCTTTTGTTAAAAATAAATCTTCCAAATACCGCAAAGATAATCCATCCACCTGGCAGATTGGGTACATTAAGATGCTGATTTAAAAGGCATCATTAATGTTCCTGGATGTGCCTAAAGCGGTATTCTAAAATGCAGGAAATCAAATGCCAATGGCTCAAGATGTTTCATTTTTCGGTCGCACTAAAACACACTAAATAAAAAGGGGAAGAGTTTTGAGGCAGATTGGATTTACTCACTAAATTGCATTGAGATGGCTAATGGTAGGAATTGAACATTTACTTCACATGCAACAACTGTGTGATTGTGACGCGGTTAAATCAGCATCTAGGCGTGTCACACCTGCTAGGAGGATGGATTATCTCGACAATGGATAATAACATAGATGTGTGCAGAGGACAAGTGTAGATGCTTTACATCAACCATTGACAAATGAGAGCAAAACAAATGTGTTGTTCAGATAATTAACCTTTTGAAGCAGCTGTATTCTTCTGCCTCGTACCACTGCCTCCTCTCTGCTTTGACTTCTTGTCCTCTTTGATTTTCTTTCCCAGATCCTAGAAAAGAATGCAAAACATTTCTCACATAAAATATGTCCAATTTCAATATCTAGCTAAAGCTTGTACTGTTGATGCCTGTTGTGCATGTGATCCTGCCTCTTCAGGTGTTTGTGTAGCATCCACCTCAGACTCGCTGTGCAGAGCCCCAAGGTCACAGAGGACATTGACCTTTTGTCCTCCCGTGAGCAGGCTCTGAAGGCAGATGTGGACAGAACCTAGTATTCTTCTGATGGGGGCGTCCTGGACCAGCTCGGGTGCACATTTTCTCTTTTTATCTTTCGTGGATCCAGATTTGATTGGAGACTGAGGAAGACAGACAGGAAAAATATTATGTTCATTTTATCTTTTTAAATAGACTTTTGATTCTCACACAGAGATGATGTGACAAGTACTGTTTCTTTAAGCCACAGCAGCTGGTGAGAGTTCTAATGTGTTCTGGCTCAACAAATCCTCTCAGCTTGATAACAGAACTCATTATCATTCTAACAATGACTAATCTTTCTAAAGTTTGTTTCAGGTCGGAATTGAATGATGAACTCACTTCTTTGCCTTTTCCGCTTTTCTTCTCTTTTACAGGTCGGCCGGGTTTGGCCGACGGGACGTCTTCAGAGGCCGCGGGCCACGACAAGACCTACGATGTGAAATGCCGGAATGAGTCCCCGACGCAGTTTGCATTTGACATTTGCCCACTGAAACTATATTTACGTTACCTTTTCCTCCTCTATTGTAAGATAAAATCCTCGATTGAAGAACCTCTTCAAGTCTCCCAGATGAGTAACAATGTAGGTTTGTGTGTGACTGAAGTCCATGCATCCTGACCAGGGGAGCTTTGATGTGCTGTGTGCTGACACTGAAGAAACATCAGAATAATACACGAGTGAAAGTTTGGCACAAACACCTGGAAGCAGAAAAAAACATAAAAAATACATGTAAGTCACATGACGAGTCCGAGACAGGTGGAACCTCAGAATGAGTGTTAAGTTCATTAAAGTAATTGACAAATGATGAGGCTGGATAAATGATCAGTCTAGTCATCCAAATGTGTAAATGAGTTTATCCCCCTTCTACAGAATTCCTTACTAAATGAAATAAATCCAAACATCACACCTACATCATACCTGTGTGTGTGTGTGTGTGTGTTTTGGCGGTGTCAGCTCTAGTAGCGTTTTGGGCTGCAGTGTATTTGCCTGTAGGAATGAAACGTGCGTTGTTACCATATGCGACATCATGGCAGGTTTCCTCAGTATCCACCAGTAAGTTGTGTGTGTTTGGTTTGGACGACTCTTTTCCACAATTTCTGTTTGATTGTAGGTCAGCGTCACCGAAGCGCTCCTCTCTTACATGTGCTGCATCAGCGTTCTGGTAACAACACCACGAGAAAAATATGATTTAAATAAAAGTTTCTGTACTTGTTTACACCTCCGATAGTGTTTTATGTTTGTTTGAAGATAAGATAGCCAACACATATGAGCATTGAACAAATGTGTTTTTATCTGTTTGTATTGTTATGGTGCTTACTGTATAAAATGACAACACACTTGAATCTAATCTAACTGTATAATAAAGAAAACATTCAATTTGACATTTTGGGTGTTAGACGCGTAAAGAGAATGGAAATTGTTGGGAGGATACGTCACCGCGGTAACAGCTTGATGACTAAGGAACTCATAAGTGATGAAATAGCCGTAGTTGACCACAGGGAAGTCTGCGATGCTCTCATCCACTCTCGCCAGTGGGTCCGGGATTCCGCGCACCTCGGCCACACTCACCGTGCAGGACGCCCAGTCCGCCGCCACATCTGTACACATGGAGAAAATGACGGCTGCCGACTTTGGAAATTCCAAAGAAACAAAAGCGCCACGTTCCCCGTACGTCTCACACGTACCGTTCTTGGCGAAGCCCCTAAAACGGTGTCTTTCCTCGGCGGAGATCCACGATGTGTCCAGGCACGAGAGTCGTGGCAGAGTGTCCACGGTGAAGCCCGGGTAGGAGGGAGCCAGAGTGAATGGGTTCCCCTCCAGCACCAGAGTCCTGAGCGAGGGGAGCGTGCTCAAGGCGCCCAGCAGGGCCTGCTGGTCCTCAAACTCACAATTGCTCAGGTCCAGACACACCAGCTGTGGCCTTATGTCAGAGACAATCGTTGTTTCAACACAACAGCGACCTGCAGCTGATTCAACAGCTTAAAAAGATTCTTATTAATTATCAATTCATTTATTATTGTTATATTATCTATCACGCTTACATTTATTAAGTCCAGGTAGCCCCTCCACCCATTCATTTCATGTGGATTTTCAACTAAACAAATCATTTTGTAATTGTTTGTGTTTATTTAAAAGTGTTATCCAAAGTAATTGCCTTCTGAAATTCATACAGAAACACAATTGATTTTGTATAAAAGCCCTTTTTTGACTTCTATGAAGTTCAATTGTGCCTCCCAGATTTAATACACCACAGAGTGGGTGTAACTTTGTAAAAGTGTGAACTCGCTGCTGCTACTGGGGCAATTTTTAGAAGTTGTGATTGTGTATTTAAGGCTGCATTAAAATATTTTCCACCCTACAGCACCAACTGCTCCAATCTCTGTGTCACCTTCAGTGTCATGGGTGTCATCACTGACAAGCTGACACATTTCCATCACATCAGCATGTGCGTGGGACAGAAAAACCTAAAATCACACATAGTGACGTCATGTTTCCCTGGGCTTACCGTGCAAACAATAAATAACACACAATTATAGGTAAGTTCTTCCTCAAGCTGTGTTTCAGCTCAATGTAACCCAGCAACTTCCTTTGTGTGCGTGTGTGTGTGTGTGTGTGTCTTCCAACCAGTGTCTTCCTGTGAGATGACGCACGTCTTCGTGTGAACCCAGGCGGTTTGAGCCGAGGCTCAGGTACTGCAGGCAGGGAGGCGGCCGGTTGGTGAGACTGTTTAGAGCCGACAACCGGTTGGCACGGACGTCCAAAATCTTTTGGAAAAAACGCACAATTAAAATGATGAAAACACTGATCTATGAGTCAATGAGTTAAAACTGTCACTGCTCAACCAGTGACAGCACAGCAGGTCTTTCACCTTCGCTTTGGTAGAAAAGCAGGACAGATCGACGTGTAACGTGTTTATAGGCCTTTAATATAAACCTGTTCCAGTGTAAACTCACCTTCAGAGTGCTGGGGAGGTTTTCTGAACACATTTGTGAGATTTGGTTGTCACTCAGCACCAATTCTTCCAGCTTTGAGAACTTCAACAGGCCGTCGTCGATGACGGATACCTGAACACAACACAGACGAAACATCCAGTCCAGCTTTTGCAATTGTGGGAAAGAAAAAGATTGTGTTTTAAACAAGATCAGGAGGAGAGTTGGGTTTGTTTTAACAGAATGCTTATTCATTCCTTAACAATAACACTGGTTGAATCAAATCTGTAGCACAACTCACACTCTCGTCCACAATGCGAAGTGTTGTAAAATGATTGTAGATCAGATCTTTGTGCAGGCGTTCGGGAGCGAGGACGGCAAGCTCTCTCAGAGCCGCAGCTTGAGGGCTCCATGGTTCATCATGGCGCCACGGGGAGTGAGGGCAGCGCAGCAGATCCAGCAGGGCGTCCGCGTCGTCCGTCTCTGCTGCCTCTGTTCGGTCTTTGGTCTTTGTCTGAGGACGCAATCGCTCCGTTTAATCACTGCATAAATCTAAGCTACTGCGCTTTAAACTACTCAATAGACAGGTGGATGTTACGAAGATGACCTAGAAAACAGTGCGACCAATTTAAACGAAGAGGAAAAGAACTCACCCAGGTGCCATGTCCGAGAGGAAAGTCATTCAGACAAAGGCGGTGAATCTGCTTCTCTAACACAGCAGACAGCTTGTTTGAGCTCGTGTCTTTCAACATCTGTTACTCTATAGCAAGTTAAATAGATCTGTTAAGAGAAACACAAGCTACAATATGCAATGCAACGGCCCCCTGCTGCTTGTTTACAAATGGTTGTCGGTCGCTAGGCAACAGCTGAGTCTCGCTGAAGGATTTCATTAAGAATTAAAATGAAATGTTTGCGTAAGTGAAGCAAAAAAAAACTCGAGAATTGTTTAGACCAACATTACAATGCTAACATGCTGATGTCTAGCAGGTATACTGTTTACCATATTTACCATCTTTGTTTAGCATGTTGGAAGGCTAATATTCATTAACCAATTAACCTGATGGTAATGTCATTCATTTTGCAGGGATTTGGTGATTCAAGGAAAAATGGAAACTTGCGACGATGGAGTTAGATAAAATAGGGGATTATCAAAGTACTTCTAATGAATTAATTCATCCTCTGGTGACTATGAATGTCTGTATAATAATAATAATAATAATAAAGTCGGACAACTTTTGAACGAGCTGCCTCTGGTTGTCCTGATGCGGTTTCATTCCATCCGTCCTCCTCCCCAGCGTCTCCCTGTTCAACAGTCTGAGCCTGCTGTGCTGGACAGGGAGGCATTGGGTTGCATGGGAGAGGTGAACGGGGGAGGAATTTATCTCCAAATATTTGAAACGTTTGTTGAACACAAGTTTTACAAATCCGGCCGTCATTTGGCTTTTAAAGTGGTAAGTGCCTCGTCATCACAGCCTCGATTTTATAGTGTAATACCTATTTTATCGCTCGCTCCTGCTGGCCCAATTTGTTTTTAACATGTGTTGTCTTTTATTAACAGAGGTGCACTTATTTTATTGGGTTTCAGCTGTGTAGTGATCGCTGGGATTACTCTTAGATTCGGTCATTTTAGGTCATTTTTCAGTCATTTTGTTTGATATCGAGGTTGACTGTGATTAACTGTAGCTTTGTGATCCAGGAGAATAAATTATCTTTTAAATTCAGTGGTTTGGTTTGAAACTTGCACGCACACACTCAATGTAGGACACTTTGGTTACACATCTTGATCGATGAGATTTCCAGATGAATTATTGAAAAAGAATATTAATAGTTGTCGGTAATTAATGAGTGCCAACAGAATACTTTATAATTGATATAAAACGACTATAAAAATAGTTGACCGTTGGAAAAAGTGATTGAATGTATTTAATTTATATGCACGTCACAGGACGTCTGAGGGAACCCCCAGAAGTGAAGTGAATTTTTTTTACATGTATGACTAGTTCACTGACAACACGCAAGGGGAAATATTAAGATGTCGATCTTTATCTAAGGAATCCCAATAAAAGAAATCCTCGATAGATCGATGGATCGTAGAAAGTGTCCCATCAGAGAACCTGCTGCAGACCAGAGCCTCCTGCTGTCATGAAATCCTGTACTGGTAAGCATTATTGAAAAATGTCATAATATTTGAAACCAGGTCCTACAACCTAAACTTGCACAACAACTGTATGTGTGTGTTTCATTAAATCTAGTTAATCTCTACTCTGTGCTCTTCCATGTCACTGCTGCAGTCATGGTTTTGGTGTGTCTGCTCAGTGTAGAAGCAGCGCCTGCACTTCGAAAGGAGGGAAATCGCGGTGCCTTGAAGGCTGGCGTTAAGGTCCTCAGGAAGGACATAAAGACCCTCTTGGGCTACCTGGTAAGCTGGATGTCTTATTTAATCTGTTTATTATACAAACAAAAGCAGCTTTGAAGCGCAGGAGTGTTAAGTTGAAAAATCTCTACCGTCGTAACGGAAAATGTTTCCAAGCATTAAATTATTTTGAAAATCTGATGTAACTTCCAAACACTCGGCTACTTCTGGGGGATTACGTTACTTGATCATGCTGAGAATATTGAGCTGGCTGTGCGTTACTCACTGATACACATTTACACACAGTGCTGACCAAGTCTATCTCCTGCAGGAGGTACCTGGACAGCTTCCAAACATCTCCTGCCTCACCCAGAACTACACAGAACTGGTTGTGCCCGACGGGCAGCTCTTCACTGGTCAACATCTCTCCATCTTCCGCTGTTACATGCTGAACATGTCAGAGCCGACCTCGGAACTGTCGCAAAGGCTGAAGCAAACAGTCCAGAAACTTTGTTCTCTTGAGCTTCATGTGACCAAGAAGCTGATCGACCAGGACTGCATCCTGCCCCCCTCACAGCAGGACGTGAACTTTAATGTCAAATGTGTGCTGAAGCTTCTAGACCAACATCTCAGCAGAGCAACTTTTTCTTAAATTGATCTGCTTAATATGAATGCTGCCTTTTAATCATTGAAACATACATTTTTGTATTCCAGTTTCATGTGGATGAGAAACCTGTTCAGGATGTTACTGCATAGTTGTTATTATGATCAGTATCTGATAAGTAATAATTATGACATAAAATTACATTGATTCTAAAATGAACCAAGTTGGGATTTTTATTTTTGTTCATTTTTATTGCGAGTCCAAATCATTTAAGGCATCTTAAAACTCGCTGCATGAACTTTGGAAGTTAAACAAAAAAACACTCAGATGCAAAACAAAGAAAATATCTTTACATCTTAAAACAAATAATGGGCAGATCCAATCTGCGATGATTTACTGTACATTATCATCAGGTGCAAACCCACTCTCACCTGTAATTACAAACATTTTGAAATCCAAGGATGAGAAGGAAATAAACACATAAAATGACCACATAAATGACAAGCTACGGTGCAACATTGGGTCATAAGGTCATAGGGCCTATTTAATCGTCACTGTAATGTGTTGAATTTTGATGAATGCTTTTCAGGTGCACTGTGAATTGAGTAGTCTACATCAACATGTAAATCATTCAACGATAAGAAATGTGGTGCCATTTGTACATTGTAAACTGAGTTTAGAAATCAAGTCACAAAATCAGTGTTCAATCAATGCTGAGAGAGAAAAACTAATTAGCCTGCAGAGATACAGAGTAAGAGCACTTTGACTTTAAAGCTGTACGACAGACATGCTGATAGTTCTCAAGCAGATAATAGGTACTCTGACAAATATGATTTCAGTAACGCGAAACAACGGACGGGTAGTCGACTCCCTTCTACGGCCTTTTGCTCGGTTTCTCTGTGCTGTACCTTTCCACATGACATACTCATTGTTTTCTCCTGTCCGCCATTAACACACCTTTTCAATAAGTGTAATTAGGAAGGTAGAAAACAACAGGCTGTACCCTTACAAAGACATGTTCTCCTGCTGTAATGGATCCCGACGCGATTTGTTCATGGCTGAACTGTAAAAAAATGCCACTGACCAGCGCATCCCTGAGTGACCGTCGTGCAACAGGAAGACGCCTACAACTGCTGTGCATTATCCAAGAACCCGGACTGAAGATCTCCATTTCACTCCCTATGAGGGCTGTAAATAACATCTCTCCATTGTTGTGACCCATGTATGTAACATGTCATTTTTAAGACGATTGCTTTCCGGTACAATTTACAGTTGCACTCACTGGAAGAGCAAGCAAAGGAGTAAGAAGGAGTTCAGCACGACTGGGAACCTGTCAGGGAACCACTCCTGTCAACTGTCTAAAAAAACATTTACCTGAGTAAATTGAAAAAATTTGATCTCAGCTTTCTTGTGATAATCAATCACAGAGCAGCCCACGAGTGACTGTGTTTCAGACGAACCTCGACATTATGAAACCTTTCTCCCCAAAACGCCCAAACTATGCAGCCAACTAGTTCTGAAAGAATCCCACATTCAAGTCATGCTCTTTTTTTACAAGAAAAAATGATGCTATCCATTCACTTTCTACAATTGAGTAAATAAAATGAACAATCACGCAAAAACATACTTCCCTTTTCAAAACAACGTTGTGTTTTTATATTTTTTGAAATAAAATATATATTTGAAAACGGATTCAAATTTAAATACATTGTTCAAAAGGCAAACAACCAGCACCACCTTCCAATAACCTTTAACCTTTTCACTTAAAGCTTGTGATGGTAGTACTAGCTGCTGCCATTTAAAGAAAATCTCATAAAAGCTACAATTGCTTATATTTATCATTGTATTTTTGTGTATCTGTGGAAGACATGTGGACCTTGCTGAATGTCTATATGGTAAATTAGTAATGAGTCATGATGATTTCTGTGACACGGTTCAGGTGGCTTTTGGCTCAACTCATCACCTCTGAGAGCAAGGCCACCCATCGGTTTGTGTGACGGCCTGCGTGGCTTCGTCGGGCAGCAGGGACGGATTACTGAGTATGGACGTGGTTGTGCTCAGCTGACGGAGGGTCCTCAGCACCACTGAAAAACAAGAAGGCACAATTTAATAACCATAACCTGACTGTAAAATAGCATTTTGAAGCTAATTATCATGCTATGTATGCTACACGATATTCTAACTTGATTGTGCTCAATACCTCAAATATAACTCAACTTAAAAAAATCTCTTATCTTCAAGGAACATGTTATGGTTTATTTAGGTTTCCCATAAAACACTCCTTTTCCAGTACACAGAAACAACTCAACTTAAAAAAATCTCTTATCTTCAAGGAACATGTTATTGTTTATTTAGGTTTCCCATAAAACACTCCTTTTCCAGTACACAGAAACACCCTGTGTGTCACGCTACAAATAGTGACTCAAGGGAATTCTAAAATAAAGTCACCGGTCACTCGTTGCATCATTAAATGTATGGAGACAACCACGCTGAACATGTAGTGAAAAGGCGGAGCGATAACCTTCTTTATTCTTAACAGTTTACTGCAGCAATGACCAGCTTAAACTGTGACTTCATGGATAGAAATCTTTTGACGTCACCATTGATATCAGTCCTGCTAACGGTCATGGTAAAATCCAACCAAGACAGGAACAAAGGCATTTATTTTTGACAAGTGGCAGGAAAAAAAAAGAAGAAATAAAGATGAAAGAGTTTGATCTTTACGGTTTATGCCAAAGAGAATGAAGATGGACAATTTAAACGCATTAATTGCATCATTAAAAATGAGAAGATGCGCTGTTGAATTTGGTTCATGAGATGGTTTGATAACACCAAATAGAGATAGTGAAGAATAGGAAGTATAAAACCGCAATTGAATGCTCACAGTGGTGATCTAACACTTTCAAACTGGAAGGAAGTTGCTACTGGGCCGCAAATGATCCACAACTACTGATAGGATGTTGTTGGTTGATGCGCAACGTGAACAAGAAATACTCCTTTACTTACTGGGTCTGAGCACTGGAAGAGAACAGTGACGATCGAGCCACTGCAACGTGGTCTGACAGAGCTCTGCCCTGCTTGTGGTCGACACCATCCCATTGAAAGACTCAAAGAGAGGCTTGATGATGATGCTGAACTACAATGAATGACGGTCAAGGATCAGTCAGACTGCAGAATGAGACAAGAGCAATTCGGCCAGACCAACTGTTTTAGTCCAACAGTTCTAACATGACCATTTTCAGATTTGACCACACATGCATCAATCACAAGTGTAGAGCTAACACTACCGCAGATTGATTTGAAATAAGAGTAGTACTTATTATTGTATGCAGGGACAAAACATTAGGTTATCTGTCAAGAGATCCGTAATGCCACCGACCACCACATGGCCACCGCATTTGGTAGATAACAGAGCAATTCTCCTTTTTAATACACTGTGATTTTGTAATATAATAACTGTAAATTTATTTAAAATATGTATGAAGCAAACAGTGCCAGAGCTCCTATATTGAAGGATACAATCCAGAACTTCCAGTTCTGAAGAGTGCGATTCTTTACATATTCATCGAACTTCTCCTGCATGTGGTCGAAGCGATTCCGCCTCACGGGGACTCCTGTTGCAGGCAACTGTTCCTGGAACGAGCTGCGGTCAAGACAAGAGGCAGAAACAGTCGAGAATGAATGTGTTGAGTGCAAATGTTAAATATCAGAAGAGGCGTGGCGTGACCAAGCAGCGGTCCCCTTCATCCACATCCTCCCGCTCATTCCATTTTTTACACATACCCGATGGCGGTGTTGATCTCCTCGATCTCCTCTCGTAGCATCTTGACCTCCTCCAGCATTTGCTGCCTCTCCTGTTGGAGCTTCCAAATGTGATCCACAGTCTTCTGCAATGTGACGGCATTACTCATCTAAAAGCACAAAGAAAATTCATATGGTAAGAAGGAGTGACGTCATGAATCCATTGTGGGGGTTTTGGGATCACACAGACTTACATTTGATTGTGACTTTAAGGTGGGAACCAGGTTGCAGAGTGTTTTAAAGCCAATGTTTATGTTTGATCTCCTCTTTTGCTCAGCGGATATGTATGTTGTCCTCCGGCTCTGTCACAAAACCGCAATGGAAATATCACAAACAGTGTTGCTGTGTCTTCAGTAATGTTTAGCATTGGAGAGGATTGCTTACATGCTTTAACATAACATGTCATTTTATTTTCATTCCAAAAAATTTGACGATTGTCTGAAGCCTGTAGAGGCCAATATGTCATTTAAATAATTATATTCTCAAACACACTAGCAAACCATTTATGTTAAGAAACATAAAAAAACAGACCTGATTTTGTTCATTCTTTACCAAAGGTGTAGCGGTTCTGCTGTTCAGTGACTGGGGACTAGAAACTTGATCTAACCCAAGTGGTGATCCTTGACCCGATGCCGCCTGACTGTGACCTGAAAAAGAAAAAACAAGTTAACAAGCTGTGAGCTTTCAGTTACGATGTACTATCCAGGCCCAGAGAACTCTCACCGACAACAGAGGACGCTTTCTGACTTCTGCGGCTGGAAGATTTCTCTTTGGGGACAATCGGCTGAGGGGACTTCTGTGTCCGAGGTAAGACGTGAAATCCAGGAGTCTGAGATACATGAAAAGAAAAATGGACAAGAAGAAATAGCTTAAAAATGTGATTCTATAACTTTGTAACTGACAGCCTACGTTTTAAGGCAAGTCAAGTTTTACTTTCACACTAGTGAATTATGCACATCACAGAAAAACAAACAATGAAATGTAAACTTTGTATTTGTGTAATTTTCTATTGGCAACTCAACAATGTAAGGACCCACTGGTACGTAATATCTGTAAACTTACCCCTCCAAGTTGAGAGGGAGCGATGACCACTCCAGTATTATGGACCACATCTGATTTTAGAGGCGATGGTGTAACGATTACAGCATTGGCGTGACCTGGGAAAGGGGCCGCTGGGATGATAACAGACTACAAATTAGTTTTATGTGATATCATTCCCATCTTTTACAACTGAATCTCCTCGGCCTGTTTCATCTTCCATTGGTTAGCACAACATTTCATTTAATATCTAGGGGGGAAATTGAACTTACAAAGTTCTATTAAAACAAAAGCTAGCCTAGTTTGGGTAAGGAGAGGCTTGAGCGCTCTCTGGTGGGGATTTTGTAACAGCTCCACGTACAGACCAACAACCTTAAAAGGCACAAGGCCGTACCAAACTCCCGATCTTAAGGCCAGAAAGAACAAACCTGTGCGGATGAGGATAGAGGAGGGGAGGGTGTTAGCGGGGGCAATCCTTTGCACAGGGCGGTTTTTGTTGGCACTGGATGGATAAAAGGGCCGCGGCAGGGCAAAGGTCTGCGGGTGTTGGACAGGCATGGCAGGTAATGGAGCCAAGGGCTGGAGTTGAGGAGGAGGAGGTGGAGGCTGTGTGGATATGGAGCCGTAGTCTGAGGCATGGCTGAAGGTGGATGCCGCGTCGCTGGGTTTGACAGCAGGGGTCTTGTGGGTAATCACAGCTGGTTCTACAGCCTCATCCAGAGCTGAGGTGTTGTCCAAGGGCGATGGAACCATGGGGGCTGCTGACACCAAGTCCTGACCTGGATGACACTGTGACAGAGGATCATGGGATAACGGCTGAGGGACGGAGGGGATTGCTGCCTGATCTCTGGGTGCTACATGCCCTGGAAACAGAGGTAGGTAGTTTTGTTCATATGCTGCCGCAGCAGCAGCAGCACCGTCTGCTGGACTGGCCATGGGAGAGGGGAGGGGCAGGCGGCCAGGCGGGACGATGTTGTTGCTTGTGAGCATGGAGGACATTAACAGCGCCTGGCAAAGGTTAAAGGGAAGGGAACAAACGCACTTAGTTGCTTTCCTCCAGTGCAAAAGGAAACTTCGTTCTATGCAAGTTCACTTTTCTAAACGTCCCTTTTTATTGAGTTGGGAGGTTAGGAAGAAGAGACTGTAACAAAACAATTGACAAATCTGTTAAACTGGCAGCATTTATGTCAGTCTTTATATTGTACAGTTTCAACATAATGCCAAATGCATATCTTTTAAGCCAATGTTTCATTATTTTCTTCAATTTTTGCTTACACATACACACACATGTTATATTTGTCCACTAAACAACAACAATATGCTTCAAAATATGTCTTTGGTACGAATCCCAGATACACAGTTTTGTAGGACTTTTGTAGGCTAAAATGCAACGGTTAAAGTCTGAAAAGGACCTACGCCGAAGTTGCATCAATTGATCCAACAGAAAATATAGCAAAAAAATGGACTACAGCGTGAAAGAGAAGAACAATATTTTGCCAACTTTTGAGCAATACTATGTTAATAAGTTTAGTAATATTATGTTAAAATAACAGTGTAACTACATTAGGACAGGAAATAGTAGAATATGTGGCAGAAATCCTCACAAAATGAGCAAAAACAACACCAACAAAAGTCTTGCATCAGGGGAAAGTAACACACTCCTTGAGGAAACGCACTAGGGTGGTGTGCGTTAGGAGCCGTGCCTTGCGTTTGTGTTTACCTGCGACTGTGAGCTGCTGCTGGGTTGGAGGGTGACAGGTGGTGCAGTGGGTGAAACAGAGGGGAAGGCGGGCTGACGGAGGCTGTGAAATAAGTCTGGAACAAGAGTGTCTATGTTAGCTAGAGGTTAGTAACACCACACTACCTTTCGCGTTAAGCAAAGCCCACTGCTTTGGCTGAGTTACTAGCACGTGTGCGCTTGGTTCCTGTCAAGTGTGCACTATTAGGGTGAGTGCAGCACTACTGCAGCTACGGCCGGTGCCTTACGCCTCCCTACCTTGCAGTGGATCAAAAGAGTCCATGAAGTCCAGGTTGGGTTGTAGAGGGATGAGTCCTGGTTGGATCATGTCTGCGTTCCCTGCATGTGCTGTTGGGGGTAAAGCGGCGGGGAGACGGCACGCCAGTGGTACCGACGGTGAACACAAGGACAACAACATTTCCCAACCAACTTTGAAACGACCCATCGGTCCCATAAAGTAGATGAACCATTTTCTCACCAATCTCCCGTGGATTCGGCCAGGCTATGTTCTGGTGCGAGGCCAACGTGGAGAACAACGTGTCTGAAAACTCGGACATCAGAACATCCATATCAAAGAGGGGGTCCATCTCCATAGGGGCGGGGGTTTCATTATGCCGACGAGGGAGGCGGCGCACGGCAGTCTCTTCATCCTGATAGGAGGAGAAACGCAGCATGTCTGGAGAGACTTCCCCGAACAGCAGTAGCTGCTCCTCTGGTCCCTTTATGGGTGTTAGAAATGCAACCAGCCAGCGAGTTAATGACACACAAGCATGCAGCGTAACAACACTTTGTCTCCACACGTTATGCACAAGTCTGAAATGCATCCCCATATCTGTTTATGGACATACATTTGAGTCTGTGACCAAGTTACAAGCTCAGTGAAGTGATGACCTAGTTAATATTTATATTATATTTGCAGAGTAATTGTTACAAAGCATTTAAGTGTGGAAGGGTGACTAGTTTAGTGAGCAAACTTTAGTGTTATTTTAGAGTTATTCACATAAATATTAACATCTGGTTAATATTTGCTGTACAAATGGTAATAAACAGAACTTTGGTGGGTTGAGCATGATGCAGTTTTTTTATACCTTAAGCAAGCTTGAGAGGTCATCGTCCTTGTGCTTTTGTAACTATAAAAGAGAATGTGCCCCATTAGATAAACATTATGTTGTATGAACAATCAAATAAAAAAAGACAGCTTTGCAAAACAATATGATACCCTTTTTTTAAAGTATGTTCTCCACTTGTGGTATTCTCTGATGACAATTTCAATTCGTCTCTTCCAGCATACCCCGTCCATGGCGGTGCCCTGCGGGGGAAAGACGGAGACGATCCATCACAAACACACTGCATAAAGAAAGCACGTGACGAAGGAAACTCAAAACTCACTGACAAGTAAATGCTCGACAGACAGAACATTAAATCATACTCATGGTAGGTTTTAGAAACAAAACAACGTCTTGCTGTTTGGACACAGGGTGTCTGCCTTTACCTCTGCAGAACGCTGTACGTCCATACTTCCATCCAGGGGAGTTGCAAAGTGACAAACCGGATTCTCCCTTTTCTCCACATCTGGGGCAGAACAACAACAATAACGACACCCTCAGTTGACTTTCCAATGCAATACAGTAAAACATAAATGAAAATATGTTGCACTACTATCTTCTTACAGTTGACAAAATAATGGCCGCAGCTCAGCTCGTAACTCAAGAAAAGCTTGACCCAGTTTGTGTTTATTTTTGGGCTTTGAGTGAGAGACGCTATCGGTCACTGGCACACAACGACTCATGGTATGTAAACAAATCAATATCAAATCATAACGGCCCAACTATTTATCTAGTCATGAAAAACAGAACACTGTTCCATAATGTAATGGTTTATGAATTTACAGTTTCTGGAGTACTGTGAAATGTAGATTGTAATAGACGATAGATCAATAAAAAAGGGCAGAATGTGCCGAAATGTAGATGAATCAGGTCACTTGAATGCAGAAAGAGGAAGTCTTACACTGCATATACCAGGCCCTCCAAATAGCGTTGTTGAGGCGGATCTTGTCTCTCCAAAGGAGTTTCAGACCTCGGAAGTTCTTCCATTTGGGAGACACCAAATTACCACTGAAAAGACAAGAAGGTATACAGTGATAAAATCTCACAAGACCTTCTGTGAAACCAATGCAATGGCTTAACCTTTACAAGTAGATTGCTGTGTACTGAAAACACTTCTTCCGAAAAAATAAACAAGCAGGAATCTGACAAGATCAAGTCAGAATTATATTTACGAGTGTGATGCTCCCATCACACTTGTCTCAGGAGACAAGGGATCAAATAAACAGAGAGGAAAGAGGCACATATGGACCACTGGAGCCGTGGATAATCTTTAAGCAATATTGTGCAGTTTGATTCAATTAAATCAAATACTTTCCCATTTGTTTCATTGCCCGGTTTCCAGTAGTTCATACCAATCTAATTATATTTTACCTTGTTTTAAATATATACAATCTTGGCTCTTTAATATTTTAATTGTATTGTTGTCTCAATGCTTAAGATGTTTTTTGGAAAGCACTCTGAATTGCGTTATTGCTGAAATGGCTAAATACAAGAATAAGTTTAACTACTAACTGAGTACGCATCAAACTTTGGTTCACTTTAACTGGACATGAGAGAATGACATTACAGAAATCTTTCCCATCTGCTTTGATAAGAAAGTGTTAAATCCTATTCAAAAGTGGGCTCACGATTTCCTTCTTCTCATCCTTCCTGCCGGGCCTTCTATTGTGTGGTTTGTGTGCTTGCTCGGCTTTGACAAGTAGGTAAGCGCTCCAGCTCTAAGCAATAAAAAGAGAACAGCCAGTATTAGCGGGGAAACCATTGTTCTCTTTGCGAGTGGAGCCTCTCTCATGTAAATATGGGTGACAGCAGCAGAACAGTAACTGCGGCCAGTGCTTGGCAGGCCTATAGATAGTCCTCCCGACGAATCCAGAAACGTGCCATTAGCAAAGTCGGTGGGAATCCTCTGAGCAGCTGGCGCTCCACCAGTAGCACAACAACTGTAAACAGAACCATGAGCAACGGGAGCCTTTTCTGTTGCAACTCACCCCCCTCTAAAAAGCCTCTTTAGGGGGGGGGGGAGTCTTAAAAACTAGCAAATGTGTAAATTCGAACCGAAAAACCGAGCCCATTGCTGCAAACTGTTTTTGCAATGAAATTACTGAGCAGCACGACGTCTGTTAAGTTCCTGAATCCAGAAGCAAAGTCACCAAGTTGGAAGAACAGACAGCAGGAGCCTTCAGGCCTCCCTTCAAAGCCCCGCCCACAAAATGATCATAACGAAAGCACACATTGCATATTGTTAGTACACACAGCTGTCAGCAGGTAACCAGCAATGAGTGTACAGAGAAAATACGTGACGGTAGACGGAGAGTCCAATTATTACATTTGGGCCGATGAAAGGATTGGACGGCCTTATTGTCTCACAGTCTTGTCTCGTCTTGTCACACAGTCACGCAACAGCTGCGGATACCGGATTGCTCCGTTGACTCATTGAGCGCTTTTAGGCTCTGTTGTTGATTTGAAAAATAATAATTATTTAACTCACAAACTCTGCCATAATGTGTCAGTAGAATACCACAAACTAGTACAGTTTACAAGTTTACAAAGATACATTGTTTAGAATCTAACTAGTGGTTTTTAACTTCTAATGCTCGAGAACCATTAGAATAAAGCATCATTAAATTCTGAGATTAGACAAATACCAAATAGGTAATATATACTAAATTAAATACAAATATCAATGTGTGACAGAAAAAGCATTTTTTTTCGTCCAAATGTACGTCGTGAGAGGGGGTGTAAACACCTGGATGGGAACATTTGTACCAATGTTAAACCAGGCTGAAACGTGGGAAACTACCACAGTAAACACTGCCAACGCATTAGTACTAAGTTAAGGTTAAGCAGATTTAGGTTATTTTCATCGTGTTACTTGTGATGGATCATTTTCAATAGGTCTTATTGGTATTTTCATTCAAGTAAAGAGTGGGAAGGCCCAATGTCTTCCCCCAAATCACCAGTGGTCAAGCAGGAAGTATCACGAAGAGAAGACTCGTGACAGCTGTGTCCCATGCCTGACTTTTCTTATCTGCATATGATGAAGGTCAGCTCGGGGGGGTACAAATTAAAGTTTCCATGTGAATCCAGTAACAACAACAACAACAACAACAACAACAACAACCACATACCTGTAGGCGAGAGTCATGCACTCAAAGAGCTTGGTCAGTGAAGCATCTATGGAGAGATGGGACATCCTCGCGTTGCCGAACCGATAGGTGCGACAGGTCCGCTCGTTGACAGTGTCGAAGTCGTAGCCTTTCTTCGGCGGGTGCTCGATGTGCGGCGACGACACCATGAAGTGTCCGCTGTGGATGATCTGAGAGCCCAGCTCGTCCAACCGCTTCAGGCCCAGCAGGTGGGTCTCCGAGTCCGAGTCGTCGTCCTGCTCCGTCTTTGTCCTCGACGGCGGGCGGCGGTATGCGTGCCGTGAATACGTCTCTCTAGCAGCCATGTCGGCAACTCACCGGGGGACAAATAGCTAATGTTAGCCAGCGAGCTAGGACAAAAAAAAAAACTCTCGCTTTCATCGGGCTCGCGGAGAAGACGTGGTTGTGGCGGCCTCTCGGTTAAAGTTTGTCAACTTCGTGCCGTGTAGAGGTCGCGGTTCACTCATGTTTTTGAGTTGTAGGTCATTAATAGACCAAGTGAACTTGTTGTTGACTCGTTAGACAGCGTTAGTTGACGTAGCTGAGAGTTGCAGCGACCAGCTGACCAAAAAAAATAAAAATCTGCTTGCGGAGTGTTTTCTGCCCGGAGCCGGAAGTTCCTGTGTGGGAGAGCTTCTGATTGGTCCGTCAGAGCCCCGCCCACAGAGGAACGCCCCGTCCATGCTTCGGCTGCAAATATGCTGTCACCAGTTTATAGTTACTCAAAGCACAATTTTCTGTAAATCGTGTACAAATCAATGTATTATAATTATTTTATTTATAAATAAAAACATTTGAATATATTTGTTTTAAATGTTGGCCTGTTGGCCCCTCCCTGTAATACAGTGTGTGTGTGTGTGTGTGTGTGTGTGTGTGTGTGTGTGTGTGTGTGTGTGTGTGTGTGTGTGTGTGTGTGTGTGTATTGTTTCATGGTAGGATACGAATTACAATCCTTTACATAAGCTATACCATAACAAACTATTAACATTAGGGTATAAACATTAAAATGTGCCTCAAGATAACACTGTTCATAATGTTAGTCAGTGACAAATAATGTTATTTACAATTCTTGACATGATGATACACGTTAATAAAAATGTTTATTCGTACAATTTGAAATCAAAATACAGAAAAATTTCAGCAACTCTGTTAGGACCTGTAATCAATCTTAGGAACACAGTAGTGTGTGAGGCTCATCAACACATCTTCTCAAGGACCAACAGACAGTTTCCTTGATTTCATCACTCAGGAGGGGAAGCCTTGTGCTCAGCTGAAGATGGGACCTGTAAAAGTCTCCATGGGTACCTCACGTGGGATCACACACGCCAGTGTAGATGAATTTCCACCTAGACACAAAACCACACACACACATCAAAAGATGATCCTATTTCTCTCTGTTGTGAGAATTCTTAAGTTATGGTTTGTGAGTAGGTTGTCTTTCACATACTGTCAGAGTTATAACTGTCATGGTCAGATTGTTTCCCTCCTGATCCTGCTTCTTCTGCTTCATCTTCATCTTGTATTTCTTTTTCCTCCTCTTCACTGAGGGATAAAGGTGTAGTGACACATTCTGCCACCTCTTCTTCTGTCATGTGTTCTCCTGGGGATAAATGTCAACAATACATGAGTATTGCATGTAGAAACTGAAACAGAGGATCAGTCTTTTCTCAATAATGTGACAGCAATACAGCTGTCAAAAGATGATGCTATTTCTCAGCCTTTCGTGAGAATTCTTAAGTTGTACTTTGTGAGTCAGTTGTCTTTTACATACTGCCAGAGTTATAAGTGTCAGATTGTTCCCCTCCTGGTCCGGCTTCTTCTTCTTCATCCTCATCACCACTGAGGCGTGAAAGTGTAGTGAAACATTCTACCACTTCTTCTTCCGTCATGTTTTCTCCTGGGGAAAAATGTACAACAGTACATAAGTATTGCATGTAGAAACTGAAACAGAGGAGAGAACTGCTCTTCTGACTGAATAGCATGTACGTACCTCGAGTTTGTAGAAGTTTGAGCAGTACATGTCTACGCAAAACCGGCTGTCCTGTGATATCAGGGTTCCCAAGGATGTGAAAAGCTTGAACAAGCTGATTGCTAGAGATGCCTAAAGCTGGCCGATGGTTGACATACAGCTTGATCAACTCCTCCAGGTTGATGTCGGTCACATATTTTCCTGTTTCTGCGTACTTGCTGAACAGGACCTCGTTATGCATATCTTCTATCTGGTAAGATATATATATAAAATGATTTCTTTATCAACTGGTGTTAGCTTTAGAACTGTGGTTTTGTAATGATTGTACTGTAAAAAAAAACTAAACAATAATAAACAAATAGAAAATGTGGCCCCATTTGCACACATTGTACCTCTTGCTCAGAAGGGAAGAAGGCCAAAGCTCTCATCAGAGAGGGAACATCTGACAGGGAGATTTTGGTAGATGACTGTCGTTTCTCCATGGAGTCAGTGCCTTGATGCTGAACTTGGCAGTAATAAAATAAGTCCTCAATCTCCTAAAGACATAAAAGCTTCAATAACTGACAAACCTGTTTTTCATGCTTTGATAAATGTCTAAAACTCATAACTGAAGGAGAAATGCAAATAAAAGCTGGGATCTTATTCTTGTACCCCTGTATAATCCATACAAATACAATATACATGTGTGAGTGTGAGCACTGCTGCCCAAAGAGAAGAAAACTAAATGTGCATATAGCAACATGTAAAAACACATAATTCATTTAATGTGGATGACACTACCTATCAGAGAATATGACGCATGCTTCTTTTGGGAAGTTAATTGAAAGATCTGTAGCTGCTCACTTAACACTCAGTAGTCGTAGGACACAAGGAAAACTTTTGACAAACCCTGTAGAATTTTCCGTCTCTTCCTCCGTCTAAAAGAGTGTAAAAGGGAATCAGGTCCTTCCCTCCCAGGGCAGCTGCTGCCTCCAATGCACTGCGCTCACAACAAATAATAAGATTAACTCAGATTGTTACACAAAATGTCCCCCTTCCTCTCTGGTGGCTGTTAGTTAACCTCACTTTAAGCTTATCTCCCACAACAGTGCAGTGCAGTCAGACGTTCCAGCAGTGAAAACGAATCGGCCGTCGTAGGAGCAGGAAAAAGTGGACACGCCTGTCGGATGGCAGATCCGAGCATTGGACTTGTAGGGGTTCCCATCCAGAGGCATTATCTGGAGACCCACCTGGATAAACAACACACTCTTAGCAGTAATTTAATATATCTAAGATATATATATTCAAGATCTAACATGCACTAATGAACGATTCAACAACCAGCAATAGAGGAAAACGTAAGAAATGAAGAGAAAAGGTTTTGCACACAGGTTGTGCCGTTGGACGTTTTGGCAACTGCAAGATTCTCATCAACCAATCAGAAACAGAAACTCAAGTGTTTGCAGTTGTGACACGACCACACTTACCCATTAAAAAAAAGCTAAGCTGCTGCCAGCCTAAAGCCTCTTACTCAGTAAAATACTCGAAACAACGTCCAGCACTGACCTTGTCCTCCGTGATGTATGCCAGGTAATATGAACTTGATTCAGGTTCACTGCACTTGGGAAGGACCAGCGTTTTCTTAATGGGAGAGCCGAATGTTGGGCCGAGGAGGGTCTTTCTGCTTCCGTAAAACACGTGTAATAAGTGTTCGCGTGACAAAATTCAGAGACAAAATTAAAAAAACGATCTTGTTCCGGTAGATCACAGACCTGCACATTTTGGTAATGCTGTTTAACAGCTTCATCTTGTATTGGTCTGAGGCCACGAGAAGGAATTGCTCTGTGGTAATTGGAGGATACCAAGTCATGCCCGTTGGCACAGCGCTTTGCTCAATGCGCACCGAGCTCAGGATGACGAGCTCATTTAAATCACTGTTTTCCAGGTCATACTCCACCTATTTTTCACAGAGAGTTGTGTCACTCTATTAAACAGTATCACAAAACACCAAACTAGTGCATAGTCCAGCAGACTAACCAGACGGCGGTCCAGTCCCAGTGAGAGCAGTCTTGGTCGTGTGCTGTCCAGATGAACCCCAAAGAGAAGGTCTTTGATGGGCTTGTAGTGGGAGTGGTATCTGCCCAAGAATGTCCATCGAGGCAGAGAGCCTTCATCAGCCTGCAAGCGGAATACCGTCACTGCTTTTCCGCCATCCTAAGAGTGAACAAGGTAAAGAAGCTGCCGTGTGTCACTTGAGATTGTAAGAAAGCTACAGCGCAGACGATGATATAAACAGACTTGCTCACCGCAGTGGCGAGGTACTTTGAGTCTGAGGAGAAAGTGATGTGGTGGATGCAGTCTTCAGTGGAGCGAAAACATTCCTTCGGATCACTTTGTAAAGTGGTGGGATTCAGTATGTGAACCGCACCACTTCCAAAGCCCACTGCCAGGTATAATCCTGTTCAGAGACAGAAAGGTTACTGTGTACATTGTAGAATGGAGTGACTAACTGATAATCCATGCAGCAGATGGGTAAAACTGGCTTCAGTCAGACAGAATGTGGGCTCACCTTGGGGGTCAAAAGTGACACACTGAATCTGCTGCCCTGTCTCAAAGACCTTGCTGCAGATAATCACTTTGTTGTCATAGTCCCACACTTTTAAAACACCCCTTAGATTGCCCATGACCACAACTGGCAGTTTGGGGTGGCAGGCCACTGCATGTATGGGCTCACTTTCCTTATGTAACAGGATCTGAGGGATGCCGCTCTGTATATTCACATGTACTACTTCGGATGTGGCTGTGGACACAACAAAGTTCCTGCAGAAAGGAGAAGTCAGCTCGGCTAAAATGCACGTAACAGACATAACAGACATAATATATTGTGTTTCTTCTACCTCATCATTAATGGTTTTCCCTCTGGGTTGTAGACCTCAGGACAGGCCTGTGCACACTCTTTGGAAAAGGAAATGGAAACAATGGCATCCAGGTTGAAGTCGGTGTACCAAGTGAGGAGCTTGAATTCTTCATTATAAAACTTGATGTGGCCTTGAGTGTCACCCGTCACAGTAAACCTTGGATTTCAAACGGATAGAGAAGTCAAAATCAATAAATACATGTCCTTTTTATTAAAAAGGATGTCTCTCTCTCTACCTGTCTGTTACGGTGAGAACTGTGATTGGATCGTTCTGAAGACGGATTATAGTTATGGGGCGGCTTTTGTTTGGATCAACGTCTTTCATCACATCCCACACAACAATTTTGGTGGCCGCCGTCATTGTTAGGATCCGAGGCAATCTCAAATGAAACACAGACTGGCTCATTGAGCTGCGAGGCATCTTGGCAGTTTGGGAAGTGCCTGGAGAATGCTGAGCAAATCAAAGACATCATACAAATTCAACGTTGACCAGTTGAAACATATCAATAAATCATAAAACTAATCGCTAGGAATTACAGAAACATCTATGACAAATTCAAAGCATTTTTTACAACATTTGGATTATTCTTTTTTTTACCTTCTCAATATTCAGGGCAACGTATTGCAGACTTCCTTGGGCCTGAAAATAAAATCAGATGATTATTGCAATACACTGACACTTAACACCTGTTATCTTTTGAGAAAAAATGAACAGCAGGACTTACTGTGCTGTAAAATAGCAAATGGCTTCTACTGTTGCTGAGCAGTTGGCCACTATCATATGGATTAAAAATAATGTAGTCCTGAAAAACAATCAAAATAAAAACATTTGAATGTTTGACCTGGTGAATGCCATGTCCATGTACTGAAGTAAACAATGTTTAGAAGGCAAAAGTAACTTACATGGAAACCATGGTCGGGATCCAGCTCAGTAAACCACAAAGGCTTATCTATTTCATTCGTCCAATTCCAAATACACACACACTGCGCAAAGATTGTCAAATGGTTAGTTGTGAATAGATTAATTTAGTAAAATCCAGTGTTTAATATTAACCATGGAAGATGTTTTTGTGAACTCGTTGTTGTACGGTTATATTTAGACACAGCGCCATTTTGAGATGATTTTATGTCGTTGCATATGTTCATTTGCAAATAGTACTTAAGCACTGATGGTAATCCTAAAATCATGACATGATGTTTAAAGATCCTGAATATATGGATACATTTTCTTTGCTACCATATTATGAAGAGAGCCTTTTTGGAGCTCTAACATCTTAAAGAAAGTCCCATTTCTTCACCTTCAAAGTGTCTATTTCCAATTCATCATGAACCAGGACCGGAAAGTGGTACTTGGAGAAACCATAGATCATAAATGCGTTTTTTATTTTTTCCAGGATTGTGGATTCACAATCTAGATTATCCGTTACTTAATTAAAAAAAAAAAACTTCTGGCGTACTCACTTGTTTTTCCTCGGCACCGAGAGTTACCAGATGTTTTGTGTCACTTGAAAATGCCATCGCAACGACACCTCCCACTGGGTGGCAGTCAAACAATGTACGCACAGGAATGCTGAAATAGTCATTCATTTTTGTTGTCACCATCAAAAGCAGCAGTTATTACATTAAAAGCCTCCATGCAGAATCAAGAGCTACCCAGAGTAGGAGTCCCATATCATCACTGTGCTTTTGGGCCCCTGGTCTGCTGATGCAATCCAGCGTCTGTCGTCACTTACACACATACATGAGATTGGGCAGCAGTGACCCTGAGAAGATTGATTATACACATTAGGCTTTTTAAATCAACCCTGCAACTTGAAACCTGATGATTTGTATACCTGAAGTATGTGCTGGGACTTTGTTGTGTGATTGTAGATGACCCCAACATGAGCTGCACCATAGAGGACCACCAGCTGATCGTGGTCTTGCATGTTGAAGGCAGAAAGAGCAGGATTCATCCCAAACACCCATTCTGGAGACTGAATAATGAGCGTTTTTAATGAGCCGGTGATCGTTCTCAGATGACCCTTTTATCCAAGTTTGTTCAAATATACATATTCAAAAAAGACACGCTTACCAGTGCATGTGTAGGCGTGTGAGTAATGTTCTTCGGGAGGAGAGTGTCTCTGGTTGCAGTGTACACTTGAGATTGCCCGGTCATCTTCAGTGTGTCCGCTCCGGTTTCTTCTCTCTTAACTCCTGAACTCTTCGCCTTCTCTTCTTCAGCATCTGACATCATGTTTCACCGCTACACGTCTTTGTTTGCAGTTACTTCTTATAGCTTCGTCCTTTTTCTGTTGACGTCTCTACGAGTGGCAAAGTTAGCAAGCGCTAGCTAACGGTAGTAAACAGTTAGCCTGAGTTATCCGAAAGAGCAAAGTTACGATACAACACATAACGGTAACTGTGGTAAATAACAAATAACCACAATATCAGCGGTCATATAAGTCTCATTCAATTCTCAACAGGGAAACGTTTTTATAGGTTTTTAGGTAATTACATTAAACCCACTAAGTTACTGTTTCGTTTAGACAGCTCCGGCGAAGCGTCGCGTTGCCTAGTTACCGTTGACAGAGCGGATGACTGGCATTCAGACTAAATTACAAGTTCCGAGTTTTCAAATTTAAGCGAAATGTGTTTTCAGAATGGAGGTAAAGCAGGTATGAGCAGCAGCAATTGCCTGCAAGGTTAAAATTGCAACAGGTAGTGATATAAAAAATCACATCACCTTTGTTGTTACAGAAGTATAAACAGGTCTGAATAAATGTTTAGTTCCGTTTATATATTCATTTAATGGTTTAATTATATTTTACTTTACGGTGGTTTGATCCATTCTAAACGTACTCAATTCTGTATTATTTGTGTGTGTTTGTTGAACCAACATATGGAAGGTCATTAAACACGAGTCTGTTTTTGCTACATAACTTTTCTCAAAGTGCTTCTCCCTTTTTAACGTTTATTTTGAGAATTGAATACCTATTGATTGAGCTAAACCTTGTTTTTATTACATAAGCATGAATACTTCATCATTATTAAGTTATTTTTGGTGTTCTTCATGTTCGTAACTTTATTTTGAAAGTATTTGACGGAAAAGCCATTAATGGCCCTGCCGAATCTAATGTTTCTCCATTTGACCAAAAAAACATTTATATACTAAAAATGTTAAATAAGGTTTTAGCTTGTAGTAGTTGATCGCTTGGATTTCGGGGTAGAGACGTATTCATGTATCTGGACAAAACTTCTGAGAGGACCTCCAATGGTTTCTCATTTTCTTTCAGAATAACAAAGTATTAATTCAGAGCTTCAGATAGAAACGGAACATTGACAATCCCCATCACCCTCTGTATATTCCCACTTAAATCGTGAATCCCTTCTCGCTTTATTATGAAATAGTGTAACGAGTAATTTTATGCTCATTTACGCTGAACTGACAATTTTACTTTGTTGTAGTTCTTCGCTGTGACCATATGAGAGCAGTAATACACGTTATTCTAAATACAGTAAAGACAGTGTCAGTTTGTCACCTCGTCCTCTGCTTCTGTGTCTCCTCAGCAGGGGTCATTTGTAGTGAATGTGACACAGAGCTGCTATCATGCAGAGGAGATCCACAACATCTCACTGGAATGGATGTTCCCCACCAGCTCAGACCACTCCAACAACTCCCTTTATATCGTCTGGGAGATTTTAACTGATGAGAGACCATCACTCATGTTTCATCTATACGAAGATGTCGAGGTCCCAGAGTTGCAGGATGAACGCTTTGCAGGAAGAGTCCAGTGGGACAAAAACGTCCTCAGAGAAGGACGACTCAGATTTCACATCTCCAGACTCCAGACTAATGACTCGGGGCTGTACTGGTGTGAGGTGGGCACAAGTTATGGGAAGAACTTTAAGGAATGTCACCTCAATGTCACTGGTAGGTTCATTAAGTTGAACTTACCCAACACGTTTAATTCAGCAGCTTTATTCAGATGAATAAACTTTTTTCTTTACATTAATAAATCAGACTTGTTGGGTCTCTTTGCAGCAGTGAAGAATCGGCCTGAACCGGAGACATCAAGCGATACGAGTCGGAGAAGGATCGGCCTCTACTGTGTACTGGGACTGACAGCAGCATTGGGTTGTTTTTTCATTTTTCTCTGCATTGCAAACAAAGATACATAATCCAAGAATTCATCGTGTAAATTAGTTTACACAGAAAGAGTCGGAAGTTCTGACATGAGAGTATGAATGTATGTTAATGATAATATTTACTGTGTACAAGTCGAATTAACACTATTATATCTGTAGATTTGTAAAAAGAAAAATACTGTGGTCACATCGCTTTTTTAATCCAGTTTTCTCACATTAAAAAACTAATTGTATGTTTCCTTTGTATATTCAAATCACAAATCAAAACCTTTCAGAACTGATTTTAATGTGTGACCAAAATTGTGTATTTTAATGTTATGTACTCGGGAATGTTGGTTATTTATAAACATATAAAAAGTGTCTTTTCAGCCTCTTCATTTGTCGTATTAATTCATTAAGTAATTAAATCCTCCTCAATAATAAAAATGTATCACATGAAGGTAAATGTTAAGAGAGAAGCACAGATTAAATACACATAGCATACAAGGTGCACACACTTCTAAGCATTCTGTCAATACAGTGAACACTCTTTTATTTCATAATGTGATCACTGAAGACAAAAGGAAAGATGTTTAGAATCATTATCAGCTTTGTGAAGCGTTAAACTGTGACTACCTGCTACTTGGTGTGTGTCTCCTTTTCTCATCAAAGCTGGAAAATAAATAAGAACTCTACATAGTGAGGTTTACATCTGCTGTGTGTTAAATCAGAAAATCTGTCATTTGGCTGCACACAAACATATTAAATATATTCTAGTTGGAATATGAACTAAATGTTTGCATTTGTGTGTTGGGGGACTCGGGCTCTGTCCCCCACTGACATTCCACCCGTCACTTTCTTCACACTGCAAACGTCACTTTCACTTGTCACTAATCTCGCCACTAGAGGGCGCACGTTGCTCCACCGACGGTGACGTACAGACTTGTACGTAAAGGACGTACAACGTACTGGGAGGAAGGAAGGAACATCTATGATGACCACAAGCATCAAAGGCCGCCATAACAAACCATTAATACTTCCGGTAAAGACATTCTACGTGGTAAATGTATTAAACGTACAAACCGCTATTAAAAAAGGACTGAACGATGGGATTTGTTATGTGATGCAAGAGGGAGATGTGTATGTGTTGGACACGGCATTCTGGCCCCTTAAAGTGTGGAATAATTAAGGCGATCTTTCTGCGATGCTTTTACTTTGAAAGGTCAAATACTGTGTCGATCATTACTTCCACTTTACATTTTGTTAACGCAACTTTCCGGTTGCACGGGTTTGAGAGCTGAGGATTATTCTCTGCGTTTTTAGTTCATACAGCGAGCATTTTCGCTAATTAACTACTGTTTAATACTTCAGCAACTAAATAAAGTCTGGAGGATTGTTGATCTCATCGTACGTTACAAGTTCTGATGAGTTCGTGAAGAGGAAAAAATAAATAAAAACACACCGACGAGGAAGCGGCCAACGTTATGATTTCCACCGCTGACAGGTGAGTAGACATGTCTCTGATTGGGACTTTATCCTCTCGGGACAGGATCCCCCAGAGGACTTGGTTTATACTTCGTGTAAAGTTGTCAGCTAACGTTAATCCACTCAACGTTAGCTAACATTAGCCCTGAACTCCAACAACAGCTGACGGTCATCTGACGAGCTCTCTACCCGAATATGACGTCTCACCCTCGGCCTCTAGTGGACTCCAGTCATCGCTGGGTGACGCGTAATAGAAAAGTCACATGGAAGTTATTGAGGATGCTAAACGCACGAGCAAATCAATGCAAATCCTATAAAAAAAATGATTCAATAAGACAAGAGTGTGTCGTTCACATGGCAGTCTACACACTTTAGACTGTCAGTACACACACATTTCTATTGTTCAGTTCTTACTTTTTATTGAAGCATTTTAGTGATGCTGTTTTGTGTCTTGATGAAGACACATTTACAGTCATACAGTTTTAAGCATTAGTTTCTACTATGGGCTTATGTTTGTTCAGTCCAGCTCTGTGGTTCTCCGTTGAAAGCATGAAGAGGTCTGGGTTTCAGCACAACCTTTAAAATGCTGACATTTGGGTCCCTGCTGTCACAGAAGCAGGAAATAGCAATCTGAGGTATTATACCGGAACTACTGAGTATGTGAAAATGTTTCTGTTGGGTCTAAATATGAACGTTCTGTCCATTAGGTGTGAGTAGAATCTGGAAGAACTCTACGATGTGGACGGATAAACAACGGGGGATCCGAGTGTCTCAGAAGGAGCTGCTGTGCAAGAACGCCTGCGGCTACTATGGAAACCCAGCGTGGACGGGCTTCTGCTCCAAGTGCTGGAGAGACCAGGCCCGACCAGCTGCCGCCTCCAGGCAGGACGCCAGGTAAACGCGCTCTTTGTGAAAGTCCTTCAGACTGACAGGAACATAACGTCCGAGGTCTGTAGATGGAGTCCCATGTTAATATCCTCAAATGCTGGATTCTTTTTAATCAGACCATTTGATAATGACCTGAGCGACGCTAGAGGGTGTTTGCTGTGCTCGCTCTTCTAATATGTCGTCTAACTAGCGGGTCGAGGCTTCTCAAGTGCTCCCGGCTTAAAGTGGGTTCAGATTGTTATGCCTAACGTTGTCCCTCTTTGTAGTCCGGCCAATGATGGAACTCCGCTCACCTTCTCCAAATTTGAGGAGAAGAAGAGCACTGAGAAAGGTCGTCGAATCAACACAATGAGGAGACTCTTCTGGGGCAGCACATCGCCTCCCAAACCTCAAGGTGTTGTTAGTTCAAATCCCACCTCCTCAGCACATGTTTTCTAGGTTCAGTCATGTAATGAACAAAAAATCCAATAAATTGCATGTATTTTTTTGAAACATGTTTTCTTATTGATCTTGAATAACATCTGCCTGTTGTCCCCTTTTAGAGTCCTTTGAAAGGCATGCCAATGTGTTGAAACCTTATCAAAGCCTGGAGCCCGGAGACTTCACGGGTTTCCTAAAGATACTGAAGAGCCCTTCCTCCCAGCGCTTGCAGTCTCGATGTACAGCGTTCCTCAACACAATGGAGGCTTACCATGTAATTATGGGTTAACGTAGCGCTGAATGTTTTTCTCATAACGTTTTAATGAACCCTTTGATCAAAGCGTATCATCTTCTTTACAGGACCTGCCGGTACAGAAGCAGTCAGATCTTGTGCAGGATTTCTTCCAGTCTTTTGCTGATTATTTTAGCAGTGAGTACAGATAAGTTCAACGCCTCTTGGGCCGGTTATCCTGAACGAATGAGGATTTTTAATATTTACTTATTTGTATATTTCATTTTGTTTTCAGCTTTACCAGAGGCGCAGGTCACTTGCATAATGGAGCATGTAGAGAAGTTAATAATGACACGGTTGCACAAATGGGTCTTCTGCCATGACAGCTGCGATGATGAACAGAAGGACCTCGCGCTCCAGAGGCGGATACGGTAATCCATAAATACAAATGTACAAATATGCAGTTCTGAGTTGTATTTGATGGAAACCTTGAATTTAAAGCCCCATTTGACACTGATGTCTTTACTTTGCAGATCTTTGAACTGGATCACACCCCAGATGCTCAGCGTACCTTTCCCTGATAAAAGGACTGAGGTCACAGGCGACCCCTTCCTGCCTGCTATAACAGGTGATTTACTGCTTCAATACTGAGAGGAATCATTTTGGAAAATGTGCTTATTTGATTTGTAATTGGAAGAGCAATTTACATGCGGGTTACCGTTAAATCCAAACCTACTTTGTGAAAAAAACTCCATTTGCTTTGGACTTATATTTTATGGAAAAACGTGTGGTGTTGATCTTCTCACCAGAGTTGCTTCCACAGAGTTTATTTCCCAAAATGTTGAACTATTTGCTTGAGCTCATGGAAGAGAGTCGGCCATCGCTCTGAGTCATGAAAAGGCCTTGACGTTTTGTTCTGCCTTGTTTCCTTTCCTTTTTCTCCAACAGCTATCATTGAAATGGATGCTAAACGAGCGCCTCAGGACAAACTTGCATGTGTGTCCAAATGCAGTCAGCATGTCTTTGAAGCGCTCTCCACCTCCAACAGTGAGCCCGCTAATGCCGACGACTTCCTGTCGGCTTTGGTTTATGTGGTGCTGAAGGCCAATCCGCCTCGCCTGCACTCCAACATGCAATACGTGATTCGATTCGGTCTCCCTCACAGTCTGATGGCAGGAGAGAGCGGCTATTATTTCACCAACCTGGTAAGCTTATTGCGGAGTTGCTTATCCGGAGTACCACAGGATGCTGCTGTGTGGCGGCCGATCATTCACGCCTTTCCCCCCCCCGTGTCTTCTGTTTCAGTCTTGTGCAGTGGCCTTCATCGAAAAGCTGGATGGACCAGCGCTCAACCTCAGTCCAGCGGAGTTTGAGGGCTACATGCTGCGTCAGCGGGCTCCCTCTGAAGGAAAGAGGCAGCAGGTCGACAGCGACACGCAACATCTGTTAGAAGAACTCAAAGGCAGACAGGAGAAGCTGGACCAAGGGATGGATGCGCTCAACGTGCAGCTACAGAACTGGGTCAAAGGGGTTCACTCACAGCTGGATGAGGCGACAGCCCAGTTTGCTGTGGTGCAGAAGGAGATAGCAGCTCAGGGCGAGCTCTCACAGGTTTTTCCATCCTCATCTCATAATGCATCACCACAAGAGGACGACAAAGTCGAGTCTGTTCTGGTCCTCACCGATCAACGTGCAGGAACACAAGATACAAATGCCACACCTGGTACAGGACCTTTTCTGTTTTGAAATCATCAGCACTAATTTATGTCGGCTTTAAAACAAATGCAGATTTATATTCCAGTGTCTCACTTTAATACATTCCAGTCCCATGAAGCTGTGATTTGTTCTCTAGTTGAACATGAAGGAAAACTTTTTGCATTCGTTATCACTGAGGTCTTTTAATGACTTTGATACAGATTTGCACTCGTACCCTGTTTCAGGATGAAGGCCATTAGAAATGCATTCCAATTTATAAAAACAAATACGCAAGCACAGCTCAGGATGGATACACAGCACTTGGGGAGATCATGAAAAAACTTAAAGTGCTTATTTAATATTGACTTACTTTATATACCAATGTGCCTCTATATAAATGCTGTGAAATAAAAAAGAAGGAGTAAATGTTAGTTGGGCAAGGCAAGTGGGTTATTGGGTTAAAGCATGTTTCAGAGCTGTGGATCTGTTCTCAACATGCTGCCTTGACGATGAAGCGATTTAGAAACACTGCCATCTGTGTCTGTGTCTGATGGTGTTATTGTATGTTTACAACTTAGTTTAAAAAAAATATGAAAGTTTTTATGTTCTGATCAATTATTGTATTCGATATTATATTAAAAATTACTCATTTGATCTAATAGTTTTTTTGTGTTCTTTTTTGTATTTATAAAATGTTACAGAAAACAAACATTTGGTCTACAGCTAACCTTTTTTTTCTCGTTTGCAAATGGGACTCAATTATTAAAATACTCGGTTAAATCAAAAACTGACCTTTGATGCGGTGTCAAACGCTTTTAGTATAACATTTGTCAGTGAACGTGCTCTCTAGCGGTGAGGTGGGACCGGCCAGCAGGGGGCGGTGACGTGCTCTGAGAAGAAACGCCTCCACAAAGAAGACGACCTGTGACGTCGAGCGTTCGATCCCGGATGTGGCCTCAACCATGAAGATGACGGGCGAAAACAGTGCTGGAGGGTCGGAAATAACAATGGACGATGTTAAAAACCTCGTTAAAAAGAAAGATGAAATCGAGGAACAGATAAAGGCTTATTACGACGTTTTGGCAGACGTAAGTTTGTTATCAAAGCAAACCCGAGGATACGGTCACTAGTTCATAACAAGCTAAACGTGCCTCTCTGACGTGATCGATACTTTGGGTCCACAGCAAGGTGTTGGAGTTGAAGGCCCCTTGGTGGACGCGGAGGGTTTCCCCCGAGCAGATGTTAATGTTTACCACGTCAGGACAGCAAGACACAGTATCGCGTGTAAGCAGCGGCGTGGGGTTGTTTTGGTGTTTCTCTGACAGCAGGGGGCATCGATCACTCAACCAGTAACCCACCTAAAAGTTACACAAAAGCACACTGTTTAATGTTTAGCTGTACTCAATAATAATCTTCTCATTCATAGCGGTATATATATTTCCATCGTGGTATTTGTGACACCAAAATGTAACATTTGCAACATTAAACGATTTTCAGATAATTTCTTTTGTTGTTTGTCAACACACACTTTCAGAAGACTGCATATTATGCCAATTCATTCAAGTTTGCATTAATACTGATTTTAAGATGATACCACCCTATATTTACAGTATAAAATGTAGTATGCCAACACGTACATTTTAGACGTACTGCTTATTGCTTTGATCGTGTCTTTCAGGCCTGCAGAACGATCACAAGGCCATCATGGAGGAGATAGAAGAGGCCCTACACAAGCTGCATGCTGGGGAGAAGGCCAAGCGGGGAAGGGATGAGGCTGGAGCCCAGGACGAGGCGATGGAGCAGCAGGTCACTCTTCCCCCTCCCTTTGCACGGGTGGATGCTGTGACACAAGGCTCGCCCGCCTGTGGAGCTGTGAGTGACGCGTCGAATATGCTTTTGTGCCACGTTGAGACCTAATTTAACCTCATCTCTGTTTTGTTCCAGAGATAATAGTATATTGCTTGTTTCTTTCAAAAGGGGCTCAGGGTTGGTGATGAAGTCATTGAGTTTGGTTCTGTGAACACGGAGAACTTTCAGAACCTGCAGAATATCGCTTCTGTGGTTCAACACAGCGAGGGTGTAAGTTCCTGTCACCACTTTGTTCATCAGACTTTTCTTTTTAATTTGAAAGAAATATTGTGGTATCACTTTTGTATCTTTGCCCCACCACAGGTTACCTTTTGTATCGCACACTTAATATATGTAGCGTTAACTGGATTATCACGTCCTCCTACAGAAACCATTACGGGTCACAGTCATCCGGGAAGGGAAGAAGGCGCAGATGAGCCTGACTCCTCAGCGATGGTCAGGCAGAGGTTTGCTGGGGTGAGTGCTACAGAAACTGGATCAGATCACTCAAATCTAGTTGATTGGCTGATAGTTAGAAACAGAGAAAGCTATGAAACCCACAGGAACAAAGCATATGTTTCTCCTGCATGTATAATTGAATAAGTACACCACATCAGATGCATGATTGGCAGGTGTGAAGTTGGGTCACATCAATCACTAGTCTTTCCTTGTTTTCCTCTTCAGATGCAACATTGTTCCGATCCATCGATGATCAACATGACACGCAGAATGTCGTTGTTCTTCATCGTGTGTTATCGCTGGGTGGTTTCAAACTGACTTTTCACACATGGCAGAAATGTCCACCGGTTCTCAATATCTTAAACCAAACTGGTATCTTTTTCTTTATATAAAGGCAATCTCCAGGATGGTATAGATGAAAATAAAGTGTTAAAGACGCTGCGCTGCATTTATTGAATGATGGCTGATCAAGCAATGCTTCATTAAACTACAACTACTAAAACCGTGTTTAAAAAAATGTTTGCATGGAGTTAACACTTCTCAGCAGCAATGATTTATGCTGCAAATGTCACCTTTGACAAATAATTAACTTTGCTACATAATCAAAGTCTAATTTTCAGCCAACATATTATGCAAGAGCGAAATCAAATCATGACCTCTTAGTAAGATAATTGCCAATAAGTTCAAAACATTATTGGTTAAATAGCTTCTGGACTTGTTGGAAACAATATTCACTGAACACATGAAGTAATTTTTTTTACCTCATCCCAAATCATTCAGCTCGGAATGAGGAAGAGCCCACAATATAATGACAACGTTGTACGAACATTTCAAAGAACGTTTTAATTTTATTATACAAAAGTGTACGTCACAAAAATAACCTCATTTACATTAGGTAGAGGAAATGATCTTAACTTATAAACATCTTATCTTGTGTATAATTGTTTCAGTATCAATGTAAACAGACCAAGACTTGAGAAAACATTAAACCAACCATAAGTTTGAGTGCATGTTGCATATCAACGTTTATATTTATTGAATAAACTTTTCTGCAAAACAATTTGTTTCTAGAAAGAAATATTTGACGGATGGAGTTTATGTATGTATATGTATGTACAGAGACTCCACATTAGTAAAGTCCGCATGGTCCAACTTCCCATAAAAACATTTCCAGGATGTCACTGAAGTCAGTTACAAAAACATACCAAACAAAATGTTAAAATCTGCTCTTAAAAAAGGAAACTGAATTCACTACATTATGTAGGTTGCTTGAGTTTCTTCTTCTTGGGTTTGACCATCTGTGGTAGTTGGATTTTGAATGCAGTTCTAAAAAGAAAAATATTTTAAGTAATGTTAATGGAGACAAATTGAAGATCAAATCAATCAATGTAGGATTCCAGATGTGCAGTCTTGTAAACGGTTTGTAGAAAAGAGGTTTCTGGCATGTGTTATTTCAAACACTTACTCGCAAGTTGTGCAGATGGGGCTGAAGTTGCAGAATACTTAAATAAGAAGACAGGAAAAAGTGTCAAAAAAAAACAACAAAAAACCCATACTGTAGCCACAGCTTTTGCCACTGATACAAAAGACAGATTATGTATTCTTTTAAAAATAGGACTCCGGCTTACTTGACAGACAAACAGAGCACACGTAGCCAATCTCAATGAGGTTACGGTGGCAGAAACATGCAGCTCTGTAGTCCACATGTGCAGGCGGAGGCAACACCAGCTGAGAGCGCTGCTCAGAGTCGGGCAGGAACACCCACTGGCCAGAAAACACCATCATCATCATCATCAACACGGCAGCTTTTCATTGTGTTTTCATAAAAGATATTCTCAGAAATGTAAAAATCTCACCAAAAGGTACTGTGCCAGTGCAACTTTCTGTGGTATCTTGAGGTACAATCCTCCAGTTATATCGCAAGCCTACGAAACAAACATCTAAGAAGGTTAATTAATAAGTACAGTTATAGAATTTTGAATATCCAAAACAAAGTCATAAAAATAGACCTGCTGAAGGAGACCCGAGTCAGAGTCCAAAACACAGGCATCAATCAGAATGTTCTGTTTTAAAATACAAAAAACAAATAGATTTAAACAGTTATGAAAATATAACAATAGAGCAACAGGAAAACACGAGCACGCTCAGGGATCGTACCTGCTTCTGGGCAGCAAAAATGACATTCATGAAGTTCATGTACTGGCGAGCACAGTCCTCTGCTGCTTTTATGACCTAACCGATGAAATACAGGCGCTGTGTTTAAAGTCACGCAATACAACAAAAGCACTCATTACATTAGACCGTTCAGAGCTTACCAATATTCTGGATTTCATCTCCTGTCCAACTAAAAGAGAAAAGGTATCATTAAGAATAATTGAAAAGGACCCGTGAAGCGCATCATTAAGCTTAATGGAAATATTTAACTACCATCAATCTCTTTTGACACCCTGTGAATATCTGAATGTCAAAGGATTAAGGAATTTGCAAAACACGTCCAACCCACTTGTTGCTGTGTAAAAGAAAATAATGAAAAACAATCTGTACACACTTGTGAGTGGAAAGTCTTAACAACAAACACCCAATTGTCAACATATAGATGGAGGTTCAGCAGTTAATTAAGGGAATGTATTCTTTTGTTAGTCACTTTGTTCATGATCATCTGGTCTTCACGTTTTTAAAAGTCTGTGTCATAAATGATAAACCTGTAAATAGTTATTTTCTGAAAAGGATACAGCACAGAGCTTTGGCAAGTGTTCCAGCCAACAAAGTATCAGTTGAATTTCCCCTCACTTCAGCTGTAATCACATAAGATGCATTTAAATATCAAGGAGTGACCCATACTTACTACAAAGCATCTTTAAACACCTGAAAAACACACATTGACTGCAAAGACAGCTACCAAAATGATGTGTGTGTTGAGAAAGTCCATGTACTAAATAAACAGCCCTGTTAATATTCTATATACATTTTATCCACACAGAAAAACACTTTTACTTACTTTTTGACATGACCTTCCTGACCTCTTCAGCAATAAAATTATTGGCAACTGCCAGGAGTTCATATTTTCCATCCCCACTGGAGTACGCGTCATCCCCACTGCTGTCCCCCGTTCTCCAGCTCTTACCGGGATACAGGAAATGACTGAAAAGAGGTAAATCAGTCAGATGTGCATCTGCTCATCTCATGGAACAATCCATTTTTGATCAACTGCTTAGGTATCTTTTCATCTTCAAAGCAGCTTCACCTCAAACAATCATTCAATCACACCTTTTTCTGTGGTTCGTCTTATGAGCTCCTGATCGGTTTTAGGCAAATTAAGGCCTCGAGTAAAAAAGACGCTCCCTCCCTTCAGTAAATGTGACACAACATGCTGACGTTACCTGTCCTCACCGGAAGGAAGGAAGGACGCAAGGTGCTGTGTGACGTTACCTGTCCTCACCGGAAGGGAGGAAAGGAAAGAAGGACGCAAGGTGCTGTGTGACGTTACCTGTCCTCACCGGAAGGAAGGAAAGGAAGGAAGGACGCAAGTTGCTGTGTGACGTTACCTGTCCTCACCGGAAGGAAGGAAAGGAAGGAAGGACGCAAGTTGCTGTGTGACGTTACCTGTCCTCACCGGAAGGAAGGAAGGACGCAAGTTGCTGTGTGACGTTACCTGTCCTCACCGGAAGGAAGGAAGAACGCAAGGTGCTGTGTGACGTTACCTGTCCTCACCGGAAGGAAGGAAGGACGCAAGTTGCTGTGTGACGTTACCTGTCCTCACCGGAAGGAAGGAAGAACGCAAGGTGCTGTGTGACGTTACCTGTCCTCGCAGTGGCTCGCGATCACAGCCAGCCTGCTCGTCCTCGCCATGGCCATGTAGGAGTTCCCCAGCACCATCACAGCATCCAGACACTTCGACAGGCTCAGCTGGGGGGTAGAGGGTCGTTTAGCCCCGGCACACATCTCAAAAGCCTCCAGTAGAGACGACTGATATTCGGGGGGCTCACTTACATCGGTCTCACGCTGAGCTTGCTGCCCCCACCAGATCGGATTTACATCCACAACGATGACCAGCAAGTTGATTTCTTCCTCTGAGGAAACGTAGGGAACCATTTAACGGAAACGGCTAACCAGCTCGTCTCTACAAGCGTAACTTTATTTCCATGAGTCGGACTAAAGAGAGACATCATTTAACTTACCGGATGCCATCACGGCAAGATGCTAGAACCCAAGATTGATCACAAAGCGATGACTGTGTTTGTCCTGGAACTTTATCTAACGGAGTTTAGCTTCCATCTCAAGGAGCGTGTCGAGGTCTAACGTCAGATCACCTGGCAACACGAAAAGAATCAGTAAGGACGGAGCGAGTGTTGTTTATTGTGGCGGAACACGTTAGCATCTCAGCAGCGACGTTGGTCTTCTTCTGCTCGTCCTATGGGGGTCACGTGGTGCACTGCTGCCCCCTGGCGTCTGTTCTCAGGGACGTAAATTCACATCCATGCAACTCCCACACGTGCTTTTTCACTTCATTAGAACAAATTAAAGATAAGTATTCAGATACCTAATGTAAGGAACTATAGTAATACGGAAATACTCAAGTAAAGGTAAAACAAGTATGCATTCAGTAGGACAGCTAAATAAAATAACTTTTCATACTTGGAGTAAAAATCTTGTTAAGTATTTGTTATGCAGACAAACAACCACTGTGATTGTGGTACTCATCATTGGATTGTAGTTCCAAAACAATGGTGGGAAAGGAGCAATTTAATGCTGTAGTTGATCGAGGTGGAGCTCTTTCTGACCACGTTTTATACGTACAGAAGCGTTTAGAAGCTGATCTAATGTGGTTGAAAAATCAGCAAAGTAATTGGATTGTGTTCAGAAGAATCTTTTTCTATTGAAAATAGTTCAATTTTATACCAAACATGAAAGGAAATCACACCTTCAAATTGGTTGAATGTCTTCAGTAATGCCCTGTTTTCTGGGCAAAAGCACAGTAAACACCACAAAACTCTAAGGATGTCCAACTGAGGCCCAAATATTTGCTCTGAAATGACACACATCCTGCAATTGCGGTTTACAGGACCATATTTATCTCTACCATCGATTGGCTCATATAAATCTTACAGGCGTATTGGCTTGCACACTTAGTAACATTTTTTTGACAATTATTATTGTGATAATCAGGTTCTGAAGACGGTTGATATGCTTTCCAATAAAATATAACAAAACTTCTCACTTGGTCCTGGAAGCACTTCAGTGCTTGTTGAGTAATCAATCACCTGAAAAAAAAGGTCCTTGAGTGTCTCTTTATTTCTTGGCCATGGCTGGTTGGCTGGACCTTGTCTCAGTCAGTCGTGTATCTCTCGGTCTGGTAGACATCCGACTCGATGGCCTCACTGGTCGTTCAGAGTTACATATACATTCCCGTTGACCTCAGTGACTTTGTGAATCCTCTGTTTTACCCCCTTGGAGCGCCATTGAGTTCTCAAAGGTTTGGCAGTAGGATCATCCACAGCTTGGTAAAGCCCTTCGCCTTCTGCTAGTGTGATCTTGTACTTGTGCCACGGACACACAATACACAGCCGCCCATTAAACTCCTGATGGTGGCACAACATGAAAGTGATGAGAGAGATAAGACCATAAAGCTATAAAGGAAGTCTTCCTTTGTACACAAGAAAACGTGAAAAGGACATTGCAACAAACTGACCAGGTGTATTATAAGCATTTAATCGATACTTTACTGCAACATGAAGAGAATATATAACTTACCTCAATGTCTCCGTGCTGTAATGCACCACCTGAATCTGTCAATGGAAAAAGTGTCATTATAGGCCTTAGTGACGAGCCATTGCAGAAAGTTGCATGCTTCAAAATATATTATGACAATAAATGTCATCATCTTTCTAAATGTTTCCACAGGAAAATATCCAGGAGGTGAGGACAGACAATTATAGCTCCCTGCATGTGTCAACACCAACACACAAAAGGCTTACGGTAGCAGCGTTGATCCATAGCATAAAGTTGCCCCTGGTGGAACAGAACCAGTATATCTCTGCCTCCATTCAGCATCTTAGTCACACGCCGCGCCTGGACAATGTCCTCCTTCTTTCCGATGAAGTGGGAGGCCGGAGGAGGTGAGGAGGAAGAGGCGGAGGAAGAAGGGGGAGGGGAGGAACGTGTCTCCTCCTCAGAAGACATTTTGATCACTACTTACATCAGGTGTCCTGGTATGAGTAAGAATATAAATGTAATTTAGTTGTGAGGATGTGATTGATAAAACTTTTTTTCAATACAAACCTTTTTAGACATAATTCACTTACAATGCAATTCACATGAAATAAAATGCAGCTGAAAGGTGTTCCAGATGTTTTCAACATATGCGCCTTTCATTGTCTCCACTTGTAATTGAGAGATGAAATGATCCATGAATATTAAAGCATACCCGTCTAAATATCCCTTTACATTGAAAGCTCGTATTTTCGAAGGATTCCAAGTTAGTTAAACCTAGCATTGCACAGCATTACCAATGCATGCGTGCGTCTTCAACGCAGCTTTATCGAGTTAATAATTAATTACCCATTCATTGCAAGGCGAAATTAAATCCGCGTACCTTTAAATGTGTCCAGTTTACTTATTTGACACCCCACTGCGTCCCTGAGCACGGGACAGATCTGGTAGCCTGGCAACGGATTGCGAATGAATTTGAATTCATGGTCTACGAATGATTGTCCGAGTGGTTACGTTACATCTGCAGTAAGAAGAGCATATTCCTTTGCACATGTAAGTTATCACGTTACCAACCAAACGCAGTTGAGGTGCCGCTCTAGTTCGAGGAAGAGCTAATGTTGTGTGTTACCTCCAAAGTTGTCCCCAATGAAACAAAGTCGGGGGAAAGGGATCCTAAGTCGGCCGCCCTACCCTGACTATACTTTTTAAACCAATTTGCTATCTGTCCACCAAGAATAAACAAAGTATCTATGTGTGCATTCACTGGTGAGATATACAGTACGGTAAGCCTACAAAGTTGACCAATGTCCTGTGTAAGATACTGCAGAGACTTGAGACCCATGAAGTTAAATGATGAAGATACAACACATTTATTGAATTCATTAAAACTACTTGAAATAGACTCCCACCCATCTATATATCTGCGTACTATATATCTATTTACATCTATTGATCCGTACAGATTGTTTTCATGTTTATTTTTCTTGGGGTAAACTAAATTGCCAGTTTAAAATGTAATTTAGACTAAGATTGAGTGCATATTGTCAATAGCATGCTCGATTTAATACATTAAATATAGAATATGCAAAATAGCTCAATAGTTAACAATCATAATACATGTATTTTGTCATTAATAACCCCATAAAATATATTTAGTCCATTGCTCATCTCTACAGTCTGTCGTGAAGCCAGTGGGGCAAATATTGGTTTAGTCTGAGAAGGCTTTTTGTCTTAGCAGGTTTGTCGGTGGGCATTAAGCCTCCTGAGGGATTATCTCTTTTTCTTGCTGAAGGAAGCGTTATTGACCGGCTGTCCTTCTGACATTCCACATCTAAATCAGATATAATTTCGCATCTTATTTTTCCCATCCAGACCTGTCCGTGCAGGAGTCGTTCTCTTCACCAACTGCGCGGAAACAACGCGCTCTCGTCGAGCAGTTTTCGTCGCTATGGTGACCGACTTTTGTGTACGGAAATCGTGATACTACTGACGCGACTGATTCAGATGAACGCATGTACTCATCTGTCCATCGTTGCTCAAGAGTCTGGAGTGATTCAGGTATGTTCTCTGTATGTTTCTTGCCATCTGGGGAAACGTATAAGCGTTATCGTTTCTCATTTCATACAGAAAACTATTCGTGAGGCAAAAGCATTTAATAAACTTAATATTTTCGGATGTTTATTCCATAATACAATATTTTAATAATTTAAAATACTCAACACATTTATTTTAAGGTGTGGGTTTGTAGTTGTATTAACAGACCCTCAACCCCTTTACTTTGAGCTCCGTGGATATTGGCCATAAGTGTCATGTACACTGCTTGTAATTCAATTTGCAGAATTAACAGTTGCTGACACTGTAATCCCAACAGGTGTTTGCTGTATGGACTGTGGTCCACCCCTGAGGAAATATGAACCTCAAGGAGGGTTTCATAAACACAACGAACAGCTCTCTCTCGTGCACATGAAGAGCGTCTCGTTCGAGTGACAAATGGCAGGACTAATGCAGCTGCCCGCCAATCGAGAAGTCGAGGAAGCAACACTTGCACGTCTCTGTCTGCTATATTTACCATCTTTGCTAGGACACATATTTTACATGGTTGCCCTGTGCTGCCATTGCTCCACCCAGACAAAGTATCAAATGTCAGCATCATACCAGTGTTGTGTGCTTTGCTTGATGCAGCAACTTTGCATCGTGGTGGCAGTAACACAGTGACCGACCAGACTTTTGGCCATCAGTCTGCGACAGGAATCACTGAGGGAGGAAACAGAAAAAGCAGTGTAGGGAGCTTGTGTAGTTGAAAATCGATTTTGTAGTTTGCAATTACTCTAGTTGTGGCCTGCATTCACGTCTTGCATGCCTTTGTATGACCAATTCACAGAGATGCTAAAGCAACATGTCTTCCACTGCCTGGGTTTAAGTGAGGAGAAGCAAAGGAAGGTGAGAAAGGGACGTTGAGGGAATGACACTTCGCCTCTATGAGTGTCTGAAGGCTGTCGGGCTGCACAGTCACTTTGCCAGGTAAGCTCAATAACGTGCAAACTCACAAATTGTCCTGCCCAGTCCACAGATCTTTCTTCTTATGTATCCTGTCCTTCAGCTTCACCTCGTTGGGTGTTCATCAGGCAGCCCACCTCTCAGATCTGACCATGGAGGACTATCCATTCCTGGGAATCCGCTCAATGGAGGACAGGACTCGGCTCTTCCATCTGGTCCAAATGCTCAAAACTCTTAACCTTGAATATGAAGATGTTGATGACGATGCAGATGCTGGTGACAAAGGCTACCCTGGAGCTTACCGTAACTTCACTGATGATAGCAGTGTATATCCTTGTGACAATCTATGTGCTGATGACCATGAGAGGGGTGCTGCTGTGAGCAAGCTAAATGCACCACATTTTTCCAAACCGTCACACGTCTGCAGGCGGCTTGATTTCAGTTGTGAAACCTTGGATCCACGTCTGAACCTATTCTCTTGTCCAGAAGAACCTGTTCATGTCCGTGCAAGTCATATTAGAAATATTGTGCCATGCCAGGGCAAAGGATCAGCTATACTAGTGCAGCTAGCCACTGGAAGTGGCTGCAAAGAGAAGAAGAACCACAGGATGGATTTCCATACAAGCATCAGCAACAAAGTAGTCGGGCAGAAAGGTAGAAAAGGAATCCTTAGGAGAGAAAACTTCTGCAGCAATATAAGAAATAACATGCCTACTGAACACAACACTAAGCCAACACCTGTTTATCAATCAAAGAGAACAGCTGGCTACAACTATGGACTGCCGCTCACTTCTCCTCCTGTTCCAAACAAGAAGTAAGTGGCACTGTTTTGTGTTGTCTTCACAGGTAACGCCCAGCTTGAATTGTGCATCTTATTGAGGACAGCCACAGCCAGTTGAAAACAACGTCTTTGTGCACGAAGAATATGAAATTTTATTCTTTAAGTCGTTGTGTCTCTTCTTTTGCATATGAAGCATCGTTTCCATTGCTTGTTCATCCTAAATGTGGATATTGTGTTTGTGTGTGTGTGTGTGTGTGTGTGTTTGTGCGTTGCAGTCAGCAAGGGGGGAAAAGGATCAGTGTGTGTCTGAGGAAAAGACCTCTGACAAAGGCAGAGCGCAGGAGAGGAGAGGCAGATGTTGTAACAACTCAGAGTGGAGAGTGTGTGATTGTCCAAGAACGTAAAGAGGCTGTGGATCTCTCACAGTACAAACTGCAGGTAGAGTGGTCGTTCAGAGAGGAGACAATGGCTTTGACTGTTTTACTATTACTGTCAGTACAACTAAATATAAAAGTGTCTCCAAATAAACACGTATAAAACTGATGACGTTGCAGAGGAAAGCCTCAAGATTTCTATCCTGGTTGACTTAAAATTTGTGTTTGAGTAACATCAAGGGAATTGGGCTTAGCAGTTTAGCAATATCAAATCTATAGATATATGTTGATACATGATGTTTTTAGAATAGTGTGCATATTTTATTTTTTGAGCGTATACAATGTATAAAAATTGTTAAACAACACTTTGCTGTGCGGAATGTTGCCAAAGACATTCAGTTTTGGTTTTGGTGTAAACATTGCAATACTTTTATTGGTCCAAAGAGTCGATAACAATGTGTCTACTTCCTCATTAGGGACATTTATTTATAAGATAATCTGAGATTGCCACTTTAAGTAATGTTTTTCATGATCGACACAGCAATTTTGTACTTGGTCACATGGTCAGATTATCATGATGTTTTTCTTATTTAATGCCTTGCCCCTTGCTCTCTTGTCACTGCAGCACAGGTTCTACTTTGACCAGGTTTTTGGAGAGGAGAGCTCCAACGTGGAGGTGTACCGGAGCACAGCATATCCTCTGGTACAACACATGCTCAATGGGTAGGTTAGCATTGACCCACCATCTCTTCCATTCATACACACTCAATTCTAAACGAGGCAATTTTGAGGCCGGAAAGATGCTTTTTTGGCTTTGGCTTTCTACAGATCTTTGCTCTCTAGCTATATTTGTTTGTTCTGTGTGTGTGTCCGTAGAGGTAAGGCCACCTGCTTTGCATATGGCCAGACAGGTGCAGGAAAGACTCACACCATGTTGGGTTCTGCTGTGAGACCTGGGTTGTATGCACTGGCGGTCCTCGACATCTTTGCACACATCTCTACCACTCATGTGCATTCACCCCTGCTGGTCTACGTCAGTTTCTTTGAAATCTACTGTGGTCAGCTGTACGACCTGTTGGACCACAGAAAAAGGTGTGATTGTATGATTGTTTGAGGTGAAGCTGCTTTGAAGATGAAAAGATACCTAAATAGCAGTTGATCAAAAATGGATTGTTCCAGTTTTCCCATAAACGTGATACATTTTTGGCAACCTCTCTTATCAAAGTAAACTTTTACGCTACCTGTATGTAGGAGAAAATGTATGAGATTTGATGCTTTCTTGACTTAATGTCTCTCTTTTCATTTCTTCCTTCTTTAGGTTGTTTGCCAGGGAGGATGGACAAAAGGTGGTGCACATTGTTGGGCTGTGTGATGTCCGAGTCGACTCAGTCGGCTCACTCTTGGAGGTCTCCCTCTTTCTTGACAAATAGCCCCGTGTCCATGTTTCGTAGTCAATTCAATGTATGGATTCATACATTGAATATAATACGCCTACCTAGGTTTTCATTTGTGTACAATCACCTGAGACTGAACTGAGGTCATCATGTAGCCCGCTGTGTTGCACCGCCATGTTTCTGCAGTAGCCCAGAAGATGCCAACAAACCACACATACTGTCCCCTTAAGTCTATACTGTTGCCACAAGAAAGACTTGAAAGTATACTTTTATGTACTTAGAAGTTTTTATTCTGTGTATCTTACAAAATATCTCTAGGATTTTGTGAAGAAACTTCACTTCTTGTGAAGAAACTTCTCCTTCCCTTCTGCATTCTTCATTTTCCTCACGCAGGTGATTTCGCGGGGTACAGAAGAGCGCACACAGGGAATGAGTGGCGTGAATCCCGTCTCCTCGCGTTCCCATGCCTTGCTTCAGATTCAAATAAGAGATGCAAACCAGCACATTGCTGGTAGGTGGGTGACAACATGTGTTTTATTCTGACGTCTTCCTTTTATTCTTCGAGCCCTGTTAGGGCGACTGCACAGTAGATCAGGTGAGCCCAACAGGGTTGGTGTAAAATGACTGAACTAAGAAAGGTGTTTGTTCCTGTAGAATGTGGTTTGTGGACCTAGCAGGAAGTGAGAAGGCATCAGATACCAAAGAACCAGATAGGCAGAGTCGTATGGAGGGAGCTGAGATCAACCAAAGTCTGTTGGCTGTAAGCTAAACACGCGCACACAGACACGCACACACAACCACCTACACACTATCAGACATCACACATACATACGAAAACGTTGAAGAAGGCTTAGGAGGATTTTACATATTTGCTTTTTCTCAGCTGAAAGAATGCATCCGGTCCCTCGATCAAGAGCAGTCGCACACGCCTTTCAGACAAAGCAAACTTACTCAGGTACTTTGTGTGTTATCGGTGTGATACATCGTGTTTTTATATCACGCTGGATGCTTTTGTCCAGTTTGATTGATAAACTCTCCCCTGCTTTGGAATGCATCGCCTCCCTTGCAGGTTTTGAAAGACTCGTTTGTTGGAGACTCAATGACATGCATGATTGCCAACATTTCACCAGGTCACTTGGCAACTGAACACACACTAAACACACTCAGATACGCCGACAGGTAAGTGTGCACAATGAGTGGGAATGGGATAATTGTTTTTGTGAAATATTTTGCTGCTGTTGTTTTTAATATATTTTTAAGTCCAATGTTTGGAATCATATTTTTGTTTTTTTATTTCATTAATACTTTATTCCTTTTCGTGCCATTGTTTACAACTCATCCCCTCGTATTTTTAAATAATTTTGATCGTGTTATGGACATCAGTGACTGCTATTATGCTTCCTTTTTTACAGGGTGAAGGAGTTGGGGGGACAACTAGGGCTAAGAGGAAGAAGAAGGGGCAAGCCAACACACTCCGCCCAATGTAACCTGTACAACAGCAGCAGCGGAAGCAACGTTGTCGGCACCAGAGGGAAAAGTCCCCCTAAAAAGCCAAATTTAGGGAGACAAACACCAATTTTTGCAGTCCCCACACCGACCACAAGGTTGACCACGGAGCATTCAATTCTCTGCTCCACACCCAAAAAAGGGAGACGGGAAGGGGAAACATGTCCAAGCACGAGAAAGAGGATTGGATTTGAAAAGATTATACCAGTCAGAGGTTTGCTGGGAATAAGGGATTCAATGGAGAGAGAAGGTCGGAGGGAAGGTTATGGAGTAACAGACAGCCTACACAACGCATATAAGAAAAGCATCGTGGCAGCAGAAGATGAGCAGATTCTCTTGAGGGAGGTGCAGAAATCTGAATTCAACCACAAAGGGACAGACAGTCATCGAAGCACTTGGAAAGGGGGAACAAAGGAAGAAAGAAGTTGGATGGAACAGGAAAGACGAGTGAAAACCAGTCGAGACACTTGTAGTAAGGAGGCCAGTCCAAGCGAAAGAGAAAAACAAAAGGATGACAAAAATAGTAAGGAGAGGGAAAGGCATCTGAGACAGTATCACCAGCAGCTGCAGCAGTTCATCCCTTCATCAGCTTCTTCATCTATTCATCTCTTGTCACCCTCTACTTGTCCATCTTTTTCTTCTTCTAATCAAGACTCCCTCTCTTCCTCTAAATCTTCCTGTTCCCCTCTCCAACAATCTTCCCGCTTATCAGTTTTTGACCTTGTATACCATGACATAGATGAGGTTTCACTCAGAGGTGAGTCTGGTTGTAACAATCAGGTGTCGTCTTTCTTTCCCAGTGGAGAGATTTGCTTACCAACTGAAACCTCTCCAAGCTACAGGGACGAGATTGGTCAATGCGGCTTGGCTAGTTTTGGTAAAAAGATGAGGGTCTCTAGGGAGGAAACAGGGGCAAAACTTGGACAACACAGTGGTAAACATGAGAACAGGTCCCAGAAGGAAACAGGGCAAGGAGAGGGACGACTAAGGAGGGAAGAGTGGAGGCCATGTGGCATTGAAGGAGCTACAAAGTCAGAGACGGAGCGTGCGAACATGAACACAGGTGCAATGCCAGCTGATGCAGAGGCCTTGGTGGTTGATGGAGTGTGGAGTGCCGAGGACCGGGAAGGAGCAGATGGCTGCGGTTTACTGCCCATACAAAGCAACATTGACACCACCCCACTTCACCCCCCGCTTGCTGAGTCATCCCGTCAACGAGCTCCGGCAGAACGACCCCTCTCCCCTGCCTGCGAACATGCCGACAAGCTCCTGACTTCGGTCATGCAGTCCATCTCATCCTCTGTCCAGCTGTCTGGAAACAGTAGTTCAGCAGGCTCACAGAATCTAATGCCATACGGTGCCACCCATGTGCCATCGGAATATGCAGGCAATACGCTCTGGAAACCTCCATTTTCCATTTCAACACAACGGTCAGACAGTGTTGGACAATTGAACGCCGTGCCGACGCAGTGTCACACAGTGCATTCAAATCATCCCGGCAACTCAAACGTCTCACTCCAGCAAAGCGGCTCTGTAGAATTAAATGGTCAAGGGAGCACCAGCAATCGGAAGATTACACCAATTTTCAATTTGCCTACGCTGGAAGATTTGGATGACGGGCGGTAAGTATAATAAATGTCTCGATGATGTTCCCCGAGCTGCCAAAGTGAGCGTTTGAGAGGCTGTTACAAAAGGCACCACTAGCATTAATCCAACTACCCATAATGATAATACCCGACGGAAACATTCACCTCTAATTACATGATACACCTGCAGACATGTACAGAAATCATACTGGCCTCTTTGGTGACAGAGTAAGAAGAATATTTTGTATGTTTCAATAATGAAGTATCACAACCTAAAAGTTACAGCTTTGATCAAATATTCTGTTTTTTTAATCCAATTTCAACTTTAGGTGGTGTGTCGTCCAGGCCCATTGGGAGCAGCTGGAGGAGATGGAAGCTTTATTTCGAAAAGACTCAACTCTTCTGTGCCAGCAACCTGATATGGTCAGAATTGATCAAAGACATATTTGTTTGCTCCTTTTTTGAAGACTAAATTTGATAATTAATTTAAATAGTCCCCGCTCTCTGCACACTGTGTCTCAACAGGCATTTGGGGAGTACGCTCACAAACTGGTGGATATCATGGAGAGAAAAGCTCGCTGTGCCCAGAGCATGATAACTCAGCTGCAGCCATTCCTCAAGCCGAGTCATTCTAAGTAGACACACGACGGGGTAGACGATAATAAATTGTTCAATTTATTTTTTACCGACGGCACTATATGCAATATGTATGTCAATATACAGCTTTTAATTTATTAATGTTCAATTGACTTAAACTGTCAGAGTTCACATCTGAAAAATATCAATTGATTTGTGTGACATTAAGAGGCCTGTTAATCAATGGAACTTGTAAAATATATGTTTTCTCATTGAGACAAAGAATATATTTTGGAATCGGATGTGAAACATATTTTCATTTTTAGATGTTGGTTGTGTTTCTTATGTACAGGTATGGGCATGTGATGTTTTCCTATTAGATGCTCATTGCTGTATACTGATTCAAAAGTTCGGCATATTTAGTTTTTTTAATCATCAATTATCATGTTCATCTTAAAATGGAGATGAGGTAATACAACTGTGGAAAGTTGGAACCCCTTGATGTTTGAATTTCCATCTGTAAAGCCCACTGTACATTTTTATTTAGCCTAATTCAACTGTGTTCTTTTTTTACAAACACAATCTTGGCCCAATCTTTGGAGTTTCTATTTTTTAGTCAGATAACTATTTTTCAGCTTTGAGTTTTCATAGTCTTTGTCTTAAAAGAACTACTGGTGTTTTCGCACAACAAATTATAATTTGAGACATTTTGGCCAGCTTTGGCATTTACTAAAATTCTCCGGAATGATGAAGCAAAACTATTATTTCTTAGTTAAACGAACTCAGGTTGAGTACTAAGCTGTTTACTTGGCATGTGAAAAGTATAGTTTCATCTTACTTGTAGAACTATTACTGTTCTTGTTTTCTAAAGCAATGAGGCTATTTGGTGTATTTCTGTTTTACAACATTGTATCTGAGAATATATGTTTTCAGAGTTCTAAGGCTTAAAGAAAGAATAAAATGTGTCTGATTTTCAGATAGTGTTCTGAAATATTTATATGAGCTGGTGGTGATTTGATGATTATTCATTTTATTCTGAGTGTGCAAATATACTGTTTTTAACCTTGTCCATTGGTTCAAATGGCCTTTTATTATGAAAATGTATATGTTCCACAGCGAGCATGAGAATACAATTATAATATGAGCCGCCAGCCTATAAAGACACTCCAAATTCAGTATTTCATCACTAGTTTCATACCACCATCATGAAACCCACTGAACCTGTTCTGGCTCAATTTGAAAAAAAAAGTCATTAGAAACTCCTTCTTGAACAACGACAAATACATTCAATCATAACTTGTCACATGTAGGCTTTAGCGGACCCACATCAGCATGCGTTTACATATTTGGGGAATGTGCTACTTGTGACAAAAGTACCACATAATTTATTAGGGAACTTTTCACCCGTTATTGGGGCGGAGGGGCTGGGAAACAGTGCAGTGAAGCGCGCCCCCACACGGGAACGCGCACGCAAGGCTACGGTGCTGAACCACCTGACCCGCTTCGGGGATTTTGGTTGGCAGCGTTGGCCTCGGAGCGTTGAACAACGGCGCGGTGGGTCACGTGACAGCATCTGCTGCTGCTGGCTGAGCGAAGCGTGTTAGCAGGTAAAAGAAAGAATAAGATGTGTTGTTCTAATGGGTTCCAGCCGAGAGGCCATTGAACGAACCAAGTGTCCTATAGTATAACGTTTACAATAACGTATGGAAAACGGATCAGTCGATTCAGAGAAACCTTTCGTCCTCTTGGGTGGTTAGCTAACTAACTAGCTAGCCAGCTAGCTAAGTCACCAGCGTTGTATCCGTAAGTTGCTCTGGTGCTGCATTTATTGTATGCAGACGGGCCGTTCACACGCCGGGCAGTTGGCCTGCTGCTAATACCTGTGGTAGCTTAACATGAACGCGTCTTTCGTCAACTTTCCATCCCTTTATACGGTATTGCATTCAAAGTACACAACGTCACCTTTCGACAGCCGTCGTGTTGATGTTGATTAAACACGCGACGATTGTCGCTTTAATTTTATGTTGTAAGTTTACATTTGATTTCGGCGTTTTTTATTGGTTAACACAAAGGGCACGTCGTCGCACTTTGTTTGTTTTTGTGTTCGTTCCTTAGGCGTTGGGTCTAACAAGAAGAACAACCTTTATTCTCTTAGGGTTTGACTAATTGTCTAGTCACTCCGCTAATATCTTGCCATTAGACGATGACGTTTTGTGAACGAGTACCGTGTGTATCGCTCGCGGAACAAAGACGAGCGGTAGCTAGCGTGAGCTAACGTTAGTTGACCTAGCTAGCTAGCGCGGATGTGAACGTTAGCCGCCACTCGTGTTTCCACCTCAGCTCCTTGAAACCTTCACCCTAAATATAGTTCACGGTTGTGTCATCGTCTACGTTGGCTTGGGAATTCATTTTAATAATTAATACTGTTAAACGTTGCGTCATACAACTGACCAAATGTGTGTATTCTGTTGGCCAACGATTCGATTATCAGACAATGATGACCACGGCCGATTGTTCTTATTTGTTTTGTTCCCATCCTGACATTGTAAATTGTATTATTTAAAACTAGGAACTGAATGTAATATAATCAACCCAGAGTACGTGTACTTTCGATTTCCGTACACACCGTTTTGTCTCTCACAAAGCCCAATTCCCTCTGCTGTTAAGTCAACGTTACTTATCACTGCCAAATAGTTGTTGCCTAACTGACTTCGTTAATGGGGTGAAGTGTTATAATTAACGGTACCACCGCACAGGCTGTTGCATACTTGCTGTGTGTTTGTGTGGGACACGGAGGGAGGAGTGTAAGGTGACACCCGGCCTGTCCCTTTTTGACTGGCTAAATTTAACCGAGTGTTGGGGGGCGACAGATGGGGGTTTTAGTCTTACATGGTACACTTGACAACAGTGAGTCTGCCGCACACATTCACTTCATTCTACTGGCATTAGACATTTATTCAGTGTTCTATGTGACAAGGAGTTGTGATTTAATTTAACTCCCAGGTATATGTGACTTTACTTTGCCTCTGTTCCCTCTTCTCCAGATTTTTTCTATTTTGTACATACATTGTTTTGTATATACTGTATATGATGACTTCAGTAGTCAGCAATCAAGCCCGAGGGACGCGGGACGGAACGGCGTCCACGACCACACAGACAACACAGCCACAAAAGGCCAAACAGGTGGGTTTTGATCATTGAGTTGCAGCCCGCACGAATAGTCCTGACCAACTTGAATAGTCTGTCCTTTTTATTATGTAGCTCACTAAACGGATTTAATCTCAGTTTTCATGTTCTTTGGATAACTGAAAGTACCTTTTTGGTATTACATTTAAAATATAATATCACCCCAACTTAAAGGTTGGGCAAATATATCCTCCATTGTATATGTGTGCAGATTGTCACATCTTTCCTTTCACATTTTTAAGTATCAATTAAAACACAAACTACAGTTCAATTAATTTAGCTTGTTTTATTTTCATAAAGATTACAAAAAAGAATTATATCATGCCCATATATAACTGCATAGTATCTTAAATAGTCAAACTATTAGGTGACTAGAAATGGCAACCATATTTGTTGCCTGGTAGCCAGTGTCCGTGTTCAGCACTTCTGATTTATTGTTTGAACGTGAGAGGAATCTTAAGTTCCTGAACTGTTTGTTTTACCAGGCCACAGCAGAACAGATTCGCTTAGCCCAAGTGATCTACGACAAAAATGATACGGATTTTGAAGACAAAGTCAAACAGGTAATGTGTGTGAGCGTACACACTTTAACACAATACATTCTCTGGTTTGGCTGCGTATCTTCATGACATTCTAGGATAATTAAGACCCTTAATTGCATCGAGTGGTGATCTAACTGGTTGTATTTTGGTTTGGCCCAAACACAGCTGATTGAGGTAACTGGGAAAGCTCCGGATGAGTGTGTGGTTGCCCTCCATGACTGCAGCGAAGATGTAAATAAAGCCATCAACTTTCTGCTGGAGAGCACCTCTGACACAGTAAGATTTTATGTACACATCCACAAACCGTACGCATATGTACATTTAATGCAATCAGTTTTTTGCAGGAATGAAAAAACACAATACAGCTGTACGTTATGTATTTAGTTAACTTTATTATGTGGCTTGCCTCCTCCAGAACTCCTGGGAGACTGTGGGGAAGAAGCGTACCCTGGGAAAAGAAGGAGGACCTTTAGAGATAAAGGAGAGCAGGGAGAAGAAAGGAGAGAGGGAGGCTAGTCGCGCACGTGGAGCGTCCAACAGGAGGGGACGAGGCATCAGCCGAGGGCGCGAAGGTAAGAAATGGAACAAATTGATGTCTTGTCTGGATTGCGTAAATATGTTTGTTACTTAATTCCTTTTGAAATGTCCCTGTCTGTATTGAAGGCATCTTGTCCCCAAGTTTCTTTAGTGTTGTATGGCTTTGTCATTCACCTTTCTTTTTTTATTTCTCCCACTTAAATATCTCAGTGGGTTTATTTCAGAGGGCTTTATCTGAATTCAGTGTTAATGAGTGTGTACCTCTGTTTCTTGTTGAATTGCAGGCCGGTTAGAGGAGAATGGGTTCGAGGTGGCTCCTGGAGAGAGAGGGGGAGACCGTGGACGAAGAGGGCGGGGCAGAGGTGAGCGACACAGAAAATCAACCTCTTTAATTGAATACTTTGGTCTTTTTGCTATACTGTAACAAAATATCTGAATGCTATTGGAAATGGGGTATCTATTGCATCCATGTATCCCATGCTATTGTCCCATTAATGTAAAGTCATTAAAAAAATGTTAGGCTAAAATCTTAAATGGCTTCTTTTTTACTAGATTTTGTTTCTTCATATTGTCTTTTTTGTTCAATGGGATATTTCCATAGGGAATTGTCTCTGGTGTTGATCTTTGTTTCACGATGTAGCTTGCAACATATCTATTTGTATCTACACGCATTTAGAGTATTGCAACACTCAACGTGTGTTGAATGAGCTGAGTCCCAGCAGCTGCTCGCGTATATGTATAGTGGGACGTCGTTGAAATTGGAGATGAAAAGGCATAGAATCTGACTATTTGTTTTGTTGTAAAACAAATGATCCAGTTTTGGGGAGGTCAAAAAAGGCCTTCAGATGGCTCGTTATACATTAACATTGAATAAGTGTAGGTATTCGTGTGGTAAAAATCCAAATCTTGACTTGAAGATGCTCTTTTGCTAAAAGATGCTTTTGCTAAAGCCAGTCTGTTCCCTTTAGTGGCCCATGTTTGGACAATACAGATATAATAATGTGATGACATTCTGATGTGGGTAGAAGCTCCTAAGAACTTCCACTGTATTAATAGTTTACTAATTGAACACAGTCTTAAAACAATGGCACGTTTTAGAAAGCGACTGTCTATACAAAACTACTATTCTCAGTAAACCTTTTGAAAGACTTCCTAAATGACACGTTTTTATGAAATTGCACTTTGTTGTTTCTTTGAGTTTGTATCCTTATGGTTGAAATGCACTTGTAAGTCGCTTTGGATGAAAGCGTCAGCTAAACTACACTGGTTGTTTTGTGTCCTCAGGGGCTGGAGTTCGTGGTAGAGGAAGGGCAGCTGCTGGCAACAGGTTCTCTTCCCAGGGAATGGGGTAATTGAATCTAAATCTTAATCCTGAATTATGATCTGGAGGTTGTGATGCTGATTACAAGCATATATCTAAAAAGAAAACATGTGGATAAATAGTTTCTGAACCTTCTCATTCGATAGCAACAGTGGACCTGATGGAGTACTTTCAATTTTACTTACGGTCTCCTCTTTCCTTTTGTCTTTTTTCACACTACTACTTTCAGCATCTTCAATCCTGCTGACTACTCGGCCAACTCCCGAGCTCGCCAGGATGCATGGGAGGGCAATGACACTGCTGAGGGAACTGGTAAAGAAAATTTGCGCTAGGGCTGCTTAATTGTCAGATTTAAAGTATTTCCCTACCCTTTTTGCAGAAGTATAATTATTGTGTTTCTATTAAATGATGTAGAGTGCTATATTTTGTTTCCATGCTTAAAAGTGGTTAATGGTTGCTGAACACATCAGTATTTGGAAACATTGCTACACTAACTTTGCTGCGGTTCCATTTTGTGTTTTCTAGGAACATGGGAAGGCAATGTGGAGGACTGGGCCGCAGAGGAATGGAATGAGGACGTAAGGCAAACATTTGAATCATCTGAAATGGGATTTATATTCCTTTTTAGCTTGAGGGTTTACAAAAGGTTTGTTCACTTGGATTGCTTTTAATCTGCACTGTCCGGGTTGGGACATGATCGGTTGGTCATATCAATGTGGCTCTTAATGGTTGTTCATGTACCATACGGCGCTATAAATCTGATGGATGCCTGTGTTTGCACTTCCTGTCTTTTTCAGTTGTCTGAGACCAAAGTATTCACTGCTTCCTCTCCTCCAGCGAATCACAACACACCTGGATCCAAGTAAGCACCCTGCCAAAGTCCATACCACTTAAAACAATACAGAGAACAGGCTTTATTTTTTATTTTCTGTGTTTATTTTATCTTCTTCCCACCTCCCCCACACACACTTCCTGGTCTGTTTGCGTCGCCTCAGTGTGGATGTGGCTTCAGGGATTTCTATGGACTCTGACATTGAAGCTGTAGTTGATGGACCCTCAGCTGAGCATTTGGGCCAAAGTCTGGTGTTTACCAATTCCCACCACAATGGACGCACTGCAACACACAGCTACGCACACGCCACAGCCAACAGCTATGCCCATGCTGCCTCTGCTAGTACCCACTATGCACATGCTGCACTGGTAAAGACACCCACACATGCACCTTTTACACACGTGCAAGTACCAGCAAACGCATAAAGGTATATGTGCCTGCACACTGATACTGGTGTATTCAGTACTTGTTCTGCTTTTCTCCTCCTCCCAGTCTTCAGTTCTAGGTTCTGGTTTTGGGTCCTTAAATGCGCCTAAGCCAACACCTACCTCCGACATCAGGACATCAGAGCAGCTCGGTCCGCGGCTCGGGCAGAGGGCCAGTCAGATGTTGGGCAACGGCAGCAACATTAGTGTTTCCAAAGATACGGGGGGGACGCTGATTCAGAACCCTGTTCCAGCGTTCTCTCCAGCTCAAGAAGTCAAAGCTCGGAGAGTGGAGGCTGGCCCTGTTACTGCCCAACATAGTAAGATTTAACTTCTCAAAGTAAATAACAAATACATGTCATTACTATTGAACTGTAAGTAACTGCTCTCACAGTGCACTGTGGTGCAATAGGTATAAATTAATACATATGCATCTCCCTTTTCTCCAGTGGATATGAAGCTTCAACCCGAGCCATCAGCCGTGCTTGGCCAGCTGGCTCAGCGGCAACAGTCCTCCATCCTTCCCACGACGGATTCTCTGGGCCTGTCTCGTGCTCCACAGGTGCCGACACCACCAGGTAGGGCTGCAAGACTGTCACACAATGCCAATCAAGTAGAGATGCACAGATACAATTGGTTACGGAAATTGAATAGTTTTAAGCTGACATGGCATGACATCAGTCATGTTTATTTTTTGTGTATATGTGCTCCAGCATAAGTTTTACGTTTGCACCTTACTGACTGTACATATGGAACTGAATCGGCGAGTCAGATTGTTAAGATATTGATAATTATATTTTGCTCCAACTATTGATTTTGTTCCTCCTAATGACATAGTTTATCTCCCACAGGCCATGAGTCCTCCTTCCCTCCTTTACGAGATGGAGCTTCTCCAAGAGGGAAGATGGCCTTCATGGATAATTCTATCACAGAACCCCCTCACCGGCAGCTAAAGACTCAGAGACGCAAAGTACCTCCTTCCTCAAAGGTAAGTTCTTCTGATATCTGAACCCCTCCATCATAAAACCACTGTGATAACCTACATGCCAAAAGAACAATGGTACTTGGTTGACGTTGTACAGGGTCTGTTGTCGCATAGTGGATCAGACAACCAGCAATATGTAGGACCTGTCGTATCCTGGACTTTTCTCAAATGTAGAAGCCATTTTTAAAAAATATTTTTTTTCCTGTCACTATAAGCATCTTTATCAAAGTGCCTGAATGAACAGAACTGACCCCCTTTCTTTTAGTTGACGCTAACCTAGTTAACAGATGGATTGGAGTACCCTCCTTTTTCAGAAAATCTATAACATGTAATTCAGGACACAACTACTAGCTGTTGATCCTCATTTTTTTTGCCTAAAATATACCGGTGCACACATTTGAGCATCTTGATAATGTCAATATTTTATACATGGCTCGGAATCAATTTAAATCTAATTTAAAAGTTAAAATTTGCAAACATATATCAAAAAAGTTTTACTTATTTCCTACTTTGTCTTCTCAGATCCCTTCGTCAGCAGTGGAGATGCCGGGCTCTGCTGATATACCTGGCCTGAATGTTCAGTTTGGGGCTCTTGACTTTGGGTCTGAGGCTGGTAGTGGAAGTGTAGACGTGGCACATACAGAGCCGGCCAGGGAAAACGCCCCGACTCAGGGCTCCGCTTCTGTACCCATGCCCGTTTCTACACAGCAGCCACAGAGCAGCCTGTTCTCCAAGCCAGGACCTGTGAGGTGTGTGTGTGCGCGCGCATGCATTTTTACATATTGTCTGTTCCACATTAAATCTTGAGCCATTGACGTCAATGTCAACGTCCTGCTTCTAAAACATTCTGTGTTCATCCTCGTTGTCCTGTGAACAGTGAACACATGAACAGCTTACCAATGGCTGTATCAGATCCCAGCTTCCCCTCACCATCCTTGGGTCTGCCTAGTGCCACGCCCTCCCCCTCCATGGGTCTTCCCAGTGCAGCCGCACCACCCTCTTCTATAGCCAGCCGCGTGGAGAGCAGTGGTCCAAGGTCCCTGCCAGCTCATCTGGGCTTCTCTCAGACCAAAGATGCCACCTCAGCTGCTGCCCTCACGGTGACTATTAACCTTATTTGTGAATGCATAAGTGACTCAAATGAAAATAGGATGTTGACCCTTGCTGATTCCCCTGTTAATTCTCAAAAAACACTGAATGCTAAGATTATTTCCTCCTCTCACAGAATGGCTACAGTGGCATGAAGACACAGAGCACACAGGACAGTGAGTACTCACCCAATGGAGTGGCCAAACAAGTCAATGTATGATAAATACTGAAAGTGTAATGGATCCTTTCAGTTTGATAAAGCTTTTGATAAACTTAGTTTTATTTTTTTTAATTTTTTTTATTCCTCCTACTCGTTTGTAACAAACAAAAGAAACGTACACCAAATTATTTTTCTTTTAAAACAGCGTCTAGAACAATCAAAACAGAGTCTCCCGTGATGACGAGTGACGCTGGCCACCACATCCCCTCTCCTGCACTTACACCATCCCACTCAACGTCCATCCCCTCGCTCAGCAGGTACGGGACGCTTCAGACAGTGTCTTTTTAGATTCCAGATTGATTTATTCTTTTTGTTTGTTCTTTGTCTGGAGATGATGATGATTACAAGCACACATCCTAAACATTTTATGTGGAAACTATTTTACTGAATCTCCTGTCTTTGCACGTTTTTCCTCGTTGAAGAAAGTATGTCGCTTGAATTTAAGCAGGCTGACTAAATATTTTTACACTCTGTAGTCATGTGACCAGTGCCCACTCAGCAGGCTCCGCTCTCGCCACAAGCTCCTCCCACACGGTAAGTGTGTACATATGTGCATACAGACCCAAACTTAATGATGCATTCCTCTGCAGTTGTAATAGAAGGATATAATGTATTTGCTGAAGAATTGACACTTACTATTGTGCATCTGGGTTGTTTGAGTTCAGACTTTTCTGCTAATCTCTGATGCTTTGAGAAAAGCGTACCTATAGAATACTTGCTGCTTCTCTTCTCACACAGCCTTTCTGTTCTTGTCCTGTGACCATCAGATGAGCAACGTAGAGCACATCAGTGGCAACCTCCATGCCTTTTCGTCGTCGTCCAGCCAAGTTGTTGATTCAAGTCCTTCAGCTCACCTGGCCATTAGCGGCTCAATCCCCAATGGTCTGCACCCATCTGGAGCACCTGGATTAACTCCTAATGGGACGAACCCCCAACTCTCTGCTGCAAGCAGCCGCACGGCACCCCTGCTCACCACAACTTCTGGTAGGCACACGGATTACCAATAGGAACTAATTTACAGAAGATTCTTTGAAATCATAGCATCTTATACTAATACAATTGACCACCTCGCTAAATCGAGATGTGCGTTCACACCAGAAGCAAAGCAAATTTTTGCCGTTTGCCCATTACTACCTGGCATTAGCACTTGCTGAAAGTGTACTCTATGAATATACATGCTGTAACCGTGGATGAAGGCCTACCTGGCTTTACAGGAATAATGTCATCCATAATCGTATTGTCTTTTATCTCAACGCCAGATGATGTGGTTGTTTCTTTCCCAAAAGTTTGGTAACGTGTGTTTAGGAGTGCAGTAGGTAACACTGTGGGTTCCATGGTCATTTTAAAGATAGATTCCTCTTGAGCTTTTTTGACCCTCATAACTGCATTACGTATCTGTACTGATTCAGCATAATTGCTTACAAAACCAATTTTATGTCCGTATATTATGTCATGTCAAAATAACTATGCTCTTTACCAGGTAAAGCTCCTCCCAACTTGGCCCAAGGAGTGCCACCTCTCTTGGCCAATCAGTACATCATGGGCCCTGGTGGCTTGCTCCCTGCTTACCCGGTAGGTACACATTTAAAAAAATGTATTTAAATAGAATTTTGATTTTACAAATTTGAGTCTTATTTTTTTTTATCAGGGAAAGGTGACACATTTGCATCATAGCATATTAGCATAACCATGACTATTGAGCATTCTTTAGATTATTATAGACCATATAAATGTTTTTTAATTAGCACTGCCAATTTTGAAGATTTCAAATGTAAAAAAGCTGTGAGCCCAGTGTTTATGGTTAGTGGATACTTCTAATTGGACTATTATGGCAGCAAGTTCACTCCTTATTTGATTGTCAGTGTCGATGATGACTGTGTTTTAGTAGGTTCTGATCAAACATGATATCTAACTAACACACTGAGACAATGACTGAGGCTTATAATGGGTGAAGCATATAAATGAAGTTGAGCTTGCAGGCAACAGACAATCTAGTTGCTACCTAATTATCACTGATTCGGCTGTTTCAACAGCAGATCTACGGATACGAGGATTTGCAAATGCTGCAGTCTCGCCTTCCTATCGTGAGTCATATTTTGTCCTATACCTCATGTTACTGTGGCTATATTATTCTGGTAAACCAGTGATGGCCTTTTGAATTTGTTTCCCTGTATGTTACACTACTGCTACCTATTAGTAGGCCACTCATGATTTGCCCTCTTTTTACACAGGATTATTATGGTATAACATTCCCTGGTACTACAGCTGCAATGCCTGGAAGAGAGAGCCTGGCCAATAATCCATATTCTGGTAAGTGATTGTTAGTTGCTGAGTTTATCTACTGCGTTGGTTTTGCTCAAACTTAGCAATCTTGAACATTACTATACTTCCCATCTATTTTGTCATCAGTTTTATCTTCTCTGCTGACATTTTTTCTTGTCCAGGTGAAGCAACAAAGTTTGGCAGGAATGATTCGTCATCTCCAGCTCCCCAAACCAGCATGTCTGCAGCCGGGGTGCAGCCTCAGCCCCAACAAGCACCACAGGCAGGAACACAGGGGCAAGGCCAGGGGCAGCAAACACAGAACCAGGCCTTCCTCAACCCCCCTCTGCCCCCAGGCTACGGATACACAGGTAAGGAAAAGTGTAACGTGGAATGAACATGATGTTGTCAAAAGTTCATCTTGGCCTGTTGTTTAAGGCTTCTTAAGTTTCTACGCTCTGTAGTCAATTTGTGCAGACTGTACCCATGACACTTCTGTACTTGAGTGCCTTTCTCATCATTGATGCTTGATTACAGTTGCCAAGAGCTCATCTTTTTTTTGCACTGGAAGAATTATTTCTTTTTTTTTTTACATCCCAACTTTACAGGTCTGCCGTACTATGCTGGTGTCCCGGGGGTTCCCTCAGCCTTCCAGTATGGCCCGACCGTCTTTGTGCCTCCTGCTTCTGCCAAACAACCTACAATGGGCCTGGCCAATCCTTCCAATCAGTATCACCAACAGCATCAGCCCAGTTACGGACAGCATGCATATGGCGCAGGTAAGACCAGGGCAAAACCAGACTGCTGTCTCTTTCAATGATCTGATGTTTTCAAACAAGGGATTTAAAAGTTCCCACGTGGATAATTCTATTCATTAGCTTCCATTCAGCTTTTAAATTGATATGAACTATGACAATACAGGCCAATATTAAATAATGGTACTCATAGAAACTTGCCACAAAAACTATCCCCGGCGGCTTGATCGACTTCTAGTTATGGGGACATTAAGTGTTTGATTCTCAAAAGTACACAAGCTGTCTGTCATGAAGAAGTTCGAGACTTCACCAAGAATGACAGGTAACATTTTTTTTTAAGAGTAAAGGTATTGCTATGTTGAGAGGTATGTGGCATTAAGCAACATGTAGACAGTGTACAGGGAGGCAAAGATGGATTATATTCCCTACAAATTTTAAACATGTGCACCAGATGTTGCATGTGTGTGTGGAATCAGGCGTGTGATTTTTGCTTGTGCTGCATGCGTAGCTCAAACCCCCCCCGCTGAATTTGGACCTTGCTCAATATAGACACAGCTCCCGTATTAGTCAGGTTACCTTACTGCCTCTCTCTCCCCTGCCCCCTGTCTTTTCTCCTGCCATCCTCTTCTCTCGCCTATATCTTCTCCTCACATCCTGTTTGCTGTCTTTCACCTCCTACCCCACCTCTCTATCTCCTTTGCTCGCTGTGCCTCCTTCTTTTTATGTACTTCTCCTCCTTCAGCCTTTGATGACCTGTCTCAAGCCCACGGTGGGGAGTACAGTAAGGGAGGGTACGGAGGCTCTGCCCAGTCACAGGCCAAGTCAGCGGGCAGCGGCCCAGGGAAAGGTACACGCACAACACAGTCAAAGTTGGCAAGAATCCCTGTTTGAAAAAAACGGATGTACTAACCGATGATTCTGCATCCAAGTGTTCTAGAGAGAGGTGTATAGCTGCACGATGATTGCACGTTGATGTGTACATAAAATAACAAATACTTGCAAAAAGGTGACAAAGTGAGAAATAAGCACCTCCTCCCTTAATACGCTTTCTCCTACTGGCTGGCCTCCCTCCTACTAACAGTGTTAAAAAAATCTGTGAATTTGGTTGTACTTCTCCCTTAACTCTTTTTCTTTCTCTTCCTTTTCCTTACTCCCTTCCACCTACCATTCCAATCGTCTTTTTTTTCTTTACCACTCTTCTATTCCCTCCTTTTCATTCTCGTCTCAGCACCAGGACTGTCAGGGTCTGGTACCAGTGGAGGAGTATCTGACATGGGAGCCTCAATCTACAGCAAAACTCAAGTGAGTGGATGTTCTGTTGAACTTTAGTTAAATGTGCATTCAATTTATTTCTCAACCTGTTGTACGTGCATGTATGTAATCAAGTTGCCCCGTGTTCACATTTTTACGCTTTTGTGTCTTCTTTGGTTACCCCCAGTCCTTTGACAAGCAGGGCTTTCACACAGGGACACCACCTCCCTTCAACCTGCCTTCGGCGCTGGGGGGAGGAGGGCCCCTGAACCCTGGTGGTGCTCCCGGATATGCCCCTACTCCCTTCCTGCACATCCTGCCACCGCACCAACAGCCCCACTCTCAGCTGCTGCACCATCACCTGGCGCCGGACGGACAGGTAAACCGAAGGGATTTTGCATACATCACATTCTGTGCACATACGTTTGCATAAAGTTTGTCGATTTCATTTGACACATGTGTTTTCCGATCGGCTGTGACCATCAGATTTAGGTGGCCAAACAAACACGATTGCTCCTCTGCACTAACTTGCTTGCTGTAATTAATGTTCACCAACTTAATAGGCCTTTTTTAATTATTAGTCCCACAAACATTTTCACCTAAAGACGCAAAAATTCAGGGACTTAAGACTTGGCAGTCAACACACATTTGCATAGAAGCATTCATCAACTGCAGCAGACTTGTAAAGTGTGAGAACCCTGAAAAGGTTCCTGATAGCGTTCCTTCAACTAATCAGGCCTAATAAATGTGCTGAGGATTTCAATTAACGTGTAAGGTAGACTCATTGTTTTAAACATCAGTGGCTTACTGAACTTTATTTTTTCTGCGCAGGGTGGTCCTGGTCAGCGCAATCAGTCCAGCAGCATGCAGCAGAAGACCCAAGGCAGCAAGTCCAGCTATGGCAGCTCCCCCTACTGGGCCAACTGAGGAATGCTTCCCAACCCTCACTCCCCCAAAAGGCTGTGTGTAGGCGTGTAAAGCTAAAACAAAAAGAGACACACTACCCTCACAATGAGCACCCCGGGCCTCTGCGCCCTGCTCCCCCACCTCCACTAGTCCTCATCCTCAAGTCTTTTGGGTTCTCTTCCCCCCTTTTCAAAATTGGTTGTACATGGAAGATATTTATGTATATTCATATATATATATTCATGTACTGTATATGTAATGTAGATCATGAAATGTGGTTGCTGCATTTTATTTTTGAAGGACTTTTGGTTTACTTTTTCAAAACTGCAGGAAAAGATGTTCCATTAAGATAACAATGATAGAGTGATTTAAATAAAATAAAATCTAAAACCTCCCTTAAACAAGAAAAGTAAGAGCTATAGCACTGATTGTGAATGAGGACATTTCAGATGATGGGGGTGGGGGTTTATAACAACTAATTGCATCTGTTTTGTCTTTTTTTTTTTTTTTTTTTTATACATAACAGGCTCATCCCCTAAACTTCATTTTGTATCTCCCTATTTCCCCTTATTGACTCTCTCCCTTCTAGAGGGCTGCTGACTCCTTGTGTCAACCCTTTACCTTTAAAGACAGACTTGCCCATCTAAATTTTATATTTTTATTTTTATTTTAACCCGGATTTCCCTTGAAATAAAAGTTCTGAGCAGATGGAAGTTTCACTTGACTTTCTGTATTTGTCTATGCATGTTTTGTCACATGGGCTTTCTTAGACTGTTCTTCAAACCTTTTCTGGTTTAATTGTCATATAGCAAATAAGTATTTACACATGGAGCAGATAGTGATCATCCAATATGAACCATTCCCCACACACATTATCCAAAGCAGATAAAAACTAGAATGACTTTTTTTTTTTAGAATAGCTGCAATTGCATGTTTATGGTTACATAGAAACCTTCACTATGGGTTTCTATAATTATGTAAAACTGACACAAATGGGTCATTACGGAAAATAACAATTTGCAAATGACATGTGTCTTGCTCTAAAACCAAATCTAGCAAAAGCAATTCAGGTTTGTCAGCAAAAGAAAACGATCTACAACTTCTGTTTATCAAATACCTGAGCAAATTCTCGGTCGACCGGTTGCAGAGGATAAACTCTTGTTTGATAATTGCGTTAAAATTAAATTCTAAGCTGATCTATTTTATATATAAAATATATATTTAGCGCTGCAGTCACTCTGGAGTGTGCCGTCTAGAAAGTAGATCCCAATTTTGGTTAAATTTGAACATTTTCAACGTTTGAAATTTTGCATGTAGGTAGTTCCCTGAAACGGAATTGAGTATATTCTGTAATCCGATTGCCCGTATGGTCCTTTAAGCCAGTTGGCCATATGGTGACCCAGCTTGAGTGAGATGCAGGGACTCCGTCATAAAACACCCGCTTTTCCAATGAAATGAATATTATACACTAAATGAAAATGATGACAAAAATGAATGACAAAAATAATTTTGTTCTTTGAGCATGACATCATAGCAAAAACATATCTAGTCCCTTTTCAAATGTACTTTATCCTTATTTTCGAACATCACATGCATTCCAAATAATACCACGGTTGTGCACTTGTACAGGATATTTGAAGGCAGATAAATGGAGAAAAATATGAAACTCACCTGCGATCTCCATGTAATCTTTTCAGTCACCACAAGATGGCAATGTGTAGATATCTCATACGAACCCAATTGTTTGGTCTGCTCTAAGCAGGAAAGGCCATATCAGTAATGTCTTCTTTATAAGCTGTAACATAGAACTGGGCTCTAAGTAAATACCTGTGAGTCATATTTTGGGAGCAAGAAGGTTTAACACACAGGCAATTAAAAGACGCCATGTAAAGAGGTCGTGTAAACCTGTCAAACAAATACAGTTGCAATCAAAATAATTCGACCCCCATTTCACATTGGGTTAATTGGCAAGATTGACATTTTCACCAGCTTCTGACAGCCTTTTACTGAGAGTTTCTGAGCCCATTGCTCATGGGCAAGGGTCTCCAGTTGAGTCATATTCTTGGATGTGTCTTATGCCACCGCCGCCTTTGAATCCCACCAGAGATTTTAAGGCATGCTTGGTGTCATTGTGCAGCTGGAAGGTCCAAGCTTCAGCTTCATCACAGGCGGCATGACGTTTTTTTTCTTCAGGTTTCCTGATACTTGACCATCCATCGTTCCCTCCACACACAGTGCCAGAGATGCTTTTCATGCTTTCACTGTTCTGACGCAGACAGCTGATAAATTGTACAATTTACTAATAAGCTTCATACGCAGTGGGGGTTAAATTAGTTTAATTGCAACTGTATGTGTTTAAAATGTCTAAACTTGAGATGATAGAATCCCACATTTTTTACGTGTTTTGAACATTGTGTTTTAATTGATAAACTACGGCCCTACTGATGGAGTACTATGGAGATTGCAATTCACATTTCCCGCAGATGCAGGAGAGCAAACTTTCCTTATCTACACTACTCTCTCAGTCTCTGCCTTCTTCCATCTCTTTTCAGAAAAGGTAATGTGTACCTCCAGAACAGTCTGAATGACACTGGCATCTGGCAGACAAAGGGTGAAGAGAAGAAGGGAACGGTGGTTATTGGAGGGTGAGATGTCCTACAGGGAGGATGGAAAGTCAATGAGTGGCAGGTGCTATTGTAGCCTAAGGGCAGCAGCCTACAGCTACAAGGTCATAGGTCAAAGTGAAGTTGAAAGGTCAACATTTACTCCCAGGAACATTGGCCAATGAGAGGTACAGATAAGGTGGTCCAGAGAGAGAGAGAGAGAGAGAGATGAGCCCCAGGAAAAAAATGAAGGAAAAGAAGGAGCGGTGTTAAGATGTGAAGAAAACTTGAGCAACAGACAGCCTCTAAAGAAAAGAATAGAACCAGATTTTTTTTAAGATACAGGCAAAAAAGAGAAAATTTGGAATGCAAAGCAAAGCAAATGATTGAATCCAAATACCTCGAGTAGAGGTGTGGAGAAGAAGGGATGGATGAGTAATCATAAGACACACGAGGGGCCCACATGAATGATGCCGTCTTAATGGGACGAGAACATGGTGTAGGCGGTTCTCTCCTACAATCGTACGGCTTGACACTGAATGAGCAAATTAGCCGTGTCCTTAGTGAAAAAGGCTAGTTGGCTGCAGTCTCTCATTTGGAGTCTCCCATTGTTTTGTGTCATGGGGGTTGTGTGCAGTTTTGCAGTGTTTGGCCGAAACACGGGATGCACCCTGTTATTTCATTGAAGAGGCACAGGAATGCACACAGGAATGCCCCTCAGACTGTTTGTTGACACTCCTGACCGATCCGCTCTCAGATGTTGACAAAGACGTTTTGTTGGGGTTCACTCGGGTTCACTCCCTGGAAAATCTCGGGGGGCTGTGAGGCCGACACACAGGGGGCCCTAGTTCTGGAAGGTGGCCCCGTGACCTGGGTACTTGATTTGGATACTCAAATCGATTTCTGCTGTGTTTTGTCTCCTCTTTTTTATTCTTTAAATTACAAGCCCCTCAAATTGGCTGAATGGGGAACGATCACTGAGTTTTCTTTTGTTTTTGTTTTTTTCAAATCTTAACTCCCTTTCATCTCCATCTGGGGAATCACGAGATGTTCTTGTCCCCCCGCTTGTTGTGAGATGCGACAGCGGGGTCCATTCAACGAGAAATTGGCTGCAATTAGTGCAATTATGCTGATTTTCACTTGTGTCCCATGCAGAACAGAGTTTTTGCTGTGCACAAAGACATCCCCGGGAAACTGCTGCAAAACAAAAACCCATCAATCAACAAAGGCCTTGAATGAAAGACTCAACTGCAGATAATACCAGCCACATTCCATAATGACAGCATTTAGTCAGCTGTGACCTGTGTTGCAATAAGGGGCATGACATCTAGAGCTTCACTGATTGAGGGGAATATGCAGTGCTGCTTAGAAGGGCAGAAGGATGCATGGCGGTGGTGGATGTAGATCCGAGGGGAATAGTGAGGTTATCTGTGAGGCGCGTTGCTACTGTGGTAAACGCACTCGAGTTCATGTTCAAGATTTTGAGCAATTGACACTTGAGTAAATCATGACTGTCACAACCATGAAAATTATCTGAATGCAGTTGAAAGAGGGTCCAGTGTTTTATTGGAGAAAATAATAATTGTATGTTGTATGACACGGAAAAACACCAGATCCTTATTTCCTCCCTTCATGAACTTGGTGTCTCAGGCTCTGCTCTGTTCCTTCTCTCATCCTGCCTTGACGGACGAATCTACCTTGTAACCTGGAGAGGATCTGTGTTGGAACCCTGTCCTCTTACTACTGGAGTTCCTCAGGGTTGCGTCCTGGGTCCCCGCCTCTGAAAATCAACCCCGACAAGACTGAACTATTTTGCTTTCTGGGGAAAGACTTTCCTAACCAGGACCTGACTGTTAACTTTGGCAACTCTATGTTGACGCTGACTTTAAACGCTAGGAACCTCGGCGTGACACTCGACAGCCAACTCTCCCTGACTCCCAACATCACAGCGACACCACGATCCTGTAGATACTCGCTCTACAACATCAGGAGAATACGTCCTCTTCTCACTCGGAAGGCGGCGCAAGTACTGATTCAGGCTCTTGTCATCTCTCACCTGGACTATTGTAACTCTCTCCTGGCAGGTCTCCCCACCACCGCCATTCAAACTCTGCAGCTCATCCAGAATGCAGCAGCTCGCCTTTAACCTTCCAAACCTCTCCCACCCTACTCCACTCCTCCGCTCTCTTCACTGGCGGTGACTGCCCGCATCCAGGTCAAAACATTGGTGCGCACGTACCGTGCTGTGAATGGATCGGGTCCAGTCTACATCCTGTCAACTGTTTGTTCCTCCCTCACTGAGAGCAAAACTATGGCAAGTTGTTGTAAATCAGCTTATTTAATGAAATTGCACTTTGTTGTTTCTTGTTCTTTTGAGTTTGTATCCTCATGGTTGAAATGCACTTATTGTAAGTCGCTTTGGACAAAAGCGTCAGCTAAATGACAATGTAGTAATATTTGATCTAATAGTTTGCGCTTGTTTCCCATTGGATAATTACTGATGTGGAGGTTGTGGTTTACCTTTACATTGGTATGTCTATGTCAATATTGCCCAGGAGACTGACAATGCTTGCATTCAACAGCAGAACTCAACCGAGGAGCAGTATCCAAAATGCATCCACTTGGTAATTCCTTGACTTATTAAATATATTTATTTTAGGGAGAAAAACACTACTGCTATGCATTTGTGCAATTTTTATCATCTATTAAAATGTGGCACACTTGCAAACACATACATAACTCAGCTCAGCTGTTTTTATTCTGCAAGATAACAAACTCCTGCAAGAAACGCATTGACTGGACCAAACCCCCATGATACAAGTATTATTTTAAAACATACAAGGTTAAAATGGTAAGAGCAGGGTCAGCGTAAAGCTACAGAATCAACAGTTTTAACCATAATTGCAACCTCATGACACTTGAGTCGCAATGTCTCCTTTGCTCTGGCAGCTGTACAAATTGTTTTTTCCTCACGTTCAATTGAGCCGGCTGTCAATCAAAATGAAGAACGCTTCCTCAACACAATCTTACTGGACGTTTTAAAATGTTTAATTCTTTATTTTAAACAAGGGGCTCTACTGCAGTATGAGCCCATGACCCTAACCCCCTCCGCCCCCCCCCATGCCCCGTGTCAGGTGGACGGCCGGTCGGTCCGCGGTGGCTCCGAGTGGAGTGTCTTTAAGACCCAGCGGAGCTCGGCAGGGAAACCCCGCGGCTCCGGTTGTTTCTACCCTCCAGAGTGTCGGCTAGTTATTTGCGGGGAGGCGCTGGAGCCATTTCGCCACATGAAAGCCCGACGCGCCGAGCCACCGACACCCGAGTCGCTCGCGGAGAAGAGAAATCCGCTTTTGAGGAGCTCTGCGCGCGCGCGCGCGCACACGCACGCGAGCTCGCGCGCAAAGACGCACGGCGCGCATTACACGTATTACGCTTCCTCCTCCTCCACTGTGGAAAATTAGAAAAAAAGGAACTCGAAACGCAAACTTCAACTCTCCCATGTGGAAGGCAGGGGTTTGAGGATAAGGTACATATATTTTTCCTCTCCCGGGCTCCGTCCCCCCTCCCTCTCTCCCTCTCTCTCTGCCTCGCGTCTTTATCGGTTTTCCGCCGGATAGCTGTGCTTCTATGAGAGTGCGGCTCGGAGAGAAGAGAAGTTTGGTTGTTTGTCTGGCCGGCTGAGGAGGAGGAGGAGGAGGAGGAGAAGGAGCGAGGGGGGGGAGAAGACGAAGAAGAAGAAGAAGAGGAAGAGTCGGGTTGAAAGTGGGTGAAGATGGTCCGTAACGCGGCGTGGAGGAGAAGCTCGCTGTGCGTCCTGGCGCTGTGTCTCAGCGTCGCGTCGCCGCCGTGTAGCGCTCGGATTTACACCAACCACTGGGCGGTGAGGATAGCCGGCGGAGCCGATGTGGCCGAGCGGATAGCGGATAAATACGGCTATAGGAACATGGGACAGGTAGGTCGCCCCCCCCCGCCCCGTGCGTACTGTTTTCTGTTCTTAGTCGTTGCTTGTTTTGGGGAAACTGTTACAAAAAGTAGAGCATGTGTGCTGCCTGTTATACTCTCACATGTAGACAAGCGATACAAAGTCTCAACCTCGGCCACTGCTGTTCTGCTGTGATACTCCCAGCTGAGTCCTTTCTCTCTGTAGATCCGTGTGTGTGTGTGTGTGTGTGTGTGTGTGTGTGTGTGTGTGTGTGTGTGTGTGTGTGTGTGTGTGTGTGTGAAGCAAGGAGAGAAGCTGAAGATCCAGAGCAGGATGGCACAACAGGTGTCTCCTCGCGGTGCTTCCTTGGGCCGTGTTCACTCCGCAGGGCTGGAGATTCACCAGCAGCCTCAAAGCCACAGCGGTCTCGTGTGCTTGGTGCTTTTGACACAGAAGTGAGACGGCTGGTGGGTTTGTGGTCTTGGAATTGACATCAAAAGATCTCCAGTCAAACAGATTCTCTTGTTTTGTCTTTTTATCTTAAAAAAAAAAAAGGCTTTACAATTGCTGTGTGAAACTGACTGATGGTGCTTGACTTGAACAAACATGAACTTACACTTAGGATAAATCCTCGAGTCGGGGCTCCAGTACTTTTGGTCAAATTTTTCCCAAATTGGCAGAAGGAATTGTGTTTCTTCAGTGGCGATGAGGAAACCCTACAAGGGAAAATGTTGAGGTATACATGTCATATTTCACTGCAAGGATCCATATTTAAAGCTTGCATTTTTCAAATCCCCAGTGAACGATCAGATATTTGGGGCCAAAGGTCTTAGAAAAGTCGCATCCCGAGACGGGGAAACCGTAGTAGAAGATTTGTCCATCCTTCTTCTCCTGTCATTTATCAATCAACAAAAGTCTGCACGGGTCCTGGAGGAGGGGTTTGATTGGTCTCATAAAAATGTGTTTTGACAACGTTTTAAAGGGAAATCCTCTGTCCTTTGTGGGCCAAATAAATAGGCCACACAAGCGTGGACCTCTCGCATTCTTAAGAGTATCGTGGCTGAACTGCGTGGGTAGTTCAAGCCTGCACTTGCCAGCGCTCGGCGTGAGGACAGCGTGGAACAGAGGGGGGCATTCTGACAGGTTGTTGTGGGGTAGCCTAGTCAACAGCTATTGAACCCCCCTCGCCCCCCCCACCCCGTCCTCTTCCTCGCCTCATCCAGCCCGCCCACCCACTATACTCCCCAGAGAGCAGGCCTTAATGGCCTCGTTTATCCCCTCTCTTTGACGGGAACTAATGTGTGGAGTCCCCCCCCCACCCGCCCCCTTTCCATACCAGCCCCCCATAGGAATTCCCCCGTGGTGCAGTGCTGCCCCCGACCCCCACCAATCGCCCTAATTTCCATGTCAATATGAAGCGTTCATTGGACTTTGACACCTCCTAGACAAGAGTTTTACTTCACTTCCTGGTTGTGGGGTCAGCTGAAAGCCGCTCCCGTGGGAGAGATAACCGCACTATCTGGTTTCCTAACGTGAACTTTGACATCCCCAATATCAACCCCCCTCCCTCCTTTTTAACAGTGCTGCACTGATGTATGTGAATGCACTTAAACATGAGTCTGAAGTTATTTTATTTCCATGCACGATACAGTGGATTGCACAGAGATACAAATCCAAGCCTTTCATTCTAACACACCGGCTTGGATGAGCGAGCTTCTGATTCACGATACGAGGATATGAATGCTAAAAGGGAAGAGGTTTCATGATTTCAAGGGAGCTAAGTAGTTGGAGACAGGAAAAAGGGGGAGGGGTATGGAAAACATGTGACAGAGGGACAATATAGTCTTCTTGACGGGTGGAAAGAGGAGGACAGACAAAGATAACACACACTGGGAGATGGAGGGAGGAGGGAGCGAAAGAGGGGACGATAGATGGACGGATGGATGAAAAGAGTTGGCATGGAGTGCGAGAGCACCTCGTTGGGGAATTCTGGGGAATTCTGGGTAATCCTCTTAACCGTGGAGCCCCCTTCCCAGACTGAGACAGTGGCCCGAATTGGGTCTAAATCAGCTGACAAGAGCCTAGACGTAGATATCTGTTGAATCCGGTGTTTTAAAGCGATTTGAGAGGCGTTGGAGCCATTGAGAGGGAGGGGGAGGACGTGGCCAGACCTGAAAATTATAAGATTATTAAGGCGGGTGCACTGACAAATGCAGCCAGTGAACGGCATCAAGCCAACTGGGGACTGTTTTGGGAAAATACCGTACATGCTGGTCATTTCTATCCAAGCTAGTCATCTGGATGATATGAATTAATATTCAGTATTTTATTTATGACACCTTTCGTTTTGCAGTTGAATAATTTAATTTGTATTATTTACCAGTTGAGGTAAATGTTATAGAAATACAGGTGGAATTAAAATCAATATTGTATTATTGTCCTTGCTGTGAAGGAGCATCTGCAACACGCAGCAAGACGTTAGAAAACATCTCTCTTGTTATTCCGTTTACCCGCCAGGAGACGGATTTATTCTGCAACTGCAGAGTCTTAAATGTGTGCAGCATGCTTGTATCAGAGCAACACTTACTCTGGCAAAACCTGACCTTGAAGTTTGATAGTCCCCTTTTTAAATGATATCTGGCAGGACTTTGTATCAAGCGACATGGAAGTGTTGATGCAGCCAGTGAAAAAGTCTACGCTGCAAGACGTCATCAATCACGGCAGTGGAGGAGGTTTCGCCTCACAAATGGGTTGCGGCATAATTTCCAGTAAGCAAAGCTCTTGCAGAACATATTACTCACTGTGTGGGTTATTGCATCATAATGAAAATCAAATTCTAACTATATAAGCAGTTGCATGTCCTTCTGATCACTTGTTGTGATAGCAGTCACAGCTCAGGCCAATGGTTTAAGAAACTTCTAATCAAAAAGGGACATGTAGTATCGTAAAGAGGTTTTGAAGCTACCGTAAAGATTGATCATTTCAATTGTCAATTTAATTGGAATCCTTAGAGTGTAGAAAAGAAAGAGTGTAGATGGTCTTAAAAAGAGCAGTGCAGCAAAAGTTCATACTTGGGCTTAAGCTTTATTTTATTTTATTTGATGTGTCAAGCTTCTCCAGCAACTCCCACTTACAGACAGAAGGGTGGTCTAATAATGGCAGTGCAGATGTTGCGTAGATTAAAAAGGCAGCGGAAGCACGATATGTTGAGACCTGTTTACAGTATGGGAAACATCCACAGTGGTAGCCGCCTATCATGCAAGCACATTTTGCGACTATTTGTGTAGAATGCTATTTAAAATGGATTACCAAAGACATCTGATTTGTGCCGCTTGTTCCACCCTGAAAGTTGCAGGACGTCAGCTTGTGAGCGGAGCTGAAAGCCGATCTAATGGGTTCTGTGGTGCTGGACTTCACTCAGGGAACCGTGACGCACCACAGGACCCTTGGCAGCCATGACAGAGTACATCTGAGGGATTGTATGCTCTTTATCAATTATTAAAACTAATCAGCGTCAAGCAGCTTGCCGTCTGCCTATCACTGTCTGTCTGCGGATCCTCTTTCCTCGTGAGTCTTGTCATTCAAAGTCTTTGTCCGTTTGAACATTTGTGGGGCTTTAAAGCCGTCCCTTGTCTATCTTTTTGTGTTTCTTCTTTTCTGCCTTTTCCGTCCCACCTTGTAGTCCCTATTCCTTTCTTTTAATCTCAGAGCTTTTTAAGACCTCAACAAAACTGTGGAATATATTCAATATGACATCAGAGGAAACTAACTTTAAGATAAGAAGTTCTCTAAAACTCCTTTAAAAGGAGTTTACCATGTTTTATTGTGATCATGTGTTTCTATGATTGGGTTACCTTTGTGTTTGATATGCACTTTATCTGTGAAATGCAAACTACGAGTTCAGGTAGAGCAGATCAGCCACTTTTTGTCAATTTTACGACACTTGTGAGGCTAAACATCAAATTAGCTTTTGGACATACCAATATTATAATATATCATACAATTGTTTTCATTTTTAAGGCTGCATTGTAATAAAGTAATGGACTCTCCCGAACTCTCCAGAGTTTTTCCTGTTCAATGGTCTGACTTTACGCTCGTAGTCACTATATTATATTATTTTCCAAAAATATTATTGTGTAAATATTTTGTGAGCTCTTCAGACCTACAATACTGTTTGTTTGGTAAATTATGCTATCTTCTTTTTTGCAGATTGGGGATCTCAAAGACCACTATCACTTCTTCCATAGCCGGACCATCAAGAGGTCGACTTTGTCAAGCCACGGTCGCCATAGCTTTATCTCCATGGAGCCCAAGGTAAGCCTGTCGTACTGTTCAAAATCAGTCAATGTGATTATCTTCTCAATTTAAATGGAACTGGAAATAGTTGGACAAAGTTGTCACAACTCAAGGTCCACACACTCTCTTGTTGAGTCTTTGTTCTCGACACCGAGGTACGTAACATCTCCCAATGAATCCCCCGGTGTGCAATATATAAGCCGCTGGAAGAGACTATTTCAAGACGTCTTGCCAAATGTCCCCAGACGTTCAAAAGAAATACTGCTGATTTCTTCATGTGTGTTGATTTGTTTAATCCTGATCTAATTGTTCATGAAATATGACTATAATCACATTAAGTAATCATAACACACACATTGCGAGTCGTTTCATTACCTCACCATCAAGGTGCCTCCGCTGTATTTGATGCACAGGCCTGAAGAAAATCCACTTCACACACCACCAGAACGAACCTGGACACCGAAGTATTTATGAGAACAGACTATTACATTGCCTGGAAAATTCCAGTATTTTTTATTGAAGAAAGGTGATAATCAGACCTACTCTGGCACTTTTTTCTTTACCACAAACCAATGTCTGGGTTCATTGATCGGTTTGGAGGTGGGAGATATAAGGTGATATAAATATAGTTGTCCTTCAAACAAAGGATGCTTTGTTGCTTGGTTACAGAAAAAAGAATATTATAGTATTCTTGAACAATAAAAGGTCATTAACTCGTTCTAGAAATAAAACATTTCAATACTTTGGTACGAGGCTGCTAGTCTCTCTCTCTCTCTCTCTCTCTCACACAGCCAAAATACGTTAAAATCAACTTGTACAAATTAAAGTTTCTCACTCGTTTCTCATTTTTTGTCGTATGTTCTCACTCACGTGGTCCTGGCGGCTGACTGCGGCTACTATTTGTGCTTTTGTTTGTTTCAAGTTTCTAGACTTCACAATAGTTGTGCCTAACAAAAACAGCACTGATAAGCGAAAGCAAGTCGGCCGTTCTTATGTCCGTAGCCCTCCTTCAGGCCGCAGCAATGGCTTCGATCAGCCGCTCCAAAGGGCAGATTGTGTCACTAGACACGCCACTTGCTGTTTGCTCCAATAACAGCTACGTCCCCCTTTTGTCGGCATAAATAGAATTATAAAGTGCAGAATTGAACTACGCAGCAGCTGCTGGCCGGAGTGTTTCGAACCTCCCCGGAGTGAGCTCCTCCGTTTCCGCTCGCTGTTAGCGCAGCAAAACGCCCCGTTCTCCCGCTAGAACATTTTTTTTGTCATATTTGTGTCTGAAAGAAAACGTTACTTGTTGATAACTGAATGTTTGATGAAGTGGAGATTGATCCGGAGAAGACAAGATGAAACTCCCTAGAACCATCACATGGAATCTCAAAACATCCCATTTATGTCAATTTTAAGAAAAACACTGACATTTTGGGCGCTTCAGGGATTCCATCCAGCAGCAATGGCTCTTTTGTGAATTAGTTTGTGTGTTTTGAACAACGGATTCAAGGGCACGAGCGTGTGCTGAGGAATGATAACAATGTATCAGTGGGATTTCCAAAAGAATGGAAAAAGCGAGGTAGTGAAACGCTGACCGCACAGGTCACCTCCGTTTGCGTCCCCTCCGCTTGTTTTGTCCACCTGCTGCACTCACCTGTCAAAGCTTTTCTCCTCCTCGCACTCCCTCTCCCACCCTCGGTTCTCTCTTTTGCTTTCCGTGCACTCGTCTCCCCCGTCGGTTCCCTTGCTCTCTCTGGCCTGGCGCTCGGGCCGCGGCGGAGGAAGGTTTGGACTAACTAACTTTAAGATAAGAAGTTCTCTAAAACTCCTTTAAAAGGAGTTTACCATGTTTTATTGTGATCATGTGTTTCTATGATTGGGTTACCTTTGTGTTTGATATGCACTTTATCTGTGAAATGCAAACTACGAGTTCAGGTAGAGCAGATCAGCCACTTTTTGTCAATTTTACGACACTTGTGAGGCTAAACATCAAATTAGCTTTTGGACATACCAATATTATAATATATCATACAATTGTTTTCATTTTTAAGGCTGCATTGTAATAAAGTAATGGACAGCTGGCCGAGGGACTGAGATTTCGGAGGAGTTGATCAGAGAGGAGAGGTTAAAGGAGCCATTACAACGGAGCAGCGGCGTGAAGGAGGAGCTGAAGAGAGGAGGAGACGGTGTTTTCCTCTGACTCGCTGCGCTTTCAGTGTAATCTGTGACCCGTCTGCGGGTTCGGGATTAACGTGATGGCTACTTTGGCGCCGGCGCAGTCTGGCATACTACGACTAATGATGTTTTGTAATAATAACAGCGTGTGTGCGTTTGTGTGCGAGTGAGTCAGATGGGTGTAGCGGTGCCGTGAAAAGGCGCACCCTGCCAGCCGCAGTGCTCACTGGCACGCATGTTCCCATGGTGATTCAGCACAGCACAGATTACCGCTTTATGGCATCGGCCGAACTACTGTGTGTCACTTGCCTTTAAGGTCAAAGAGCGGTTTCCAAGCTGATCAATGACTCTGCGAAGGCCACCGGCTTAGAGAGGGAAAACGTTTCACGTCTCTCACCTTTCCTTTCCCTCAATATTACGTCGATTGGACGCAGAGACTTTTACATTGTTGCAGGTTTATTATAGAGAAATCTCAAACTGTTAAATCGTTTTTATTTTAATGTCTTGTTTTATTAATGAAAACAATATATATTCACATATTTTGAAAGAAATTCAACAATGTTATGTTCTTTATGCTTTATGTTACGTCGGCGGAGCTCAAAAGCCATCCACATCTTGAATTCCCTGTACAAGTTTTGCGTTTGGCTTCTCCTTGTGCATCACAATCCCTGTTTAGCAGGGTGCCAATTAAAACGTGGTACACAAAACCCAAGTGATGAGATCTGCTCTGTGCATCGTACGACGCGCACTCTGCTGACGTTTGCTCATTACTCCATCTCACCGGGAGTTCAAACACAACAGACTGCCATTAGTTTTTGGTATGAAATGGGTTCAAATGCACTCGTGCCTGCTTTGTTTGAAATCTATTTCCGGCTGTTTCAAGTTTGTTGTAAACAGCAATTCGAGTCCTACGTTGGTTGCTTCTATTTCCTATGATGTTCTTTCTGGAGTCTGTGAAGGGATTAGTGGAGAGAAACCGCAACCGAATGCTGATGTCTGTCCACAGCGTTCAGTTGCAGGAGCAAAGTGTTTCCATAGAGTTTCGCATTGCAAAGACACACCCTTGTCATTTATCCAGACATGAGCAAGGAAACTGCAGGCCAGGTGTGTTCCGCAGCTGAATCCTCGCCGGGATACACTGAAACGCAGAATGCCGCCAAAATACAATTTCGGTGTCGCACGAGCCTCGTAAGGAAAAGATATTACACTTGAATGAGCTCCAATCCAAATTATTCAGTTCATTTGAAACCGTTGTCTTCTCCGTATTTTGCCGCTGTGGCTGGTAGATTTGTTTAATTATCCGGCCGCCTTTGGAGATCATCGTACTCGTGAACCTGTGTGTGAGACTATGAGACTCACGGCAACAAGGAGACGCTAATGACGGAGTACGTGGATCCGTCAGGACCGTGAGACTCTGTACATTCCCAGTTACAAACTTCCACGGAGCCAGGATGTTCGTAGGACTTTCTACCAAAGATCCGTGATCTGTTTTTGTTTTTTGTCCCCCTTGAATTCTTTAAACAGATGAGCTATTAAGAAGTTGACGCCCTGTGAGAAGCATCTACAGCCGGCCAGCACGGCTCAGGCAGTCTGTGATACGTTGTGGGGCCGTGTGCTGCGTCTGCGCTGAGCCTCTGAGTTTCACTGCGCAGAATAGCTGGCTTCTTGTGTCCGTCCAAAGGTAGTTGTGGGTGTTCTGCTACACCGGCCTTTGACCTTTGGTTAAAACGCACAGCTTTCAGTTCTTTTGCCTGCAACTCAAACAGCGTCTCAAAAAACAGCAGGGAAAGTGGATCAATTTGTTCCCATTTGTTCTATCAAAGTGAACTCTTCCCCAGTTTCCCCTGGTTACTGACCCAGCCAGCAAAAGCCACCTGCAAACCCTTACACAGAGAGCGTGTGAGAGAAAGGGGGGAGGAAAGGGGGGTTGGAATGGGAGCGAGCGAGAGACAGACAGACAGACAGACAGACAGACAGACAGACAGACAGACAGACAGACAGACAGACAGACAGACAGACAGACAGACAGACAGACAGACACAGGCAATCTCAAAGAAAAAACGGCACATGCGGGAAAGAAGACCTGAAACGCAACAAAGAAAAGAGGAGGAAAATAAAAATAACAGCAATGGGCCTCATTCACCAAGTTATTTCTTACATTTGTTCTGAAGAAAGTTGCTAAAAAAAGTCTACGTGTGATTCATGACGTGTCCCGAAACAGCGTAATTGTTCGCACGTGCGTTCTGCGATCTCAATATGTCGTAAATTGAAAGCTCGTGCCCCGTTGCTCCTATTCAGCAAAGGTTAATGCCCCGTTAATTCCCATAAAAGGCCATGAGATGGCCGGGCCGTGTGCACACTGTCAAAAAGACGTGGGAAAGACTGAGGAGGCCTCGGCTCCAAAAGAGAGAAAAACCTGAGTAATTCTGAAGTGGAGATATTGCTGCATGAAGTCAGGCAAAGCAAGGCTAGTTAGTTTATGCAGGCCCTGCACACTTCATACGCCATGGCAATTCAAAGTGCTCTACAAAGGGGCAGACGTGTTAGGGTAGTGTGTATTGATTAAAACACATATATAGTTATGTGTAAAATAATAAAAATAATTAGTTAATATTATAAAGGAGGGAAATATTCCATTTTAAATTAAAACGGTAAAACTACTTGTTTTGCGCAAACATGTCGGCTCTCAATTGAGTGTACGAGTGCGTAAATTCTGTTCCTAAATCCCAAATAAGAATAAACATTGGTAACATTGAAAACGGCGTAAGTGGGGATTAAGCACAAATTTGTTCTGAAGAACAGTTGGTGAATGAGGCCCTTTGTGACCGAGACGAACAGGTGCTGCAACATCATTCCTTTGCTTCGCCAAGCTGGAGTTAAAATATGGATCAGATCCAATCGCCGTGCCTCGGAGCCCGCGAGCAAATTGGCCCAGAAACAAAGGCAGTGATACTGGCAACTTTTTAGACAATAATCGAGGGCAATACGGTCTTTGTTTGGATAAGGATTGGCAAATGTGACACAAGTGATGCAGATCCGCAGGCTGTTACTTTTGAGTGAGGATAACAAAGAATGTCATTTCTCTTGATTGCTTTAGAAGATCCGTTCATTATTTATCTGCCTCGGGTCATCCTACGACTAGAGAACAAAAGTGTATTTTTAAGACCAAATCCAATGAAAGAAATGCAAAGCTGTGACATGTTGGCAGTAGCTATATACTATTACTCTTTTAGCCCAACAGTTCTTATTTAAGAAGAGGGAAATATGAACACATGCACATTTTATAAGCTGTATTTGCTGGGGTTTCTGCAGTTGGAGACGTATGATATTGTTGCCATGTCGTCTCCCACATTCCCATTGAAATCTACTTTTAAATTGATATGGAGGGGGATTACCCACTAATTGGGCTCCAAATTCAGCAAAATATATATATTTTTTTCACCACGTCTGTGCTCTGTCTCATAAATCTTGAGAAGAATCTATTGCATGAGGGGCTTTGTTTCATTGCTGGACAGTTCTTAAATAAACAAGTTCCGCACAACATTGTTGAGTTACACTGCCGTTTGCCAATTGTGATGATACACCAGTGCTGTTGCGCTGGAGATTGTGGTGTGTGTAAATGTTGACTTTGAAGCTGTTGGTCCTAAAGGAACATAAGATGAAATGAGCTGAGACTTTGGCAGACGGAGGAACGCGAAGCTAAAACAAACATTCTATTCTTTGTCTCCTGGTTTGTCATTTATTTTTGCCCCATCTTTCATATACTCTCTCCATAGGGAGGTCTACCCATGAGTTATTCAATGTTGTTATTTACAGAATCATTGTGTGTGCTCACACTCTGTTAAGAGCTGCATACTTGAGTTATTGGATCAATGTTATTTATAAAAAAAACAATCATCCTCCATTCTCTTGCTGTATTTTGCTCTCGCTGGCCATTTGTTTTTACTTCCCTTCACTTCACAACTCGCCCCTTTTTTCTTCTTCATGGACTCTCCTGGGACTTGTTCTCTTCAGCTCTTTATCAACTCTCCTCCTCTTCCTCCGGTCTGTCTTGTCTCGATGCCTCCCGCTCCAACTCTCCAGAGAGCAAGTGCGATTGTTTCAGTGCATGAGACCAGATAATCACTCTGCAGTCATTATGTCACTTTTCCTCTCCTCCCTCTGCTGCAGCTGTATTGATGTGGAGAAACATTTTGTCTTTGCAGTGAAATATTAATCACATTCTCCCACCTTTTGGATCTGCCAAACTGAGGAACAAAACATAATTTTATTCTAAGAATGTGATTAATCCGTTGGAAATCCGTAGTGTATTATGGGCACACTTTCAGTTCACAGTAGATCGCTTGCTGAATGTTTGGAGAGAAGTGCATAACTGTAGAAATAAGAATGAGCTCCTCATAAATATCTCCGCTCAACATGGTGTATTCCTGCAGTACGTTTAAAGGATCCTGCTCTAATCTGTGTAAACTGGCACACAATCCTGTTCATGGGCAAACTTGAGTCTGCAAAATCCCACAACTATGTATTATAGTAACATTTACATTTCTGGGTATGTATATACAGCTTGACACACGATTGGCCAGTTTTTTAAAATCTTAGTTCTGTCCTCTCAGCTGTTACACGTCAACTTCTCAGTCTTTTCAGACAGATTAAGTCTGCGGGACTTCAGCTAGACTAAATATCAGATTTAGGGTGTTTTTAAAGCGACAACCTGGGCCAAGCAAGTGGGACCAGCCCTCCTGCTCAGATCCAGCAATGCTGATTTTAAAATTGGAAAATTCCTCCCGCGTGATACCTGCCAAGGAATGCCTCGCGCCTTGAAGCAACCCATAGGATTTAGAGATTGATGTTACTTGAGAGACATTCATGTCGTCATGGCATATGTGTGTATTAGTCCGCCCGTTTTGCAAACTACGAAAAATAAAGTGAAACATTTGACTCCACTGCAAATCTTTAGTGGGTCTAAACACTGGAGTGAAATAGAGAGTTTAAGATCTAGATCAGTGATCCCCGGCCCACGGACAGGTACCGGCCCGTGGGCCATTTGGTATCGGGCCGCACCACTGGAAAATGTTTTATTTTGAAAATTGACCGGATTCTCTCCTAATTTTGTGCGCTCGTCCCTCTTGACATATTTCCCATATTTTCAGTTTACAATTGTCCTCGTGCACGGCAGAATATTGTCAGACATGAAAACGGTCCGTGTGGTAAAAAAGGTTGGGGACCACTGATCTAGATGACAAAAAGAAAAAAATATATTAAGATACTTCGAAGCAAAGGCTGTCTCTTTCCTTTTAACCAAAGCCACAATGATCCAGGGCAGCTTCAAGTAAAAAGTGCTTCATATCCATAAAATTACTTTTTCAGCGTGTGTTGTTATCTCTGAAAATGTTCTTTCTTTAAAATGCACCATTGCAAGCGAGACACTGCATTTCACTGGGATATGTTGGCTCCCGCCGTTAACAGTGTAATTTGCACTCATCGCTCACCCATAACAAAAATTCAATTCCCATCTGCTGTCCTCTAATGTTTTGTCTGTGCTGGTCGGTAGTATACCAGCCATATCTATTCTCTAGAGATGGTAATAAACGTCAAAGAACAGGAAATATAGCCACTATATGGTCACTTTTTTAAATTAAAGATGCTGCACTCTTGCTTAAGAACACCTCAGGTTTCCCAGGACCTTCATATTTCCAAGATTGTATTGAATGAAGACCATGATATAAAAGATGAAAATTCCCCTGTTGGCTGATTTGTACTGAGCGCAAAGCCATTCTCGTACTGTGTGGTATTACTTGATTACTACTTGGTTTTCTCTCAATCTGTTTTCAGGTGGAGTGGATTCAGCAGCAGGTGGTGAAGAGGAGGATCAAGAGGGATTACAAGGCAGACCCGCCCCTTTCTCTGACTAGCCCCGCCCACAGCTACCCGGCCCAGAACAACATATTCTATAACGACGCCAAGTGGAGCAGCATGTGGTACATTGTGAGTTCACTGGCACCAGAGAAGTCATTTCTCTACTTGCATGACTACTGCACCCAAGCAAGAATATCACAAGATCAAATGGAGCCCAGTATATTGTGGGCTCATCCCTGCTGTTGTATCTATTCTTCTTTGTCTACATTTGTGGGGTTTGTGGGTAAAGTTCAGCTGAGGTCACGGCATGATCCTAATCACTGCTGGGTCAGTGGACACAAGGGATCTGTGTGTGTGTGTGTGTGTGTGTGTGTGTCACTAAATAAAAAACAAAGTCAGAAGTCATTTCCTCAATTTGAAAATTTAAAATGAAGCTGAAACATTCTGTGTTTGTCACAGGTAAGTCTACAGCAGATAAAATGTACATGTCTGTGTTCCTGCATTATCTCAGATATTGCGCGCGCGCGCACACACACACACACACACACATGCACGCCTGCAAACATACACACACACAGAAAATTCAAATTCATAATGCAGAGATTTGCAGGCTTATCACAAGTGTTTGCATACACCCTCAGATCAATGTTCTTTTAGTTGTCTGTGTGTGTTTATTTGCCTCAGTGTCCTCTGCTCTGTAAATTGTTTACACAGTAGAGATAACTCTAAATACTTTGACCAGAGGGTTTACATGTATTTTGTTAGCTGTAGGAGAGAACGGTTTGAACTTGTGTATGTTCAGGTTTACCTAGAAATGTATTTCCTGTAGTCATTTCTGAGTACCTGGTACAGTCTACTTTTGACATAATTGTGCTAGTAAAATGGATCTGTCTCTCCATGTGTGTAGATAAATCAAGAGACTCGCTTGATAAACCAGCCTGGTGTTCTTCACATACTTCATTTGATTTACTATGTATGGGGACATATTAACTATTTTCTGGCATGCTGCTTGGTAGAGTGCAGCGGTAATCAATCTCTCCCCCATGAGTGTAAATATCACTAAATTGGAATAGAGATATTTTATTGGCTGACTAACATCACTGGTTGGAATTTACTACATATTGAATTGGTCTGTGTTTTTCATGGAATGCTCAACAAGTGCCTTAAAGGCTGAAAAGAGCGTGGACGGTTAAAATAGAAGTTCCTCAATAATTCCCCATTGGCTATCAGATGTCGGTTCAGGGCGTCTGAGCCCGGATCCGGCGCGGCGCGTTTAGTGACGCCTGGCACTGTAGTATGAAGAGTGGAATGCACCATCTGACTATTTCTGACACATTAGGACTTGATGCTTGACATAAACTTGTTTGGACTGACTGTTAATGTTCACACTTGTTTCAGGTTAACTGGAAAAGCTTACGTGGGCAAACTCATAAAGTTTATGTCGCGCATTTGCAAGATGCTGATGTGTTTGTTTTCTTCTTCTCCCTCCGCTCTCCCTGTACCACCAACTCTCACTCCGCCTCCTGCCCCCAAATCTCTGCAGCACTGTAACGACGATGTCCATAACTGTCAGTCGGACATGAACATCCTGGGGGCGTGGAAGAGGGGCTACACGGGTAAAGACGTGGTGGTAACCATACTAGATGACGGCATCGAGAGGAACCACCCGGACCTCTTTCAGAACTACGTGAGTGTGCAGCAGCAGTATGTGTGTGTGAATGTTGAGTCAATACGATTTTCTTTTTTTGTTGATGAAGGGGGTTTCTCAATGTATTCATTTCAAAGGGGAACTCCCTCCAACCTGTTGGTGTGCAGTTATGTGGAGCACATGTTTGTTTATCTGCTTACATACTATGGCCAGATATTTCATGGCCGGAGGCTGCAGGAAAAGCCATTAATCAACTGCACAGATAAAATGTTTCACACCCTGTGTGACAGCGCCTGTGCTGCTGTTATTGGCTACTCTTAATGCCTGAATTTGTTTATGCCGAAGGGTGAGCAGCGCAGCAGAGTGGATTTGCTTTGATTGCATTCGATTTACGAAGCCGTTGTGAGCGATGCTAATGTGAACTGT